AGCTCCAAGCCGATGCGCACACCTAGTGTTCTGTCGCGGCGAGGACGCCCCGCCCCAGGTCGTCGCCTACGGGGAGAGAAGGCAGAGGCGGATATCGCGATCGACGAGGGCAGCGAGTCGGGAGAGCCTAGCAGGAAGTCTAGCAAGGGCTCGGAACAAGGCGCGGCGGCCCAGTTCCTCTCTGCGCTGGAAAATGTCAAGACATCCTTCAACGCGCAGGGGACGAATTGCTATTTCGTCTTCTGTCTCAAGCCCAACGACCGGCGTATTGCAAACCAGTTCGATAGCAAGTGCGTCAGGGCGCAGGTTCAGACATTCGGCATTGCCGAAATCAGCCAGCGCTTGCGCTCCGCCGACTTCAGTCTATTCCTGCCGTTTGGCGAGTTCCTGGGCTTGGCAGATGCTGAAACCATTTTGGTTGGAACCGAACGTGAAAAGGTCGAGATGGTTGTTGAGGACAAGAGGTGGCCAAGCAACGAGGTCGCCATTGGCGCTACTGGTGTCTTCTTGAGCGAGCGATGCTGGATGGAACTGGCACAGCTCGGGGAGAACACTTCGACCTCGGGCCGTTACGGGTTGCCTGCATCGGATAATGGTTCTACACCGGATCCGTTCAGCGATCCGAAGGAGCGCCTGTTCACCTCGACGAGCACCACGCCGCAGATGTACAACGACAAGAAGGCCGGCTACTTTGGAAGCAACGATGTGGATACCCGATCGGAGGCCGGCACTGCTATCGGCGCGGGTGACATGTTCAAGACATTCGAGACCCGTGAGCAGATGGCGGAAAAGGCCAATGAGAAGGATATGGCTGAGGTTGAGGTGTACAAGGACAAGCCTAGCCGTAAGCGCTGGGTCTTCTTGACCTATCTTCTGACTTGGTTCATTCCCGATTTCGCCATTCGCGTCATCGGCAGGATGCCGCGCAAGGACGTCCGCATGGCTTGGAGAGAAAAGGTGGCCATCAACTTCATCATCTGGTTCTTCTGCTTGTTTGCTGCTTTCTTCATTGTTGTTTTCCCGCTACTCATTTGCCCAAGGCAGCACGTTTACAGTCCTCAGGAGCTGTCCAGCTTCGACGGCAAGGGTAAGAACCCTGCTTATGCGGCTATTCGCGGTCAAGTTTTCGACATTGGTGATTTCGCGCCACGCCACTACCCTAGATTGGACTCAAAGTCATTGACACAGTACGCTGGTCTTGACATTTCGGGCCTCTTCCCCCTCCAGGTTTCGGCTTTGTGCCGTGGTGTGAACGGCCAGATTGCGGACACCGTCACCCTCGACTACAAGAACGACAACATCACCAACGCGGCCGCTGTCATCAGTAGCCAGGATCGGAACGCGCATTACCATGATTTCCGTGCCTTCACCAATGACAGTCGTCCTGACTGGTTCGCGGAGCAGATGATCTTCCTCAAGGGTAATGGCTACAAGGTTGGCAACGTTGCTTACTCGTCGACCTATGTCAAGACGCTCGCTAGCAAGCAACAAGCGATTGCTATCCTCCAAGGCCGTGTCTATGACATGACCCAATATCTCAAGGGCGGACGTCACCAACGCGCTGCTCCTGGACAACCTGATCCCACGGACCCCAATGCCGTCAATTTCATGAGTCAGCTTGTCGTCGATCTCTTCGACCAAAGGGCCGGCGAGGATGTCAGTAAGCTCTGGGAGGCCTTGGATCTCGACTTGGATATGAAGGCCAATATGAAGCTCTGTCTCGATAACCTCTTCTATATCGGAGACGTCGATACCCGTAACTCGGCCCGCTGCCAGTTCTCCGAGTACCTCGTCCTGGCCATCTCGATTATGTTGGCAACTGTCATTGTCTTCAAGTTCTTTGCTGCCTTGCAATTCGGCCAGAAGAACATGCCAGAGAACCTCGACAAGTTCGTCATGTGCATGGTTCCGGCTTACACCGAGGACGAGGACTCACTGCGCCGTGCCATCGATTCCGCCGCCCGTATGCAGTACGATGATAAGCGCAAGCTTCTCATTATTGTCTGTGACGGTATGATTATTGGTCAGGGTAACGATAGGCCTACTCCCCGCATTGTGCTTGATATTCTGGGCGTTTCGGAGACGGTTGATCCTGAGCCTCTCAGCTTCGAGTCGCTCGGCGAAGGCCAGAAGCAGCACAACATGGGCAAGGTCTACTCCGGTCTTTACGAGGTGCAGGGCCACATTGTTCCCTTCATGGTCATCGTCAAGGTTGGCAAGCCTTCCGAGGTCTCTCGTCCTGGTAACCGTGGCAAGCGTGACTCCCAGATGGTCATGATGCGCTTCCTCAACCGCGTCCACTACAACCTCGCCATGAGCCCGCTCGAGTTGGAAATGTACCATCAGATCCGCAATATCATTGGCGTGAATCCGACCTTCTACGAGTACATGCTGCAAATCGATGCCGACACCGTTGTGGCGCCCGACTCGGCGACGCGCTTCGTTGCTGCCTTCCTGGAGGATACCCGTCTTATCGCTGTCTGCGGTGAGACTGCTCTGACCAACGCCAAGGCCTCCTTCGTTACCATGATCCAAGTGTACGAGTACTATATCTCGCACAATCTGTCCAAGGCCTTCGAGTCGCTCTTCGGTTCCGTCACCTGTCTTCCCGGCTGTTTCTCCATGTACCGCATTCGCGCTGCCGACTCTGGCAAGCCACTGTTCGTCAGTCGAGAGGTCGTTGAGGCTTATTCCACCATTCGTGTCGACACCCTGCACATGAAGAACCTTCTTCACCTTGGTGAGGATCGTTACCTGACAACGCTGCTCCTCAAGTTCCACTCGGCCTACAAGACCAAGTACATCTTCAGCGCCCACGCCTGGACTATTGCTCCTGACACGTGGGAAGTTTTCCTGTCCCAGCGCCGTCGTTGGATCAACTCTACTGTGCACAACTTGATCGAACTCATCCCCTTGAACCAGCTTTGCGGTTTCTGCTGCTTCAGCATGAGATTCATAGTGTTCATCGACTTGCTGTCTACGGTTGTTCAGCCCGTCACCATTGCCTACATTGTCTACTTGGTCGTCATGGTGGCGCGTAATGCGACTGTCGTGCCCATCACAGCCTTCATTCTCCTTGGTGCGATTTACGGTTTGCAAGCTATCATCTTCACTCTGCGTCGCAAGTGGGAAATGATCGGTTGGATGGTTCTCTACATTATCGCCGTTCCCGTCTTCAGTTTCGCCCTTCCTCTCTACTCCTTCTGGCACATGGACGACTTCAACTGGGGTAACACTCGTGTCGTTGCTGGCGAAGCGGGTCAGAAGATCGTCATCTCCGACGAGGGCAAGTTTGACCCCGCCAGCATCCCCAAGAAGAAGTGGGAGGAATACCAGGCCGAGCTCTGGGAGGCCCAGACTTCCCATGGCGGCAACAACGACGACGTCCGCTCCGAGATCTCGGGCTACTCGTACGCCACCAAGAACCCCTATAACGTTGCCATGTCCGAGTACGGTGGCGGTTACAACTACGCTAGCCGTCCTGGTTCGACCACCGGCTTCCCTCTCGGAGGCTACACCGACAAGACACTGCTGCCCGTTAATAACGCTAGCCGCATGTCTTTCGCCAACTCCGAGATGTTGATGGCAGGTAGCCGCCACTCCCAGTTCGGCGGGTCCCAGTTCATGGGCCATAATCCCTCGCAGCAGGAGCTGGAGATGACCAGCCTGGCGGGTATGCCGAGCGATGACGCGCTGTTGGCGGAGATTCGCGAGATTTTGAGGACGGCGGATTTGATGACTGTTACCAAGAAGGGAATCAAGCAGGAGTTGGAGAGGAGGTTTGGCATCCCGCTGGATTCGAGGAGGGCTTATATCAACAGTGGTATGTATTCTTGTCTACTCCCTTGATGAAAGTACGAAAGCTAACTCGATGAAAACAGCTACCGAAGCACTCTTGTCTGGCCAGTTGTAGTTGCAGTTGCTGTTGCTGTGATGTTGATGTCGTACGTATGGACTACGAACTACGAACTCGACACGGGGGAAATGGGTTATTGAAGAACTTGAACAAGACATTTTTGGAAAGAAACTCGCGCTCGCACTCTTGCTTTTTTGGCATATCAGTTTTCTCTCACTTTTTTACACACTTATGGGAACATCATCAATTTTTGTCTAGAATAATCTAATTTGCATATTAAGCTGTCGAAGGGTTTTGAAAAACAAAAAAGATACTCGGCGTTTGTTATTACTGCATGCTCGCGATTGTTGGTGGTTACAGAAGCGTTTCACTCATGCTTACCATGTTGTCTTTGTTCAAAAGGAAGCGAATAGGTACATGGTTGTTTCCAATGGGTAATTGTTTACTTTGCTTAGGAGACCAAATAAAACGTACAGTCAGTTGAAGTTTCAAATACGTGGATAGTGAGAGATCTCGGTAGGCTACGTGCCGTTCTCATATCAGGAAAGACAGGGAGGCCGGCCATCTGCAGGGGCCAACATTGTGAGTCACTCGGCCTGCCTGACCAAGTCCGTTTTCTCCATAGAAAATGGGCTGTTTGGCACATCTTTCAAACTTTCACCAGGGTCGAAGGGACGCCGAAAGAGTCAAACATTGTGAAATCGGTCTCGTCTTGCTTAGTTGATGGATTAAGTGGGCGATGAGTGGTGATGTGCAATTTAGATGAGGTAAGATGTGTGATGTTCGCGGGGAGAGGAGTAAACATTGGGGGCGGGGCGGGGTTGGAGCATCGAAGATGTCAGCGGGAAATCATGCGGTTGGTTTCACGACTTGGCATTATGCGTTGACGGGAGGCGCAGATGAGGGATACGAGTAAACAATTGTGTTTGTTCATATAAGACCATCATCCGTCGTTCTCCTGGTGGCATTTTGGATATCAATCAGTTCCTGGTTTGCTTTCCTGTTGTCGGCACTGCGAACGAAAACAAACAAGCGCCAGTTGTTGCTGTCTACCCTGTTGTTTCCTTCAACCCACCCACAACAATCGGCAAAACACCAAACCAAGCATCATCGACAATCATCACCAACGACAACTACAAAAACCATGGCATCCCCCGATCCCTCCCCAGAAGCCCAAGAAGCTGCTCCCAAACCATCTCCATCACCTTGGACACCCCCCCTAACCTCCACTTCCACAGCCCTCGCCTTAATCCCCCCTCCCCACCTCTGGCCCCCCCTCAACGCGCTCCGTTCCCTTTACGACAAGGCCTATCACAAATGGCCACCGCACATCAATCTCGTTTACCCCTTTGTCAAGCCAGAAGATCTGGAAGATGCGGTGGCTGTGGCTCCGTTTGGGATCCTGGAGGGGAGGAGGAAAAGGAATGAGGAGAGGGGGGTGAGGTGGGATAAGGGGCTGAAAGTATGGACGGGCCCTGTGGGGGAGGTAGTAAATGGGCAAAATGGATATGTATTGAGTGAAGGAGGCGGAGGACCGATATTCGACGAGGATAAAATCCGGCTCAAGCTGGATAGCGTAGGGGTTTTCGAACATCGAAAGCACAACACCATCTACCGCTACGATCAAGAGCAACAACAAAGCCCCTTATCCACCCTTCGCGAGGATCTCCTCCGTGGCCTAGGCCACCAACCCGAAGGCGAAGGCAAAGAGTACAAACCGCACCTAACCATCGCCCAATCTGAAGACCGCGAGTCCTCAGCGCACAAGTTTCTGGTGGAAAAAGTGGGCTTGTTGCCCGCGGTGGAATGGGAGGTGGAGGAGGTTTGGGTGTTGGTTAGGGACCAGAGCGATGGCCCAGGGAAAGGGAAAATGAAGGTTTGGGGGAAGATTCGGTTGGGAGAAGAGTTGGGGGGTGAGGTTTATGGGAATCCGGTTGAGTGGGAGAAGGTGTTTGAGGTGGAGACGGGGTGGAAGGGGGATGGGGATGGACAGGGTGAGGTGCAAGAGGCGTGGAGGTTTGAGGAGGGGAGGGGGTTTTGGGTGAGGGGTGATGGTGGGGAGAAGAAGAAGGGGGAAGAGGAACAGGAGGAAGAAGAGAAAGAGGCAACGACGCCAGAGCTACTAAGCATAGCATCTTGGAACGTCCTCGCTGATTTCGAGCACTCTTCTTCTTCCACCTCCACCATCGAACAAGAAGCTCGATACCGCCTCATCCTCCGCAACCTCCTATCTCCCGACGCCAAAGCAGATGTTCTTCTCCTCCAAGAAGTTACCGACTCTTTCCTTTCCTTCCTCCTTTCCCCTCCTTCCTCCTCATCCACTTCCTCTCCCATCTCCTCCGATATCGAGGCTCTCCGCCGCTTCTACCCCTACGTTTCCCACCCCCCTCCCTCTCAACCTGACGCATCTCCCCTCCCTAACTTTCTCAACCAAGTCATCTTGTCCAAACACCCCTTCTCTTGGTCTTGGCTCCCTTTTGCTAGGAAACACAAGGGGTCTGTCATTGCCCAGTTCCCTACCATTCATGGAAACAACCCCGACCAATCTCTCGTGCTGGCAGCGGTGCATCTGAGTCATGGATTGACGGACATGACCGTAGCTGCCAAGAAGGGAGAGATGCAGCGGGTTATTGGGCATTTGAAGGAGAAGTATCCGCGTAATCCGTGGGTGGTGGCTGGGGATTTTAATCTTACCAGCTCTTCCTGGACGGTGGAACAGGCGGTCAAACAGGGGAAGGTGTCAAAGGAGACGGTGGTGACACTGAATAGTATCGAGAGGATGTGGAGGGAGGAGGAGGGACTTGGGGTGGAAGATGCTTGGGTGGTGGGTAGGGCTGCTTTGGGCGAGGGACTGGTTCAAGAAGAAGAGGAGGTCATGAACATCGACGACGACATGGACGAAGGCGAAGAGGGGGGTAATAGGTTGTTTGCCGGCGAGCAGGGATCTACCTACGATCCGATTAGAAATGATGTCGCTGCCAAAGTGGTGGGTAGTGGAGGGAACATGCGGCCGCAGAGATATGATCGGATTCTGGTCAGGGGACAACAAGTGTTGAGGATCGGGAGGTTTAATCGGTTTGGGTTTGTCAGGGCTGATCAGGAAAAGGGAGAGGGGTATGAGATGGGGCAGTATGCGAGTGATCATTGGGGGGTGAGGTGTCTTTTGAAGGTTGTTCAGCAGGATGCTACTGATCAGACTGAGAAGACGGCCGAGGCAAAGAGCGGTGCTGCTACGTTGGAGACGTCTATCAAGCTGGTTAAACCACCCGCCGGTCCTCTCTCCGAGCCAGGATCACTGAAAGAAGCCATGGCCGAGCTCAACATCTTTCCTTCACAGGGAGAGACAGCCAAACGCAAAGCAGCCTTCCAAGCCCTCAAGGCCATCCTCCTCGACACTCCTCCTCCCAACCAATCTCCCCATCACCCTTCCACCGACTCTTCTTCGGAACCTCAACGTCCCCCAACCCAGCCTCCCCTCATCATAACTCCCGTCGGCTCCTTCGCTCTCGGCGTCCACACCTCCTCTTCGGACATCGACGTCCTAGCCATCGGCCCCTTCTCCACCTCCACCTTCTTCTCCCTCGCCATCCAACGTCTCCGGCGCGCCTCGTCCTCTCCCTCCTATTCCCAACACCAACCCAGAATCCTCCGCCGCATCAACTCCTCCACCGGCACCATGCTCGAGCTCTCCTTCTCTTCCATCAAATTCGACCTCCAATACTGTCCAGCAGCACACATCGCTTCCCACTGGCCTCGCATTCTGTCTACAGCCCCGCCTGGAAACGCCGTCTGGTCTTTGCCAGCGCTGACGCTGACGAAACTTAAGGCGGCCAGGGATCTGGATTATCTAAAGCGAACGGTGCCCGATTTAGCGGTGTTTAGACAAGCGCATAGGGCGGTGAGGAGCTGGGCTAAAGGAAGGGGGGTGTATGCTCAGCGGTTTGGGTATTTGGGGGGGATACAGATCTCTGTGATGTTGGCGAGGGTCTATAAGGGTCTTGCGTTAAGGGGTGGGGTCAGTGGTGTTGGGGTGGAGGAGTTGATGGTCAGTTTCTTTGAGGAGTATGCTCAGTTTGACTGGGAGAAGGATATGGTCTACGATGAGGTTTGTCCTTGGTTCAGGCAGAAACGGGAAAAGGGAGGGGAGAAGGAGGTGTATAGACGGACGGGGAGGGAGGCGATGGTTGTGCTGGGGTGGTTTGGGCCGGGACTGAATACGAGCGGGCAGGCGAGTGTTTGGAGTGTTAGGACGTTGAAGGAGGAGTTTAAGAGGGCGAGGGATATGTTGGTGAAGGGAGAGGTGAAGAGCTGGAAGGAGTTTCTGGAGGGAAGCGGTGCGGAGGGGTTCTTGACGGGGTATAAGAGCTATGTCAAGGTTGATGTGCAGTATTGGGGACTGTCGCCGTCGAAGGGAGCGCAGTTTGTGGGCTGGTTGGAGAGTCGGTGCGTGATGCTGCTTGTTGATCTTCACAGGAGAGCACCGGGGGTGTATGTGAGGATGTGGCCTGCTCGGTTCGTCGAGGCCGACACTGCCTCTCAACAAGCCGAAACCGACGAGCAGACAGCCACCGAAGGAACCGGACCCCGCGACTACCAAGCTTCCTACCTCCTCGGCCTGGACGCCGACACTAACACCAGCAAAGAAGATCTCAAACTTGCCCTCGGCGCCATCCAAACCGCCCTTCAACGATTCGAGGAGGCCATCCGTTCAGACGACAAGTACTTTGACGCCTCGAACAGCTGGATGAGCGCCAGCGTAGTCAAGCGCTCCGAACTGGGTAACCTCCAACTCGACACTCGCAACGACTGGGTAGACGAGTACACACCCGGCGAAGACGAGTCTGATTCAGACGCCGAGGATGACGAGGAGGAAGAAGCTTCCCTGCTTGAGGACCTCGATGAAGCTGTGTCTAAGAAGAAGAAAGGCAAGAACAAGAAAACAACAGAAGAGCAGCAGCAGCCAAGACTAGAGCCAGGGCCAAAACTCCGCTCGGCAGCAGACGTGATGAACAGACTCCGCTGGGACTCGGCCATCGATAGTTCGGATTACGTGGTGGGCTACGAGGATCGATTTTTGGGAGTGAAGGAGAGGGCACTGGATATGTGGAAGACGGAGCAGACGGATGAGGAGTTTATCCCACAGCATCGGATTGTGTATTTCAAGCGGAGGAGTGATGGACAGGTGGTGTGGGATCGGAAGATGAAGAAGGATGAGATTTTTGGGAGTGGGTTGTAGATATGTGTGTTGGAAGATGCAGTGTTGGAAGATGCAGTACGGGTGCCCAGACTGTCCCTCCTCTTGCGGCATGCCTCAGGTTTTCTCTTATCTCCTCGTTTTAATCGTCCTCCGCCTTCACTAGCCATCCGATCTTGTTGGAAGTCTGTGCTTCGGGTTCCCTTCACTGGGCTTCCAATTCACCTGCACTCGCTTCCTGGTAGTATTTCTGGGCTGCACTGGTTTGCGTTTCTCCTGTTCTCTACCACATCGGAACCAAACCTCTTCTTCAGTTGTTGCCTTTCCACCTGCAACAACTTCAGCCTCTCTCAACAACTGCTTCTGTCAGGTCTCTTTCAACTCTGCTGTTCAGGTCAACCTTCTTGACCTGTTCAGCAGTGCATTACACCTCTTCAGAAGCACGAACTGCAAAAAACCGAGCATCTTCACCAGTCACTGGTCAGTCACTCAACACACCGACTTCCACCCAACCCACAAAGCACTTGTTGAACCGAAGGAAAACCGGGTATGTAATCATAAAAAGCATGATCCCGCTTAACACAGAATAACTAACCGGCTGACAGGCGCGAGGTATCAGGGATCTACTAGTCATCTGCCTATATACGAGACCAACTACAGCTAGACCCACGACCTCCTTGTCACCCTCCCTCACTTGACGCGCACCGGGGCCGCTCAACATGAATTCTGCACCCAAGCCTTCGTTACTTGGCCTCCCAGTTGAGGTCCGCCTCCAAATCTACCAGCACATCTGGACTATTTCCCAGGAGGAACAATACCTCGGGTGGGCTTACACGGGGAGATATTATTGTCAAAGGGAGATCACATACCTGAAGGCCTCATACCTGAAGGCTCAACTATCAGCAATTTCCACACTCGGTGCTATCTACCAAAAGATCCGTAACGAGGCGTATGCGGAATACTTTCACACCACCCAGATCTATCTGGGATGGGGTTATTTTGATTTCTGGGAGATGAGTCCCTTCTACCAGCACGACAGGGAGGCTCTGGAACTCATTCGAACGTCCTACCTACTCCAAACGCGGGCTCGACACATTTGTCTGCACTGGGTCGATGTCCCGCCATTCGAGCCGCTGGGGCCGCTGGGAATCAGCAGAGCACAGCAAGACCGATATTTCGTTACGAAACGGATGCGCGACAATCACAAGATTGCCATGGAATGCTTAGAGACCCGCTTCCCGAATGCCATCACGTTGGATGTTATCTGCGACGTCAACCCTTTTGATGATGCGTTTTGGTACTTTTGGCGCGCTCAACATTTCGAACTGTCAATCAACATCACCGAGAACTTCAATATGTCCGAGAGCTATTACGGCGACCGGGATTCGGAAAGGATCAAGAGTCTGCCGTTTCGCAGGCTGGAGAAAGCGGTTGTGCGGACTGTTTCTCGGACCTATCCCAGGGGCATGAGTTTGTTCAGGGATCATGAAGAGGCGGCGTGGTTTCGTAGGTTCAAGGAGGACGTCGCTACATTGGTCGCTCCGCGCGAGGTACGTACACTAGACTTATATGTAAAAAAAAAAAAAAAAAAAAAAAAAAAAAAAAAAAAAGGCAATACTGTCCTGTTCCTCGGTATATCCCGCTCTAGGAGAGGGACGATATCTTCCTCGACGGCGAACTTCATGCTACACTACCCTATTTAGTCGTTACTTTAAAAAAAAAACCCAATCCTAGTCCACCAACTAACGTTAATCAATCGCAATAGGAAGGAGACGAAGACCGATCGTACATCATCAAGAACCACATCGGCGGTATCTATCTCAAGTGGCCCCGATCCTACAAAATCTGATCTTTCACGCAAGAACCCCTCTTCGGTTCGACCTCCTAATACGGCAAACTTCAGGGAAGGTGGCGGTTTCTCGGCATTGACATAACACTCCTTGACCACGCTACCTCTGGATAGCATCTCATCAACCAAGGGCGCGCGAAACAAGATACCTACCACTTGACAGTTGCGTATTTACACTTTACGGTTGAAAAGGGGCCTACATGTATTATGGAGGGAGGAGGGCAGAATACATGTGTTGGAAGATGGAGTGTTGCGGAGGATTTGAACAAGGGGTGTCAATTTATGTTTCTGTAATAAGCGTCTGAAGGATTTATCAAACCCAGGACGGGTACTAAACTTTCCCCCCTTCTGCGGTAGGCCTCGGGTTTTCTATATATAGAGGTACTTTTTACTTTGCCCTTCACCTCCTCTCAACATAAACCTTCTTGAAACCTGTTGGAAATCCGTGCCCTGGGTTCCCATTTATTGGATATTTCCATTCACCTGCACTCCCTTCCTAGTAGTATTTATAGGCTTCCCTGGCCTCGGTTCCTCCAATTCTGTTGTCGCCTTTCCCACTCCCAACAGATCTACTGCACTCATCCACCTGTATCAAGAGCAGCTGCAACATCACCCACGGCGTACCGATCAAGATGAGTTATCAGCCCGAGTCTCCGCTGCTTCGCCTCCCAGTCGAGGTCCGACTGGAGATCTACCAGCACTTATGGACCATTCCTTGGGAGAAGAAACACTTAGTCCGTCGTTGTGCTTATAAGCTAAAGGCCACATACCTAAAGGCCCAGCTATCGGCGATCTGCACTCTGGGCGCCATATGCCGCACCATCCACTATGAGGCGTACGCCGAATACTTCCATACTACCCAGGTTTATCTGGGATGGGCCATTCTAACCTCCAGACCTATCTGTCGGGATATGTTAACCCTGACCTCGAAATCTACCTCGGAGACAACGACAGGAAAGCTCTGGAGTTGATCCAGAACTCCTACCTCCTCAAGACCCAGACCAGACACGTCTGTCTCCGCTGGGTACACGTCGACCACCTCAAGGATACTTTGGAGGAGCAGCTTGAGGAGGAACTCGAAGTCTGGGAAATTGACAATCTGGAACGGACCAATACCAACCTCAACATCGTCATGAACTGCCTCAAGACCCGCTTCCAGAACGCAATCACGCTGGACATTGTCTGCGACGAGATTTGGTTCGAGGATAGTATCTGGAGGAAGTGGCGTGAGGGTGGCAAAAACGACTCGCAAATATTGCAGCTAGGTACTCAACGCTGGGGTGTATAGCTTCAATGGTATTACCACGAACTACTACGACGACCGTGACTCGGAGCGGATCAGGAGCTTGCGGTTCCGCAATCTGGAGAAAGCCGTTGTGCGAACCTGTCTGACCGACCCCGACGGCGTCAAATGGTTCAATGAGGAGAACTTGGCGTGGTTTCAGAGGCTCAAGGAGGATGTGGCGACGTTGGGTGCTCCAAGGAAGGTATGTATCTCACTGCTCTTTTGAGTTGTCACTTAGCAACCGGCCCTGGTCCACCAACTAATCACAGATAATGACCACAGGAGGGACAAGAGGAGCGCTCATACCGCTTCACAAACCACATCGGTGGTCTCGATCTTAATTGGCCTCGGTTCGACAGAATCTGACCTCTCCGCGAGCATTGAAGTCAGCCACGCACAAAATCATATACCTTCCAGGAGGTACCTACTAAAGGCAAGACTTGTTCCGTATCCACACTGGAGGTTGATACGCGGGAGTGTTCTTCTACTTTGATGGGCTCACATTGATCGTGAAGGGGGAAACAGAAGTGAAATACAAGGACATCTGGTGGCAGCGGGCATTCCTTGCTCTTGGTTCATTTGAGGTGGTTGTACCATAGTTTTCAACATCTCCAGGAGAGAGACACGATGTCATGTTGAAGCAGTGATATGGATGGAGTTCAAGAGAAGACAAAGCTGGTGTAGAGATGTTTGTAATTTAGCAAAGCTTTATCGTGATTATATCCAACAACCGCCCTAGTGGCAGTCAATGCAATTGTGAGAAGAAGTCGAAAACAGAAGTGCATATGGCATGTTGAATTCTTAATCGGTTAAGCTGGCCTGGGGTGAATAAACATAAAACTACAAACATCCAAGGATTCGTTCTCCAACCCCCAACGACCCAACAACAAGTAGCATGGCCAATATCCACTAATAGCCTTCGGAAAACCCTTCGTCTTCACCTTCACAGATGTGGCTTGTCTGTGGATCAAGTCGTTGATCTTTTCCACCACAAAAGGACCGAATATATCTTCGATTTCCTGTAACGTGAAGGTCATTTTTGGGAGAGACGTAAGTGTAAGGCGCTCCTCTGGATCAAGACACTCCAAGTAAATGCAAATAAAAACGAAATGAAGCAGAAAAGAGTGAGCATATTCCGTTGTCGCCTTATTGTCGCCTTTGGGAGATCTGCAAACTCTCCATTCAAATCTTTCCAACTCTTATCGGCATTCCACCAAAAGCGTGCTAGTCCGATGATGTACCAAACCCCCGACAAAACATGTCATCGCGGAGGACTAATCCGCTAGACACATTTCCAGTTACTCGTATAGACAGGACGTAACACCGTTGACGACGTACAAGATGCATTTTTGGATAACTAAGGAGGCGAGGAGAGCCTGACACGAAGGGCTGCTGTCCATTCTTATTGGCGACGAAAGTACTGGTGTTTGCCGTGTCGTTGATACGGGGAGTGGTAGAGGCTGAGAATGGACGGCTGGGAGGTCGACTGCAGCCCGCCTCGCTTGTGTATATACCTGTTGCTGTGCCGCCACTCATCGGGTTCAGGCAACGCCTCGGGCTCATAAGGCGGAGGCGGGGCTCTCGGCCTTGATGTGAGAGGTGTAGCGGCTCGGCGGGGTGTAAGTGTACGTTCTGCTCTCGGCCCTGACACAAATAGGCCACTTCAACAAAGTCACTTTGGCGGAGTGGTTAACGGTTCCCTCGACACCCATGTTGCGTGCCAAGCCGCCCTCATAAGTGGTTCCACAAACGACCAATTTCAACAAACTACCACTAGTCACTTTGGCGGAGTGGTTAACGCGCTGCCCTGCTATTCGCAAGAAAGTTAAGGCAGTTCCCTCGGGAGCACAGGTTCGAATCCTGTAGGTGACGTTTCTTTTTGACTTTTGCTCAACTGAAACATCATTCTTTCTCTCTTTCTTTCTCTTTTTCCTTGCTTCCCCATTCATTCTGTCTACTTTTCGGTTTTGCAGAATGGACTGACTGACCCCTCTTGATCATCGTTGCGATACGAATGAGGGTAACGGTTTAGCGAGCTAAGCTTGCAGCCCTCAGTAAGCTGGTGTGCCTTCTCGACCGAAGGCATGGAGATGATCCATTCGTCGTAGTTTGGATCCCGCACCTTGAGCCACCAGGTCCTTTTGCAAAGTTGACCGAGGCGAAACACTTTGTTTGGTTTGTGACTAACGTTGGCAAGTGCTGCTGGTATTGACTCCCGTCCGCAGAGTTCCTTCAAGAAAGTGTCGATCATCTTCGGAGGCATAAGTTTTTCCTCGGCAGCTACGGCCATCAAATAGCCTTCGTTACAGTACCGCCCCGGTCTAGGGAAGGGCTTGGTGGTTATATAGCGAGACCAAAAATACTCCCACCCTGGCCGTCTCCTATCGCTTATCCGGATGAGGGCGACCATGTAGCGGAAAAACATGAATCCCGCTCTTGGGCGGTTGTGGTTTTGGAACTGAAGTTCCCTCTGTTAAATCGGTGTTTGTGAGCCTGCCTTTCCCAAAGCGAGTAAAGGTCTCCATCTCTTTCAAGATAAAGCCAATAGAGAGAGGGGTGCGCTCTTCACTTTGGGAGGTGATGGCGTAGTCATTGAGAAAACTCTCCAAAGCAATAAAATGTGGCTTAAATTGAAGCCACAAGCCACTTCTGATCTTTCCAATCGGATAGACTATGTCGATTGTTGAGAGGGTGCCATTTTGGTAGAGTTTGACTGCCCACTGTATTGCCTTGTCAAGTGAAGAGAATGTGGCTGGGAAGACACAAGGCCCCCAGACTAAAGAAATATGATGTATGTATGTACTGAGTAAGTACGATTGGCATAGAAGTTTGATACCATAGCCGTATCTGTCTTCGGGCTTGTCCCACCGAAGGACAAATTGGGTACGCTTGAAGTATTCCTCATAGGCTTCGTTTGTCGAGAGTTGTTTTTTTAGTTTCCTACTCACTTGAAGCTGTATAGCTTCACCGGCGCGGAATCGATGGAAGGCGGCTTCGTGGACGAGGGGGATTGGAGCCATGTTAAAGATAATAACGCTGGTGAAGAAAAAAAGAAAAAAAGAACGTCAGGTCGGTGTTTCTCTTTCTGACGCCATCGTTATTGACCAGAACTCCCAGCGGTGACCAGTCGGCCATGGCTGGGTCGACCCAGATGTCTCCCGGCGGGTCTTGGTCTTTTCGAACGGCTTCGACTGGATCGACGGATCGGAGAAGCTCGCTGAAGGCTGTTGGAGGGAGTTGTAGGATTTGAGGGTTGCTCTTCTTCGTCTGGTCCGGCCCATACGAAGCGGTAGATTTCGTACTGCATCTCTACCGGCAGACCAATGAGTGAGGGCTGGGAAGACATCGTTCGTCGTATCTGATAGATCGAGGTTGCCGGTGGTGATGATTGGACATAGATTCTGCCATAGTTAGTACACTGTTCAAATGGGGTTGTATTGTTGTACAAGAACCTACCTCGGCATAAAGATGTTGGCTCTGAGATGATGGAGACCAATGATGGCGAAAATGATTGTTGGATGTCGGGTCCGATATGGTTGAGAGTGAAGCGCTGGTATCCGAGCTGGTGACCAAAGGATTGTCAGCGTGGTCTCAACCATGGTGATAACGTGATTGATCAAAAAGCGGCCGGGTTGATGGTGTCAAAGGGGTGACTGGTCCTCCATTCCCTGGTGATCACTACCAAGCTGCATTGGAAGGCAAGCTGGCATGAACCGGAATGGTGATCGATCTTCGGTGAAGAAGACGACCGCGGGAGAGGAAATGGCCAGAGTCTCGAGGGAAACAAGAGAAACGACAAAGTCCGATGGGATGTTAAGCTGGTGAGAGGAAGAAGAAAAAGGCCCGTGTTCTTACATTTTTGGTAGGCGTACTAGAATGTAAGCGAAATGGGAAAGCAACCAATTGATTGTGTGAAGAGTGTGATGATTCTGGAGAAGAAGAGAAGACCTCCAGAGGCGGGGGGGAAGCCTGGTTTATATACATGGGAGTCCGTGGGAAACACGGTCTCTGATCAGGCCATCTTGGGAATGTCTTCCTTCCTCCGTATCGCAGTCTACCTTCCTTGTCGTGATGGCTTCCTTCCCGACAGAAGGGGAGTGCTTGCGCTGACCGTTCGTCATGGTCAGCGCCCCGTCGACCCTCGACGTTCAGTTGTGTGACCAGAAAGTTGCGGCGGAAGGAAGTATTCGAAGCCATAGCCTGAACAGACAACACCTCCACACCCCTATCTTCTAGTCACCTCTACTCATCCTTACATGAGTACAAAAGGAAACAGAAAAGCGAGATCAAGAAGTCTTCTTTCTCACTCGGCATCCAGGGATGCTTCTTCACTTCACCTCCCTTGATCCAAAGACATTGCAAAGAGAGGCTTTTGCATTGTCGCCCTATGACCCAGTTGATCCCATTATCGCTATTACCTGTGCCTGTAGGTAAGTGGTACCCAGTTGTCTACTTGCTAGGAGTTGGTGGTGGGAATGCTGGTGGTGGTCTGGCAAGTATGAGGCTGGTTGGTAGTAGAAGCCGGGGCAGGAGCAGAACAAAAATAATTTTCGCTGATGCCAGTTCGGGACGGCAACTCCCAAAGAGGGTTGAGAGCGCCAAGGTGTTGATGAATGGCAACCCCGTTCCCGTTGTGTAGTTTCTCGTCATCATTCTCAGGGTTCCTCCTCGTCACCACCCTATCCATTGAACCGCTCCCAAACCTCACTCTCCTCCTTCCTCAAATACTCCCAAAAATCCTCCTTCTTCTCGGTCCCGAACTTCTCCCTCGTCTCTACCCTCAGCGACACCTTCATCCTTTCCGTCCTCCTCTCCCCGTTCTCGGTCCCAGTCCTGGAGGTCCCGGTCCCCTTCCCTTTCTCCTGCCCCTTCCCCTCACCTCCCATCCCACCAACACTCCCAACACTCCCACTCTCACCCTCACTTCCACTAGCATCAACAACCCTCTCCAAAACCTCCAACAACCTCCTCTCCCTCCGCAAAAACCTACACACCCTCTCCCCTTTAACATCCCACACAACCTCCAACGTCTCCAGCCCTCCTCCTCCTTCCCAGTCCCGCGCCGCCGCCAAATCAACCAACCACCTCTCCAAAGCCCCCACCCCCCTCCCACTTCTCCCACCTTTCTTCCCCTTCCCCTTCCCCTTCCCAGACCCTCTTGAGTTTGCCCTTGGATCAGGACCAAAAGTCACATCACCGGCCCTCCCTCTCCACCCACCTCCCGCCTCCCCCTCCTCCTAACGTCCCCCACGTCTGAAACGCAACGCGCCCATAGAAACCCCAGTACCAAACTACGTTGCTTGATGTTTCCTCTTCTCAACAAGGGTAACGCGGAGTTGTTGAGAACCTAAGTTTCATGGCGTTGATGCTGTGGATTAATTGACCACCTTTCTTCTTTCAAGTCTTTGATATCCCACCGCCCACCGGAGATAAACTTGCGTTTGGTCGAAGAAGTACCTAGGTGTAGGCTTCTTGGCGGATTTGGAACGATTGATGCGGCCTAGTAGGAGGGCAAGAAAAAAAAAAGTTGGGCGTGGAGGTAGGTTAGGTTGCTTTTAGCTGTTGTCCTCCTTGGCCGTGTCCATGGCTGCTGTATTTGTGTTCGCTTGTAAGGTCTGTCGTGCTGTTGTTGCCACTGTTGTTAGTGGGGGTGACGAGGTGAGGGACGGGATCGATGGTCTAGACGAAGCGGTAGATTAAGAGGCGGAGTTCGGCGGGGAGGTGGAGGAATGGGAAGGGGATAGATGGGGGGAGACGATTAGCAGCTTGCATCATGGAGACCTTCTTCTAGGCTGGGGTCCTCCGGACCCGAGGGTGTGGTGGTTTCATGCTGCCGGTCTGTGATCCCGACATCTTTGCTGTTGATGCTTCGCGATGATGATCATGATGCTTCATGATGATGATGAGGGGAAAGAAGGGGCCGTTAATGGTCTGGTTATAGCTCTATATACTTTCTGCGGGGAACGGGGGCAATATGAAGAGTAATGTGTGCGTGTGTGGATGACCAACCACCATCATTGACGTGAGTCTAGACGGCTCTGGATGGGAGATCTGGAGAGCTCTGTGTAAACAACCACATAGTTCTGGTATGTGGAACTTTAAAAATTGCCATTTCTGAACATTTTGACAAGAGAATTGGCACGAGCGTCGGCGAATGCTCGAGTTTCCCTCGCCCTCCATCCCTCCTTACGGCAGATGGTGATCACGACAACCATGATCACAGGATCCAGCTTTGTCCTCTCTATTTCCCCGGACCCTGATGAACTCATTGAAGCTCTTGTCAGAGCTCAAAAAGGCAATTACAATAGGGGAAAAGAAAAGGAGCAGAGAGGCCACGCCTGTGCCCAGAGGTGCTTGTGTATTAGATGCCGTTTGCGCTTTCTGTGGTTCTTGTTTGATCAATGGAAGTGAGGGGCCATACTTATTTTGAAGTCGAAGTCTAGAGGTACCTGGTTTGACCCGAAGTTGACCCTGATTGGTAGTACTTCCGTTAGTACGACTACTCTTCCAACCTGCTGACGCAGCGCACCTTCCAAGAATACCTCCAACCTCGGCTGGCTCGCAGCTCTCCTGCATGGATCCTGGAAGCTGTTGCTGTTGGGAAGTCGTTACCGATACCTCTGACCTGTACCGTATTTCCAACTGAGGTAGACGGTACATGTATTTATGCTGGCTCGCCGACCATTCACTTCGAGCTCAAGCCTGCTGTGTACCCGACATCCTTTCCGCGTTCCTCGAATTGTGTGCTCTACTTAAGTTCTGCCTGGACCTGCCTTTTCCAATTCTTTATTCTCCCGCAACCATTCTGGTCTACTGCTTCTAAACCCGTCAGTCATTTCCTCACTTCTCTACGTTGCCACACCGAGGTTGTAGACCACGGCATCGCTTGCCTATGGAACTGGAGCCACTTCCTCCCAGGATGGACTCTCAATCCGTATTCCCCTTTTTCCGCCTTCCGGCTGAGCTCAGGCTCGAGATCTACAAGCACGTATGGACCGTTCCGGAGGCCGAATACGTGTACCAGCCCAACGACCGTGACTACCGGTTGAGGCTCTCAGTAGACTACCTGACAGCTCAACTCTCGGCAATCCGCAAGCTGGGCGCCATCAGCCAGCGCATCCGCGCGGAAGCTTACCCGGAATATTTCGACCACACGCAAATCCTTCTCCGCTATGATACCGCCTGGAGAAACTGGTTTCCACTTGATGACCCCGGCTGGGACGACCGCAACAGAAGGGCGCTGTACATTATCAGCAGCTCGTACCTGCTCCAGACCCAGGCGCGACACGTCTACCTGCACTGGCCCGCTCGTGGTAAAGAATCCTCAATCTCGATGTTTGAGGTAGGCAACTCCCGCATGCGCGCTCGGTGGCAGGAAGAGCTGCTCAACGAGCAGTGGGCTCTTGAGTGTGTCTCTCGCTTCAAGAACCTGAGGAGTCTGGATGTTCATGTGGATAATGGTTTGGTTATTCACTGGAAAGACCATTACTGGTTTCAACACGTGTATGAGTTTGATCATCCCGATCCCGATCACGATCACGATTACAAAAAGGAGCTCAAGCGCTTGTTCTATGACGACGAGCGCCGCGCAAAGCTGATCGAGGCGTTGAAGACGCATCATCGAAAGTTGGAGAAGGCGGTTGTGCGGACGGATCTTGGCGACTCCCGAGTTGTCGTTGTCAAGCTGATGGACGAGCATAAGGCGTTTAAGTGGTGGCGCCGACTCAAGAAGGACGTGGCAGTTTTGGCTTCTCAAGGCCCTTCCACCGCGGTATGTATATGATTTTCATTCTGCGTGCAATCAACCTGTCCTTCCCAGCCCCTTACATTCGGTTCAGCAGAATTAGAGGGAACAGTCCGCTAACATGCCCACGTGCAATCGCCGTAGAAAGGGGAGAAAGAGGACACGTACGTGTTCAAGCAACACATCGGCGGTCTCAAGCTTTGTTGGCCGAGGGCATCCACGGTATGATTTCCGAGCACACAAACGACTGCCCGGCAGACCATGCCAGATGGTGGGAGGTAGAAGGTCCGTGTGTTTTGCGACGGTTTGGCGTAGGGGAAGATTCTAAACGGTGTTGAGTCCATGTATTATGATAAGCACAATCCGTCGGTCGAACAGGACTTGAATATGTCAAAACATCCACGACATGGAGCTACGAACCATGTGATAAGATCTTGGGCAATGAAGATCAAGGGACAGACATGAGGTGGGAAGGAGTGATGGAAAAGAACTGTGAGGCAAAAGGTGGAGAGATCCAAAAATTTGATGGAAGTGGTTGAATTGATGAGAAAAAGTAGCAAGTCAAAGGGCTGGCGATGTTCTCTAGGCTGGAAAGATAAATTGACGGATAATATGGGGAAATGAAAGAGAACAGAAAGGGTGCCTTTGTCTACTCGTCTGTCGCATGCCATTTTGCCTTGAGGATCACTCGTTTTTGAGGAAAAAAGCCGTCTTTTTTTTTTTCTTTTTCCCTTGCCACGCTGAATTCTCCGCAAGAATCAACCAACGCAACGCAACTTTCACGGCAAGGGTGAACCGCACAAGGTAGGCAAACGCACATTGACTTGACTATTCTTCTTTCTCTCATTTTGCCCTGTCTGTATAGTACCTAGTTCCCACACTTTCCCAACGGAACTTATCCATCAATATCTAGCATGTCAAGCTCCTTTTCTCTCCTTTCCTAGAGACACCCATCCCCACCATGTATCATCTAACACCAAGTAAAGACCGGATTCCTACTCTTCACAGCCTCCAACCTCTCCACAATAACCTTCCTCTGATTCCCCTCCATCCCCTCCGCCGCCGCGTACCCCAAATCGCCTCCGGCATCCAACTCGTCCACATCACCATTCACATTCACATACGCACCAAACACCCCTTCTCCGGCTCCCTCCAGACTCCATTCCCTCGCATGCCCGTTGTGAGAGTAACTAGTACTGTACATCTGACTAGCAATGGTGTTCCCGACCTTTCGGCTCGCGGGCGTAGCGAAGCTGAAACGGCGCTCGTGATAGCCTGCTTGGCCGGCGGCACCGGCGCCAGCGGAGCCGTCACGGTCGGGGTTGTACATGTTTAGGCCGTTGGCTGGGGGCCGGAGGGAGATGGGGTAGTGCTTTCGGGTGGCTGTGGTGTTGTCGGACTCGCTGCGTCGGGGAGGCGAGGCGAGGGGGTGGTCGATTATTCCCGTGGTCCCGTTAGGAGGGGAGATGTGGCCTTCTGGTAGGGATTGGGGGTAGTCGTTGTCGGTTGCTGCGGGACTAGCGATCTCGAACCGGCCGGGGTGAGGAAGGTCTGTGTTGCTGCTGGAGCCGAGACCGAGGAGATCAGCAACCGCGGGCTTGGATGAGTTGCCGGCGAAGCCAATGTCCATTTCTTCTTCGTCGATGGTGGGCTTAGGCCTGTGGCCGGGCACGAAGTAGTCTGTTTGTCCTTGGTGTTGTTCACGGTCAGCCGCGGCAGCGGCCTGCCGACGCATCTCGGCGCTGGGAGCCCTCATGGGAACGGCTACGGGGACGTCGACGAGGTCGTCCCAGACGCAAACCTTGGCGCGGCGAGTCAGTTCTAGGGGACCGTGGTCGGGCGTTTTCAGCGTTTCGACCACGTTCCAGGCTTGACCCTTCATGACAGCAATCTGCTTGGCGAACATGCGCTCTTGGAAGTCGGGATCGAGCTGGAAGACTCGTCTAAGGGCGAGTTGGGTTTGGCTCCACCAGGCCGTGGATGTTAGTAGAGGGAGGAAGTGGTCTCGTGTCTTCTGGGAGAATGGTCGACCGATGAGGTCAACAGGGAGGAAAAGCCACCCGAATGGGAAACTAGAGTCCTTGTTAGCAGCAGTCAAGGGACAGATAGAAAGAGCAAACATACCTCCTCCAAGCATCGGGGTGTTTCCACGGCCACGACAAAGAGTTATCGATAGCTCCAATCGTGATCTTCGGGTCGTTATTCGCCGCCCCCGTCGACGTCGAAGCATTCATCGGCTTTTGCGTTCTATAAGGATAGGAGGCCCTCGTTTTAGGAGGTCCTCTTTGGCTCAGGTCCACCGGTCTCGGCCCTTGTTCTGCCGCATCATCGTCCTCTTCCCTCTCTTCGGTATTCGTGTTAAGATGCACCGGCTCCGACACTATCGACACCTCCTGGGTTTCCCAATCCACCTTGATCATCCAATTGTCCAACCCTCTGTCCGTATTCCGCATGATATAATCCAAAATGACCAACTTCTCCAACTCCTCCCTGAAAGCCTGCTTTAAGGTGGGCGTCCAGACAAAGTTGCCTGGGCCCGGTGTGAGGGAGACTGGACTGCCGTTCTCGTCGTCGCTGTCGCCCTCGCCCGCCGGCGAGCTGCCAGGACGGCAGCTGTCCACCCAACGCTTCTTTTTCTTCCGGTGCGGATCATTGGTCCGGAACCCGGAAAGGTACTGGTCTGGCCATGGGTGTTCTCGAAGGAAGAGGTTGGCGTCTTTGAAGCCCTTGAGGAAGACTTGGAAGCTGCCGGGCTTGGCGGGTAGTGTTTTCTTGTTCCGGGAGTAGCTGTACCGGTCCCAGAATGGGTAGTGGAAGGATTTGGAGGAGAGGTAGACGACGTCGGTGTAGGGGACCATGTGTGTGCGGAGTTGGGCGTCGAGTACGTAGGCGGCTGCTTCGCTGACGTAGGAAAGGTTGGGAATCAAGCTGTAACAGAGCCACATGTCAGTAAAAGGCCATCTTGTAGGCGGTAGACAGGAAAACATACCAAGCTCTGCCAAAACAACAAGGAAACAGATTCCGATGAATCCACTTATTCCACTTCGGATTACCCGCCGCATACGGCTCCTCGTCCTTGGGCTTAAACACACCCACCACCTTGCCCCCCGTATTCCTCGCAAAGTAACTCCCCGAGCTGCCCTGGGAGATCATCAACGGATGCACCCCCTGCTCAATCGCCGTCCTCACACTATCCACAATCGCCTCGAACTCCGCCTTGGTCATGTACCCGGGCTCCGGCCTAGCCAGCATCTCGGCGGTGACGGGCCTCACGCCCTCGGGCGCCTGGAACACGGTATGATGGATCTCGAGCTGCTCATCCTCTTCCCCACCCTTCTTCTTGCCACGCTTGAACTTGCTGGCGATCTCATCGGCCCAGCGCTCCAGACGCGCGTTGATGGCTTTGAGGTCCACGCCCGAGTTGCTTCTTTGCCGTGATCCCCGGCTAACCTTTCTTCCGCCGGTGGGCCGGAGCGAGGTGCCGGGCATCTTGGGGCTGGTCATGCCCGAGTGCGGGCGCGGTTGCGTGATGGCTGCATAACGGGGTGCGGAGGCGGGCTGGAGCGAGGCTACGCTGTAGTCGAGGGCATCTGTGTCCGAGTCGTCGCTGAATTGGTCGGCTTGGGCGAGGCGTTCGTAGCCCGTCGTGGCGGGCCGTGTGCGAGGCATTGTGATGGTTTCTGGGGATTATGTTTGTGTGTGTATGTAGCTCGGTTGTTGGGTCGGATTGCTTGGCGAGCTACTACTAGTCACCGCGGTAGTCTGGTAGACTTAGGATCGTGTGGTGTTATCGGCGCCAAGCAAGTGTTGTAGGTGTCGAAGAGGCTGTCTTTATGCGGTGACCATTGTGGCCCAGACTGTGGTATGCAGGTTTCGTCGATGGCTCGGCTCGGTCGAAAGCGAAAGGGGAAGGTCGGGGATGCAACAAGCTGTCGAGGTCCGAAGGTGGAGAGGCTGGAACAACACGATTGACGACAACCCGAACAGATAAACAGAAGTGGAAGCAGCTGATATGCTGGTCGATATTAAATACAATGTAAATGTATTACAAAGTGTCGCCCTCTCTGGGGGATGTAGTAGTCGTAATAATGGTGATGATATATCGAACTGGTGTTGCTGTTGTCTCGGAGGGATGATCGTTAAATCCGCCGCGTGTAGAGTCCTAGGAGTACGAGTCTTGGTAGCTGAGGCGTCCTGTAGGTCTCGAATCTCGTTTGTTGATTGGTGATTGCCGCTCGATCCGAACCTTCCTCGATTGTATCAAACGATTGCTGCCGGTGATGCTTGCAATTACTCGACACTGGGTCTTTGTTTGAAGTCGGGACGGAGTCGGGAGTTGTTGTTTGTTTGTTTCCCGATATTGCAGTGGCAGGCACTGGAGAAAAGACAAGTGGAAGTGGGAAGAGGAACAAGAGTGGGATGGAACACCACTTGGAACCCGAATGGAACGGCGGGACACGCTCCCAAGGCTTCAACAAGTGCGACGCCTCGCTAGGGCGGTGGGCAACCAACCTTGCTAGCGGATGGAACCGCCTGTCCGCGCCCACCCAATTCGCTGAAACACCCCGATGGAGGTGTGCGTCTAGGACCATGCACTAACAATTATTTGCAGATCATTTACGGCGGTGTGGATCTATCCATTTTCAGCCCCTGAATTGACATCAACAATCACAACATCACAACAATCAACAACGTCACGGGATCACTCATCCACCAAGACATAGGCATCATATTTCTTACACTTTGAACCAACCGTAAGCAATAACTTTGATCTTAGACCATTACCCTACAGGGCATATATCTCACTAACACTTCAACGTATCGGTATCACGGTCGGCACGGTAATCATTCACGATATTCAACACACATTCAACACAAATTCATCACATTATCACTTTACCGCAGAACAAGTATCGCCGTATTTAAGGTAGTCGCACTTCCGTTGAAATTCACTAATCATTGAGCCATATAAGGCTATATGATCCACCAACTATCCTCAAGCTGGTTGCCTAGTAGAGGTAAAATCCCTTCCATAACGCCCATTGTCTACTCAAACATGCCTTTTCCTTCCCTTCCCATGCCCTTTCAAATGCTCCAAATGCCTCTGCTAAATAGCAAGAGGTCCTTTCACGAAAATTTAATCCCTGATGTCGTGTCCATAAGCCATCCATGAAAGCAAAATAATCCTGGGTATAGTCGGATGCCGATGCGCCGATGCCCGCTGATGCAAATGCCATAAACCCCCCCCCCCCCCCCAAGCCAAAGCAAACCCCTAACCCCCTCCCTCCCTCCCCCCCTAATGGAACCCAAGGTCCCTCTTCTCCTCAAAACTCATCCCCTTCCACTTCCTGACCCTCTCCGCCTCCTCATCCTCCCTTCTAACCCTCTCCCTCAAGACCCGCGCCTCCTCCACATGGGCCTGGGCCATGGCCAGGTCCATCGCCTGGTTGATCTCGTCGTACTGCTCCTTTGCAGTACGGTCTTCATCCTCCGGGAAGATGCCCCGGGCCATCTTCGCCCTCTCCTCCCTGGCCGCCTCGGCCCTGGCGGCCTTGCACGGCTTGCAGGCCTTCTCGGGGCGCGTAGCGTCCTCCTTGTCGCTGCACAACCACCAACCGCCCCTCTCGCACTTAAACTCCGTCGACCACTCGGGGTGCGGGTCGTGGAGCTCGGGGAAGATCTTCTTCGGCTTGGGCTTGGCAGCACCAAACTTCTTCTCCTCCTCAGCCCGAGAATACAACTCCGCCACCTTGACCATCAACTCGTCAAATCTTTGGCGCGGGTGGGCGGAGCGGAGCGGGACAATTTGTTGGGCGTCGAAGATGGGGAACCAGCTCGGTACGTTCTGGGGGATATCGCGACCCTCCCCAGCAGGGTCGAGCATCCGGCCGGCTGCGGCGAGGGTTTGAGGTTGCCCGGCAAGTTCGAGGTCCGCGAGGAGGTCGTCGTCGTCGGAATTGTCGTCGTCGTTGAGGTCGGCGGCGGTTGCCTTGCCTTTACCTTTTCCCTTGCCTTTATCGGCGGCGCGGGCTTTGGCTTCTTTGTGAAGACGCTTGAGCTCTTCCTCCTCGTCCTTCTGGCTCTGGAGTTTGATGAAGTTCATGAGGCGCTCCTGTTCTTCCTCGTTTGCCTTGTTGTCGGCCTTGCGCTTCTTGTCGGCGCGACGGATGTCCGCGATCTGCATGCTGTCGAAGCTGAGAGTCAGGGCCACGGTGCGGTGGTGCTCGCGCATCAGCTCATGGTACTTTCGCAGGAGCTCGCGGAGCTTGTGGTTGTTCTCGTCCTGGTACATTTCGAGTTCGTTGACGCGAGCCTGGGCGAGAAATCTCTGGATGCCGACTAGGACGTTGAGGCCGCGCACGCGGTTGAGTTTGTGTCTGAGGCTCGAGAGTTCCTCGTAGATTTTCTCGTTCTCCAACTGCAGCTCTTGCCCCCTTGCTTTAATGGCATTCATTTTGGTCTCAATGTCCTTTAGGTACTTGACGTAGCGTTTGGTGTCCTCGTGTTCAAACTGGAGCCAGCCGTATCTGGCGTCGGCGTCGAGCTCGTGGGTGAAGCCGAAGAGCTTGCTTTTGTCAAGCTTGGACACGTCGTCGCAGGGTTGCTCAACACAGTAGCCGAGTGATTCGTCGTATTGCATAAGCTTGCCGTCGTTGACCCAAGGAGCCCTGATTGTCTCGACGTGCTTCCAGGGGAAGGCTTCTGCCGCCGCTTTGTTGAGAGACTTTGCTGGATACCTGATCGCGTTGAAGATAAAGAAGGGGAAGTCAGTTGATTCCTCCATAAGCTTGTGCCAGGGGTGCAAGAAGTATTCCGGTCCTTCAACAATCTCGCTGAGGGGGAGACCGAAGTAGGCCTCGGGTGATTGGAATCTTGGGTCGTTCTTGCGATCAACTACCGCGGTGGAGGACTCGCCCTCTTCGTCCATCATGTTGTTGCCAGGCAAAATGGTCGCTTGTGCCAAGATGGTCGCTCCTGACATGTAAGAGTCGGTGCTGGCATAACTGGTGGCATAACTGGTGCTAGCCAAGGTCGGCGATGAGGCTGGAAGGGGGACATCCTGAGGGCTGGACGATGGAAGGGGGATATTGTGAGGGCCGGAGGGACGGCTACTGGCCATGAGCCAGCGTGGGGTTCTCTGGCCCGGAAAAGAAGGGTGAGGAGGGCGAGACATGTTACCGAAACGGTAAGCAGTCACTATACTTATAGCTAGGGTAGGTCTTGGGGCCGCCATGAGTCGGCCCACAACGGGGTTGAGGAGTGAGATGGTGTCCCGCGTAGGGCGGGGTCTTCTTGGGTTAACCATCTTGTCGTCGCGTTCGACAACTGAAGAAAGAGAGTCGGAGGCGCGCGACACTCGTGCGGCTTCGTTATTGAAGCGTACCTTTTCTGGTGAAGAAAGATGTGATAGTCGGTGAGGTCTGGTGTTGAAGACCGTGATAGTTGACGAGTGGATAGTCGTCGCGTTCAACAACTGGAGAGAGAGTTAGATGTGCGCGATAGTCGAGTGACCTTTTCTTGAGACTTACCTCTAGGTGAAGATGAAGTGATAGTCGACGCGATGATGATCGTCGAGGAGTGGTAGTTGAAGGGTGTGAGAGTGGACGTCTGTGATGATCGTCAAGTGGTGACCGTAAACTGATGGCAGATGAGTGAGTGTCAGTCGATGAACGCGAGAGTAGATGAGGGGTATCAGGGAGTTGAGGAGCTTACCTTGTGGAAGTCGTCAGGTCACAAGTCGGCGAGGTATGGTAGTGTTTATCGACTGAAGCGCGTGCGTAAAGTCGTGATGGTGGTGGTGTTTTGTTACCCCCGAGGGGTGGTGCGGGGTGAAGAGTTGGTGCGAGAGTAGAGGTGGTGATGCGCAGATGAAGAAGTTGAAGAAGAGGATGCGCGATGGCAGAGATGTTCTTAGATGGAGGGGTATTGTGTGAGTTGAAGAGTTATTGTTCTTGAAGAGTGGGATGCTATGCGCGGCGGCAAGAATTTGGGTTGCGGGTGTTGTTATTGGGTGGTAAGGAGAAGGATGAGTTCAGGGTGAGGGGAGGTTGAAAAAGTTATCTTAAACCTTCCTATTGTCGACGGTCACCTTCCACGGTCGCACTCCAGGTTGGTTGTCGCCGACGTGGGAAGTGAGGTTTGAATCAGGTAGAAGTAAACACTAGTGCTGTGATAGTCAAACGGAGGAGCAGATTGTCTGGGAAACTGGTGATGTTCTATGAACAGCCTCACGAACAGTCAAGAACAGTGATGCCGTTACCAGATCAAGTGCGGTGGTTGCCAGAGGAGAGAGTATAGTCCAACTAGCGCCGTCTGTCGTTCAGTGCGCACTCGTTTCGGTACCCTCGCCGTCCTCGAACAACGCTAGCGAGTAGCCGACGGCAGCGACAGCGGACGGCCCAAAATCAAGGGGTGACGTAACGTATTGCGGTTCAGGTCCGATATTCAGCGAGCAAGTGAAGGTACGTGAGGCTTGTTCTCGAGGCTGATGGCTTTACACGGCTGCACAACCATGGTATTTCAACCTTGACGGTCACCTTCCTCCGTGTTCCGTGCGTGCTAGCTCCGGTATCTCCAATCCCTCTAACTTGACTCTTCGTCTTCGAACCTTGGCGAGGCAAACAGCACGACAGCACATACACGGCGTACCGTATTTGAGGCTGGCAACCTTCAAAGTTGGTTCATCGACAATGATAGAAACAGCAACGGTTACAGGGATGACAGCAAGGACCATAACCACGGCACCAGATAGAAGAAACAAGTCCATACTGATAGATAGAACATAACGAAGACAACCGCTAGAGTGCCATAGCCGCAACAGACCCAACCGACACCGATTCACGCAGTCTCTTGTCCTTCTCAAGCAACAAGATCTGTTTCTTCTTCCGCTTATTCACCGCCGACAAGTCCGCGAATCTGCCACGCGCACCATGCCTGAACTTGGTGATCATATCCGACGCCGCGCCTCTCGTGACATCCTTGGGCTCGACCGGCTCCTGGCCGCGCCGAATCGTCCTGTTGATAAACTTGATCTGCCCCTCGGTCGCCGGGTCGTCGCGCCACTTCATGCCTCTGTGGATAAAGTTACGAGGGAACTTGCCTTGACCAGCTGGTGACGCAAGAAAGCTGTCGGCACCGTGAACGGCGTCGGCAAATGTTTCGGCCTTTAAGATCTCGCGTGGCGTTGCATAGGGCGATTTGGATGTCACAGACACAGGCAGCGTGCGCACTTCGTAGGCAACCCACCGTGGTGCCCCTTGCTCTTCCTCCTCGGGCGCAACCCTATCCAGCTTGACGTGGGAACTGTCAGGGCCACTGATAACATACTTATCCTGCCCGATCATCACCCAGGAGTACTGGCTAATCGAGCGGATATGTCTCTCGCCCGACGAGTCGGCGATCAAGTCAAAGACCGACTCGTACTCGGTAAAAGTAACGGCCCATTCACCCTGCGGTGCCGGATTCGTGCTCCCAGCCGAGTGATAAACAATCTCCTTCCTCGCCTCCTCCTCCGCTCTGCGCTCTCCCTTCTCCTTCATATCCTCCACCGACGCTCCCTCTACCAGCAGATCCGGATCCAGCCCAAACAGCGTCGGCGTCGTCACGATTCCCGTCGCCAAGCTCGACACCATATCGATAATATGGCAATTCTCCTTTCCGGGGTACAACCTCATGCCGCGACCAATCATCTGAATCAGCAGATTCCTTGACCTTGTCGGCCTCGCCATCAAGATACAATCGATATTTGGGATATCCGTCCCCTCGGTAAACACGCCGCAGTTCACAAGCACGGGGAACTCAAAGCGCTTGAACGCATCCAAGATTTCCGCTCGCTCCTTGGCGGGCGTGTCGCCCGTCACGAACCGCGCGTCGTAGCCGTACCGGCGGAAGATGGCCGTCATGTCAGCGACGTGTGCGAGGTCGACACAAAACACCAGTGTGGACTTGCGGTTGCCCGCTTTGGCGTACCAAGTGCGCACGGCGATGTCGTTGGCTTCTTCGGAGTTGACGGCCCTGGAAAGCTGGGCTATGTCAAAGTCTCCGCCAGCGCCCTTTTTGACGTCGCGGAGGTCTACCGACGAGTCGACCGTGGTGAACATGACGTCGGATAACCACTTGTCGCCAATCATGTCGACGTAGTCCTTGTGGTAGACAATTTCATCGATAGCCGCTCCCAGTCTGAGTCCGTCAGCGCGGGAGAAAGTGGCCGAGACGCCGACCAGATGGGGCGAGTCTTCCTGTTTCTGCCGGAGACCAAAGTGCTCGAGGGTGCGCAGGTAGCCGGGGGCGACGATGTGGTGGGCTTCGTCGACGAGGACGAGCTTGAAGCGCGAAGGGTCGAACTTGAGCAGGCGGTCCCCGGAGATGATGGACTGCAGGCTGGCGATGGTGATGTCGGCGATGCCAGAGGCTTTGACGTTGCCCATCTCGACTTCGACGGTCTTGTGCGGGTACGTGTTGGCGCAGTGGCGGGCGGCTTGCTCGACTAGTTCTCGTCGGTGGGCGATGATGAGGGTTTGGGTGGCTTTCTCGGAGCGAGGCTCGATGCGGTCGATGAGATGGGTGAAGATGACCTTGGTAAAAGGGTTAGTAAGGGTTCACTGATGATGATTATGAGAAGGGAGTGCTCACGGTTTTGCCAGCACCGGTAGCTAGAGAGACTCCCAAACGCTTATGACCCTGGTTGATGGCTGCCAGGACCGACTGGATGCATTCTTCTTGATAGTCACGAAGTTGGATTTGTTGCGACAGGGCATTCGTGAGACGGGCTGAGCTAGTGAAGAAGCGTGTCCTTGGGTGGCAATTTGATGGTGTTAAGTGGATGATCGATGTTCCTCTGGATAACGAGTTATGTGGTGTCGTAAGACTCAGGGTTCTAGTGGCCCTTATGAGCCTCCTCATGGCGACACTCATGGCTCCGAGTTTACTTTGTTTACCGAGCTGATGATATCTGGTTTTTGACTGCCACTCGTCCCCTTTAAACAAAACTATCGTAGCAGCATGTGATAATGAGTGACTGAGTGAAGAAAGCGAGTGGGCAACATGAACAATTCGCGATATTGGCTGGACTTCGGAGGTTGTTGTCTCTAGTGAAACGTCGTGGTCCAGGGCAGGCACATGCGATGGTCGTTGAAAGCTGTCCGTTTAGCCACATCTGCCGAGATCGTTGTTCACCAATCACAACCCTTGATTTCAGCGCTTTACATCACTGTGTGTCCGCGAGGACTCCGTACTCCTTGGGCTTTGGACACTGGAGTTGAGAATATCAATTGCTGAAGGTCCTCAGCCAATGTACCTCTCTTCATAATTTCTTAGATCAATCATCCTGTCCAGGTCAGATGTGTTGTTTGGTCTCGTCGTTCATCGTCGGACTTGAACCTCGTCCTCGAGCATGTGGGTCAACTGGTTAGAGGGACCGTGCCTGTCAAAACGATCAAGTCACGCCCGAGTCGATGTGATTGGTCCTGTGCGCGATGCTGCGGTTAAAGTGGGGAACCAAAAAGGTACCTGATCTGCAGCCGCCAGCCGCTACAGAAAATTCGCAACATCGAGAACGACTTGCTCATAGACCATCACAAAATGAAGGCTGGATACTGAGGCACTTGAAAAATCATGGTGCAATGTTCGCGCGAGCGAGAAAGGAAGGCTGGTGAGAGAAACAAAGTTCATTGTCAATACAAATTGACTCTTTGGTCCGAGTTCGAATTCTAGGCTTCTGTTCGTTCCCCACATTCAAGTGCATGGATTTCCTCACTTCATCTTCATCTTCTTGAACTCAATCGCAACTTCCATTTCAAACGGAGTGACAAGCCAATTTGGGAAACCACATCTTTACCCAGGATTGCCATGACATGATTTCGCTTTTAATACATCTGAACTTTCCCCAACGCGTCCTCCAACTCCGGCATCCAAACATTTGAGCAGTCAAATGGATTCAGAACCTGAACTCAGTGACCATGCCGCCGGCAACAGCTCCCCCCACCATCAACGACCACGACGCTCAGTTCGAAGTCAAAGTCGCAGCCAACAACCAGAATCCGAAGCAGGTTATCACCATGTAAAATCTGAACCACAAAGCGACGATGATAACGACGAAAATGACGCCGAGTCGCATTACGAAAGCGCCATCGATGATGCTGAATTCGACTACGCCCAGCTAGACGGCATCCCCCGTCGGCGCCACCAAGTCGAATCAGCAGGCAGCGAGTATGAACCGCCTTCTGATGAAGAGCCCGATCAAGAGAAAAGGAGGGGAAGATCGCGCTCACGATCAAAGTCCGTTACCACCCCGCGCCCTCCAAAACGCACATTAGAAGCCCTGCTCGACTCGACTCACGTACCGGCGGGTGACCGCCCCCCAAAACGGCACAAACCCCCATTCAACCACTCCTACCTCGCCCTCCTAAACGCCGACATCATCGACGTCGCCTCGCGCTTCGTCCCCACCGGCGACGAAACCACCCAACAACTTCTCCCCTCCCAAATCGGCCTAACCGTCTGGACGCCCGCCGAAAAGGAACTCTTCTTCTCCGCCGTCTCCCGCCTCGGCCCTGATTCTGCCGCTGCTATCGCCTCCCGAATCCGCACCAAGAGCGAACTCGAAGTTGCCGAGTACCTCGAAGTCTTTCGACGAGCGGTCAAGACCAGGCAGGACCCCAAACTCGCGACCCAGGGGCAGTTGCTGCAGCCCGTGACGCCGGCCGAGGTCCCGGCTGCTGTGGAACTGAGTCAGCAGTGCTGTAATGCGCTGGAGGACGCGGCAGATGCGGTTGCCAGCAGACAGGAGGCGTGGGAGGAGGCGGAGGAGAGGAGGAAGTGGGGGGAGAACAGGTGGTTGATTGGGAAGGATAATGTGAAGGGGTTGGAGATGGAGGCGAGAGAGGAGAGGGAGAAGGAGAGGGAGAGGAAGCGGAGGGCAGAAAAGGGGAAGGGGAAGGATGTGGATGAGGGTGGTGACGCTGATGAAGAAGAGAGGGCGGTAATCAAAAACGAGGAGGACGTCGACGAATACGGCCGAAGGAAATTGCCCGCTCTCGACCTATTCCGAGTCCGAAAAATGCTCGAGCTCTCTGAGAATTTCTTCATGAACTCTACCGTCGACGACTACAACTGGAGCAGCATGTCGGACGAACCACCCGCCATTCGCGCGACCGCTCTCGAAGACTTGCATTCGCTGGTAGTCTCGCTAACACGAAGACTCGTGGCGGCAGTGCTCTACATCAGCGAGTCACGCATCAAAGCGAAACGGGCCGTTCACCCATCAACAAGAAACCGAGTCTGGATACAAGACGTCGAAGCCGCAGTCCTTTCCCTAGGGCTAAAGAAAGATAGCCATCAATTCTGGGCCGGAGCAACAAGGAGGTTAAGACTAGATGTCTACGGCGACGAAGACTACGACTACAAGGAAGAACTAGCGCGGAAAGAAGAAGAGGGAATAGACGTCGACATGGAAATGATTCGCGACGAACCAGAACCACTATCCTACGCCGAAGTCGAGGAGGCCCTAGGCCTCGAACCCGATACCACCCGCCTCAACCACCTATCCCCCACCGACGAAGACGAACCAGACGACGACGATGATCAAAGCGACGCCGAATCCCTAGCCTCTCTCTCCTCCACGCCCTCCCTCGACGACCTCGACAACCCCGACCATGTCCAAAACCTCAACGAACCCACCCAGACCGAACCAGACCCTATCGCTCCATCAAGCCCCGCCCCATCTGAACATCATCAACTGGACCCTATCGAAGACGAAGCCATCAAATCCGAAACCCGAGAACTCCTTCGCTATTCCGCCTTACCCATGGCTATAACCTCTCGCGCTCGCCAAGTTCTCTACGCTCGCATCCGCACGCAGCGCGCTCAGGAGGCGTACGCTGACGCGCTGGACATGCGGGCTAGTTACAAGGAGGAGAAGAGGATGTGGGAGCTGTTGGGACGGGAGCCGCCCGAGGGATTGGTGCTGGTTAAGGGGGAGATACCGGAGGAGCCGACAGCTACGGGGAGGTGGACGGGGGTTGATGAGTTGTTGGGGACGAGGGGGACGGAGGTGGGGAGTTGGAGGGAGAAAGTTGGGGAGGGAGGAGGGGGGGGAGGGGCGGAGTGGGAGGTTGAATGGCAGAGGCATTTGGAGGATGGGAAGGAGAGTGGGAGGTGAAGATGGTGGTTAGATGGCACTTTTACTGTGCTTGGGGTCTGGCATGTACGTGGAAGATGGGGGGACAGAGGAAGAAGTTCGATTAGAGGTATTTGGAGCTATCAAACCTGATTCGTAGGACACATATCTTCAAGCCTTTTGGTGCCTAGAGCCGTCATCCTGACTCGTCAGACATCGATCGAGTTGTGATCGCCCACATTCTACATGTCTGTAAGTACGCCTGGCAAGGAGAACGAGGCTTTTTAAGAGGTTTGACCGAAGTTGCCTCAGGTCGATACCTCTCCTTCTCTCACTGGATGCCTCGTCTACTGATAACGCGATCAAGTCCTAATAGACAGATGGATCCTATATGTGTTATGATACATGCACTCAACACCATCCAAACTTCCCACTCCTCTTCGGAGATCTGTCCCGTCACACGCATCCTCCACCTCCAATCATTGAAATATTCTTCCGTGCAGTGATTTGTTTGGTCGGAAATCGTATATGCCCTCGGCCTCGGCCAGCAAAGATTGAGACCGCGAATGTGTTGCTCAAACATGTACGTGTTCCCCTTCTCTCCTTCCTCTTATATGTGTGGCAGAAAGAAGAGGGCGACATAATGTCGCGGACTGTAAGGGGACTGGAAGCGGGTGGGTGAAAGCACGCCTGTTTTCCTAGGTACCGAAAACAGCCTCATCGTCACCGAAAATGTTTTGAGCTCGTCCGTGCTTTTGAAGAAGTCGATAATGCCGAGTGAATTGAAGGGCTGCTAGACCCGTGATGAGGCGTTCCAGTGGAGTTCTGGGGGGGGCGATATAGTAGTCGATTGCATGGCATGGCTCCGGGTCTAATCTCTGTAAATGGAGTGTCTGTGTTAGTTGGAAGGCCTCGAAAGAAAATGGAACGATATGTGTATGAATGTAAAGATGTCATGCAGTCTTTGACGCTAGAAAAGGGGGATGGAACTTTGGTCGATAAGATACTCACTTCGCCTTCCTTCTTCAGATGAGCTTTTGCAATGTCCCTCTTAATGTCCTGGAACCATTTTGTGTTCTCCCATATCTCAACAGATTTGCCGCTCTGAAAATCAAGCTTGAAAGTGATCTTGTCGAGCGACAGCGGCGGTCCTTTCAATACCAGTTTATATCGTCTCGGATCAAAGTACTTCTCCATGACCGGCTCGTTACGGCGTTCGCTCACAATTCCTGGGCGATATTTACTCCATAGTCCGGGGTCGGTGAACACGATCTCGAGTGTGCTGAGCTGTGGCGCACGCGCCAGCAATCTCAAGACATTGTAGAGATAGAAGTCCTTGAATCGCCACCAATGGAAGCTGACGTGCCTAATGTTTTGCTGGATAAGATTGGACTTGAAGATAATGTCCATAACCGGCTCGTCAATCAGGGTCATGAGCGAGTTGGTACGCCGTCTACAGACGAGCTGGGTCCGGTGGAAGAATTCTGCGTAAGCCTCATTCCGGATCTGACGACAGATTTTGCCCAGCAGGCAGATGGCACGAATCTGGGTGGAGGCGTAGTCTGCTACCGGGTGTTCTGCGGACTTCTTGCCAATGCCATGCATGGTCCAGGCGGCCTTCCAGATGATGATCCTGACTTCTGCTGGGAGATTGAGCAATGGGGATTTCGTAATGTTGATGGCCGATTCGTCGAGAGTGCAAAAGGGATGACGAGGATTCTAAGTGATGGTGAGGACCCTGAAAGATGGTGCGGTTGCTGAAGTAGCAAGATTCGAGTCGAAGCATGGAAGAGGCCGGGTTGTATGGACCTGACAAAATCGGGAAGAGGTAAGGAAGATGTAGAACCGGCAAGTACTTATAGTGGCACCCAGGTTGGACCGAAATATTCTCCCAAGCGTGCACAAGCCGGGCGGTGAATTGAATGTTTGGTGAAGGGTGGTCTGGTGAATGGTTGTCAAGGTTTTGGAATGTTCGGTGAAGGGTCGTCAAGGCTTAGGTCGGTTTTCTTTTCCGAGCCGCCCAACTTCCAATTCGCTGAGTCGTGATAACATAAGATGACTTCTGCGGACTTTATGGGCCCATGGCACATGGAATGGCGAGAAATGGCATGGAAAACAAAACAACGAGAGGGAAAAGCAAGAGACAAAAACAGCGAAAGAGAGGGACAACAAGACCAAGAAGACGGCGGGCCTCAAAATTATATATAATCAGCCCTTCTCTGGCATCTTTCTTGAAAACCTGGGAGAAGCAACAGGAATCAAGCTCTTCTCCCTATAGATACCGTGAAATTGTCGAGCCATCGGGTCGAGTGATGCTGGAGGACGGAGGAGAGCTGTCGCGGAGAGAATGCTCAAGGTCGATAGCCTTAGAACCGTTCCACACGAGGCCATACGGGACACTGATAGCCAAAATGGTTTTGGATGATATGGCATGGAGCGTCTCGGTACGTGTCCTGTCGAGGCAGAAGGTGAGTTAAATAACGATCCATATTGTCTGCGGTGTTCACGGATCAAAAAGGAAAGACGGGGGGATTTGGTACAAAGATGATCATGGTAAGGCCGAGGAGACATACCTTGGGTAGTGTCAGGAGATGGTTCAAGATATTCCTCGTCAACCGCTCCTGCGGGCGTCCTCGCCTGACAAACCGCGAACCGTATGCCTTCTTGATAATGCTCTTGGCCGTCTTGAAGGTAAGTCGAAGAGTGATCTTCTTCACCGTGGGCCACTCATAAAGCTCAGCCATACACCGAGACCACATGCGCAAATCGCGCCAATCCTTGTAGGTTTCGACATCAACATGGACCGTCGTCAGATTCGGTAACCGCATGACGAAGTTATACGATTCCCAGGGCCAGGGCATGTTAGGCACCTCAAACTCGGGCTCGTACTCCCGAATCCCTCTATGCATGCGCCGATCGATGTCCTCCTCATCTTTGTCTAGCATCATTGCCCAGTAGACGTGCTTGGTATGCTTGGCGAGAAACGGGTCCCTGATGATAAGGTCGAGGCCCTGCTGGTACTCGTCCGAATACCAAGCACCGTCTGCGTTCGAGTAGGGCTCGTGACGCAAGTAGATCTGCGTCTTCCAGAAGAACTCGGTGAGGGCTTCGTTTCGGATGGTCTTGCATAGACTGCCCAGTTTTCGAAGCTGAATCAGCTGCTCTTTGAGCAGGTCGTGTCTCACGGCGCCTGGGTCACGACGCCCTTCGAGTACCTCGAAGTTGTACGGCTCATGGTCGAGGTCCCATGTCAGCCTGTAAATTTGGAGTCTGATCTCGGCGGGGAGGTCTAGGAAGGAGATTTTGCTTTGATTTGCCATGTTGGATTCCATGTCAGCATCACGGTGGTGAGCAGTACCTGGGGCGGTTGTTGCAACGGGGCGATCGGTGATGAGAGTAGCAGTAAATGGCGTAGAGAGCGGTATGAGGAAGGAAAAGGCAAGGTGGTTGAAGAGAGGCAGGAGTTGTTTGGTTGTTCTTGAGTGTGTGTGGGGGATAGGAAATATTTGTAGTAGGGTGGGCAGGGAGGAAGATGAAGAGGAATGAGGAGCTGGCAAAGGGGAGAGAGGAGCTGGGAGAGAAGGTACCTATTAAGTAGTGCACAGCAGTCCAAAATAAAAAATTGAGTTGGCAGAAAGCCAAGGTGTCATGAAAGCTCTGCAGGAAGGTTCAAGGTCTTCTCTGCATCCCAGAGGTAGGTACATGCTGCCAGACGCACCTTCCTTTCTAGCCTGCAACCTACATCTTGTATTGTACCTGACCCGCCACTTTGGCTAACTGGAGTTCGTCCGATAATGTAATATGCCAAACAAAAGCGTACAGGCCTGTCAAAGTGGCATGCGCCAGCATAACGCTCCTCCGTCCGGTTAGTGAAAAATCTACAAGCATTGCCTACCACCGTAACTTGCGTGCGTTTCAATCCACCGGTTCCGACTGCCATATTTCTCTAACTCCAGGGCATATGTGGCCAAAACAGGGAATCAGTGTCAAAGCTTTGGATTATGCATTGCAGGTCTCTGCGGTGGCCGATATTTTCAACACCATCTATTACAAAAAATGTGTCTTTGTGTGTCGTTTTGGAGCCTACAAGTCCACATCGCTGTGGACAGCCGGTCTGGGGTGCAGGGAAATAGACTTCATTGTCGATACGTAACTTGTCCTGGAGATGGTGATTCCAGCTCTCCACATAGGTTTCCGAGAGCTGAGCGAATGGTCTCGTTGCCGTGACGGGTGATACCATGGAGCAGAAAGGACCGATGGATGGAGTTCAAGTGATAGTAGGTACGCGGTAGACAGGGTCGGTCATAGCCAGCCTGTTCAAGTGAAATGAAGGTAACGAAGACAATTTGGGTGAAGTCAGAGGTATATTTCTAAGCGAAAGATGGAAGAAGGGAGTGGACGTGTGACGGCGTGCACACTCAGGATTAAGCCAGCCCAATAGTACCTCTAAGGTCGGTATGTAACGCCAACAACCAACCCACACGGAAACTCATCCACCTCGCAAAGCTGAATCCGTGTCCTCTCTCAACACCGCCTGCCTTCCTCTGCTGACTTTCCGAAAACGTGCCCGTGCCCCCCATACTCCTTAGAGCCTAGGCAGGCGAGGCCACTCCGGGTCGATGGCACCAAAATGGTTTTTGATGAGCCGGTCCGGCGCATCTCTGAAATGGTCCTGTGAACGAAGTGGAAGGTTAGCCAATTATTACTAATGGTCATTTGTGAGTCATTAAAAGGAGACGTACCTCTGGTAGTGTAAGGAGGTGGTTAAGGATATTCCTCTCCAAGAGCTCCCTGGGCCGACCATTCCGGATGTATCGCGACTTCCATGCCTTATTGACCGCTCTGGTAGCGCCCCTGAAGTTTAAGGCCAGCCTGAGTTTCTTTACTCTCAGGTAGACTTGGTAAAGCCACTTGGGGTTGCCGCACAGGTCGACCCAGTCCCTTCCGTGGTCGACATCGAGATGGATAGAGTCCAGCTTATCCATCCTGACGAGGCATCTGGGAACCTCTTCGGGCCAGGGCACCCTGGGGACCGTGGGTCCGTTGTCGTAACGCCAGCGACTGAAATAGTCTTGGGAGTACGGGTACAAGGTGTTCTCGTCCTTGTCTATCATGACTCCCCAGCGGACATTGACGGTGTGCTTGCGAAACAGTGGTTCGTTGATGAGGAGTTCCACTGCTTGTTGGTATTCAGGGAAGGTTGATGGTTCGTGTCGGATATATATTTGTGTCGAGCGGAAGAATTGCTCACACGCCTCTTCCTCAAATGTCCGGGATAGAACGGCCAATTTCTTCAGGTTGGCCAGTTGTCGGGCCATAATCCGGTACGCATTGGCTAGTTGCTGGGCCAGACTTGCGAGGTCCGAGGTGTCGCCTTGAATGGTCTCATCGTCGGTTGTGAATCGGTCGAGGCCATCTTCTAGCACCAACTTGTAGATCATAGATCTAATATCGTAAGGGAGGTCGAAGAAGGTGAGCTTGGCGTGGTGGTCCATCGTGGATAGAGTCGAGGAGTCTATTGTCGAATGGTAAGGGAGTATTGTAGAAGGGGGAAAAGAAGAGCAGCAGGACAGGACAGCCAAAATAAACTGATCGATGCCTACCATGGATGGTGAGGGGGGGGAAGGAAGAAAAACCAGGAATCGGAACGGACAGGAGCTATAAATACTGTTGGGGTTGTGCTTGGAAGGGCTGGAAACCCCCAGCAGAAGGCCCTTCACTTAAAGAAGCATGGTGAGCATTCACTTGGACAACACCAAGCCGCCAATATCACTTGTTGCTGCAGACGCAGCGTTGCGGGACCTCAAAACCTTAGTGTCCACCCTACCCTTCACCCATTCACGTCCAAAACCTTCCATCAGTGGGACGATACCGAGCTGCATAATCCCACGGCAGGGTACTCGAGATCGCAACGGGAACAGGTGAAGTGCGACTTCTGCAGAGTTGGTGACACGGGTACAGCTTTTTGTATAGCGGAGAAACCGCCCAACTGCCTCGTCTGTTCGATATGATAGCTACCTCTAGTGTCTTCGTTAAGCAAGTAAAGAAATGCGTGAGGTGTTGAAAAGGGATGGTACCGGTGTGGCTGGTCTCTCCGTTCGTGGTCGTATATATGTTGAGATTGTCCTCCAAGACCAGCTTGTAGACCAGCGATCTGATCTCAGCGGGGAGGATGAAGAAGGTAGGTTTGCGTGCTGATTGATTGTGGAAAGAGTTGACTACTCAGCTGTCGAGTGGTAAGATAGAATGGTCAACTAGGAAGAGGAAGGTAGCAGGGGAAAGCGAAAGATACTCTGGTTGTTGTTACCTATATATATAAGGTGACTTGCCGAAGAATTTTGAGCGTCAACATTAGAACCGTCTTAGTCACTCACTCAATGTTCACATCCTCCAGCTCGTTCAGGTCTGTGATCCATCAAAAGAAGAAAAAAGCAGGTAAAGTAGGTATTCACTCCTCACAAAACTAACCCCGAAGCCCCATCACCACCACCTCGCTGCTGTTGCTCCCATGTTCTCCTGCAGACCTCCTTCATCAGCCTCTTGGGGGCCATCCGTCCCGTCATCAGCTCAAAGGCCTCGATGGCCATCTCCGCGACGACCTCGAGACCATCGACGACTACCCAGGAGGGGTTAACTTGGTCTCGGTAGGCGTACATTTGGGCGACTAGGGGCGTGATGAGTGGTTCGTAGGCGAGCTGTGAGGGTTGTTAGTTGGTGTTGGGTAGGTGGTGAAGAGTGATTGTGGGTGAGAGAAGGAGGAGGGAGATGAGGTAGTGGAAAGTATATGGCAGCCCATCAAGGAAGGGGCAAGAGGAGATATGGAGGGAACTGCTTGCTCCCTGGCAGGATACAGACGAAGGAAGGGGCCATGCAATGCGAAAAAATCCACAGGAAAAGGCAAGAGCATCTGCGGAAAGAACGAACGCAAGAAAAGGACAAAAAGAAAACGGCTTACCTCAACAACCACACCCCCCGTCGGACTTCCCAACCACCCCACCGGCATCACAAAATCCGCCGGCGGCGTCCCATCCAGACTCGTCGCGGGAACGCACGAAATTACCATCGTAGGCAACTGATAGCCTTCTGGCCACGGATCCGCCAACCTCTCAATGACCCTGCAAATCTCCAGTGTCGGTAGTTGCGACCCATGCGCACCCGGTTTCGCGATGACCATCCCCTGCTGCCCCTTCGCCCAACTGTTGAAGTGCTCCGCCACCTCCCTGGCCCTCTCCACCGTCCGGTTATAGATGAAAATATTCCTGCAACCAAGCTGAATAAGCGCGTAAATAGCTGCGCGCGCCATGCCGCCCGCGCCGATGACCAGGCCGGTGGTCTTGGACGGTTGAACGTAGTTCCTCGGACTAAGAGCGCGACGCAGACAGGTAAAGATGGAGCTCCAATCGGTATTATCACCAAAGAACTCCTGCGCCGCACCGGCCTTGTTGCGAGAGTTTGCATGATCCAGAATCGCGTTAGTCTTGCCTCTGAGCGGCAGCACGACGTTGACGGCGCCGATGGCGGTGGCGTGGTGCGACTTGACTTTGAGCTGGGGCATGATGGCTACTTTGAAAGGGGCAGTCAGAAGAGCGCCGCCGAAGGTGTCGGACAGACAAATCTGGGTGAGCCGGTCCAAGGTAGAACAGGTGACGGCCTGGAAGGTGTGCGGCATTCCCGAGAACTCGTAGGCGGCGTTTTGCATGGCGGGGGAAAGGGACCAGGAGACGTTGGAGCCGGTGACGTAGAACTCGAGCGGGTCAAGGAGGAATTGTTGGAACTCGAGGCCGTAGGACTGCCGGTAGGTGCTGATGATGGCGAGGAAGTCTTGTTCGGTGTCCATGTCGGGGTGCTTGACGGGGTTGAGGATCTTGCTCTGTAGGGGGGTGCGGATGCCGAGGACGGAGAAGTCGTAGGCTACTAGGGGTGGGCGCGGGCTGGGGATGGTTTGTTCGACTCGCTTCTTGAAGGATTCGAGGTATTCGACGGGACTGTCGCCGGTTGAGAAGCGGGCCATCCGGATCAGGTCACAGCCGAGACACTGGGCGTGTTGATAGTTCTCGATGTGTTGGTCGTCGTGCCATGGAGGAGCCCCGAAGCCCATGTACCAGTAATTTCCTATGACTTTGGACCGGCCCTTGTAACGGAGTGCACGCTGTATGAGAGACTCGTCGCGCTGCAAGTCCAGGCTTAGATACTCGACGCCCAGTCGTAGACCTAGTTCAAGAAGATCCGAGTCCACTGGGTTCTTTTCCTCAGGTGCCCTTCGTCGTTGTCCTCTAGGGTTCTCTTCCACGTGATAAATGATGGGCAGCCCCAATTTCCTCCTGAGGAGGGCCACCTGCTTTGATACCACTTCCACAACATCATCGGGCCACTGATCGATAATGAACTCGACACAATCACCAGTGGCCTCAAACTCTTCCAATTCCATATCCATTTCCTGGAGGTAAGATAGGCGAAGGCGCAGAGCATATGAATAGGATCGGAACTCGGGCGGAATGGCGGCAACCGAAAAGGGGCTTTCCAGCCATGCTTTGGTTGCGCCTCTGCCGGTGATCTGATCCAGGAATTTCGTAAAGTCTTCCCGAACATTGAGCAGTTTTGATGGAACCGGCTGTCGACTGTCTGCTGCCGTGGAGGTACCGACGAAATGGGTTGCCGAGTCATCCAGGTTGTAGAACTCGAAGTTGGAGCACTCCCTATGCTTCTCATCTGCCTTGAGAAGGGCCGTGGCATCCGTCGCATCCAACAAAGCTGCTATTTGCTCCCTTTCTCTGTGGATGTAGACGACGGGATTCGTCCTGCAGTACTCGCGCAAGGCGTCTTGGGCCTCCTCGCAGAGACTGCTCATACCGCACTCAATGATGCATCCGGTCCTGTTGCTGTCGAGCATGTGCTTGAAAACTTCAACATCCTGGCGTGCAAAGAGGTCCTTCCCGTGCTGTAGGAGGAACTGGCCGCGGGACATGCCAGTGAGCTTCTCGAAATAGTGGTCCTCGGTGACCAGGCGGCGGCGCAGATGAAGGGCGCCCATGAATCCGAGGGTGCGCTTTCCAGCTCCTCGACATCCAACGAGAACAATGGACGCGTTCGGGTCGAATACCCGCTCATTTCTTGGCCCCAACATGGTTGCCGGTTGTGTGAGGTGGTGTTGTTTGTTGAAGACGTTGTGGCCAGTGTGCTGTTGCACCTCACATATGCCGCTTCGTTTATTATAGTCCCCAGATTTCCCTTGACTTTTCCTTGACGTGAGATGAGCTGGCCTCTTGATGAGTCGTCGATGTCAATGATGCTGAATTTGGGTTCGTGAACGAGTGTCGGCCAACACGGGAATCAAGGGTATCTAAAAGAGCAAGTCGTAAGTCGAGATCCGCCCACTGAGTTTAACCGGGACCGGGTCACGGCAATGTAACGTCGATGTAACGATGTGGTCCGAAGGCGTGGTAGTGAGGTCAATATCGTGGACTCATGAAGGATATGATGCGGGTGCACTCCTGTTCAAGAACTCATGCCGATTGAACCTCCCTGGCAGTTATCATCAACCGCCAGAATCGATGATTGGTGTTTTGGCCATGTTCTGGACATTCGGCAGATTGATGCCGATTGTGACACACGGGATTTCCGTGAGGCCTGAAGCGGGAAAATGTATCTCCCATCAAGCTTTTCCGTTGCTAGCTTACCCCGTGAAGGAGCGGAAGGAAGTCCCTGAGATCCCCCACTGCAACCACCGCATGCGGGCTTTCCCCGCAATCTTGGTGAGGTCTTAACTCCACCTCACTTCTGCCCCTCCGGCATCTCCTTTCTGCACTTCCCGTTCGTCTGCTTTGAGTTTTGGTCAAATGGGTGTGAAGAACTTAATTGGAATTGAGTTTCACGTGCTCAAAATCATCTAATATTTTGACTCTGTTTTGTGATCGTTAGTCCTAACTAGATGAGGTGATGCTTTGAATGCCATTGCTTACATCTGTTACTGTTATCGAGATAAAGCACTATCATTTTGTGAAACCGTCCGTCTTCAATACAGCTTCATCTCTGCAGTGAAGACTGATCCTCCAAATGTGGCCATCATCATCACCGTTGGACGGACTGTTCCATGTTTACAAATGAAATCTTACTTAGCTACCTTGCCCATCTTACCACCGTAAAGTCCCCTACCCGGGGCATTATCGGAGCCAACCCCGGCGTCGGGGTACTCGTCAGGGATAGAAAATCTCCCTGACTAGCGGCTGGCACTAAAGCCCGGGACGTCGGCGTTAGCGCCGTTTTGGTAGCATCATAACACTTTTTGGCAACTGAATTGGGGAATGGTCGCTCCCCCGCGCCGAGCCATTAACGACGCGGCTCGCGCTATCAATTTCCCCAACCAAACTTTGCAGGACTCATCATTGTCATCGTCATTTTCATCGTCCAATCTCAAGAAATATCGAACTGCTGCATGCTTGGTGCTCGGTTCCGTCGTGTCGGTATCTCAGCCTCATCTCATCATCCCATCTCCCCGTAGTTCCCGTCCGTCTTCCGGCAATTGACTCCATCTGTCTATGGGGCTCCGCCTTGAACACCCTGTCTCTCACACACCGTCCAGATGGAGGACTCCGGCGCCACTGAGGAACAGGCTCAACAGCCGGCGACAACAAATAATATCGATGATGAGACCCGGAAGTCTCAAACCATGACCCCCTCAGCCCAAACTCCCGCTCATCCATCGCCCCCACAGCAGCAGCAACAAGCCGGCCCATCAGTGACCACTCCTGCCTCCGCTCCGGCTCCCGGACCGTCAACATCAACACCGGGACCTCCGCCCTCCGACACAGGCGCCGACGCCGGTTCCGAGCCGGTTAACCCCCGAAAGCGAAAAAAGGCTTCACGAGCGTGAGTCCTCTGAGTCCATGACCTCACCACTTCCCATTCCCCTCATGCCTCCCCTCATGCACCCCCTCATGCATCCCCCCTTCTCCCCTCCTCATCCCATTCCACCCCCATCTCCCACATCGATTTACCACAACTAACACCTCCCTCCCCCCCAGCTGCGACTTCTGCCACGTCAACCACCAACCCTGCGACAACGGCCAGCCCAAATGCTCCGTCTGCACCAAACACAACAAACCATGTCTCTACCTGCGCCCGACCAAGCGTCGGGGTCCCCAAAAGGGTTATAGGACAGCTCTCAACACCTACAAAGAGAGCGCCGCAGCATGGGGTGCCGTATTGGGCGCCATCCCCGGACTAGACGCCCTCATTGAGGGCCATTTAAGGGCGGCGGGCACCCAGGGGAAGCAGATCATTGCGAGTATCAAGGATGCGAATGCCCAGGAGGGATTGATTGCTAGGTGGCAGGGGAGTGGAGTTTTTAGAGCGTTTTTTGGGGCGCAGAGGCCGGGGACGGGAGAGGGAAATGGTGGGCAGGAGGAGACGCCAGAGCAAGGACAAGATGGAGGAGGAGAAGATGAAGAGATGGGTGGTATGGCTGGGTCTCCGAATGTTGTGACTCAAGGAGGAATAGGGATAGGAGGAGGGGGACAACCACCACCCGCGAAGCGGTTCGCTCGAGAAACGGAACAGAGGAGACAAGTAGCGAGGGATCTGGCGCAGTTACAGCAGCAGCAGCAGCAGCAGCAGCAACAACAACAGTCGGCGGGAGCGGGAACGGTAATAGGAGGGAAACGACCATCAATATCCTCAACGGAGTCACCAGGACCGTCGATACCACCGCCACCACTACTACTACAACCAGCAGCAACAGCAGCAACGACAATACCAGCATCCCGCCCCGGCCCTAGCACAGGAATATCCAACCTCAACACCAACACACCCAAATTCACAGTAAACGACTCCACGCTATCCGATATCGTAGCCAAAGACGCTGCTCAATCGTATGTGTGCCCCCTTTTCTTCTCCCCGCCCGCCCCCTTTTCTTCTCCCCGCCCGCCCCCTTTTCTTCTCCCCGCCCGCCCCCTTCTCTTCTCCCGTACCCTTTCGTCCCCCCGCTTTCCCAATCTTCTTTTCCCATCTTCTCTCACTTTCTCCTCTTACCCCCCAGTCCCCCCCTCCTTACCCCTCTTTTCTTCTTCCCTCTGCATGCCTAAGGACTTGGGTGAAACTGACACAGCACGCACAGCTCCTCCCGAGAATCCCAAACCCTCCGCCCCCTCGGCTTCGCCCCCGACGAAACCATAGCCGACTTTTACAGCATGGGATCGAACCCTGATCCTATGGCTTCAATGCCCGCAAATAACACCAACGCCAACAATAACTACAACAACGGCGGCGGCGGTGGCGGTGGCGGTGGCGGGTATGGTGGTGGAAATGGCGGGGCGTACGACGGTGGTGCTGGGGATGATGACTTTCTGTTCTTTGATTCAGAGCAGAGGGCTTATTATGAGCTGTTGATGGGGAGGAGTTTTGGGTGAGCGTGATAGGGTATGGGACGTCCTGACGACAGCGCCTTTTTGGAAGAGGTCGAGATGGGAAAAAGCGAGACTTTAAACCCACGAGTTTGAGCCGCTTGAGAATTGCTTAGGACTGTGATGGGAAGAGGACTAGGGCGGTTGAGGTACGTTTGATTCCTGCTCTTGCTGTTCGCGCAAAGACAAAAAACTGACGGAAGCAGATGGAAACGGAAACAGGAAGCAGGTGATTAGAACATAGTACACCCCAGACGACAGACACACATAACGACGTATGATACCCGCCAACAATAACGAATGGCAAACTTTTACCAAGCGAAATAAAACAAAGTTTACTTCGTCTGTCAATGATTGCGTGAGCAAGAAGTTACTACTACTAATGTTTATTTGTTATTTCGGGTCTTTATGTTCAATGATAATGACTGAAGGGTCTCCCAACCTCAGTCATGATGATTTCTAGTGTTGCTGACTGGACCAGCGAACAGGTTGAAAAAGCAATCTGCTCAAAAAGCAAGAAAAAGCCAAAAGCCAAACGACGTTGCGATCCGAGCAAAGCCATCATTCATCCTATCCATCCAGTCATCCGTCCGTCCGTCCATCCGCCCGCCAGTCCCGAAACCCCGATGATGCGCCGCCATGATATGTAGTTTGTGGTTTAAAACAATTGTGTAAGAAAGAACACGCCGGCTGATTAAGCGAAAAATAGGATTGTAGAGCAAAACCGCGCCAGGAGTAAGAAGAGAAAAGCAGGTGCCTGAAGGGAAGAAGCAGGGAAGACAAGCAAGAGTCAAACCGCTCAAACAAGTTCAAACCCCTCATCCTCCTCCACCTCTTCCTCCTCCTGCTGGCTGGCAGCAGCAGCGCCCCCCCTCAACCCCCTCCTCTTCGCCTTCCGTCCCTTCAACGCCTCCCCATTCGCATCCAGAATCTCATACTCCTTCTCGACAAACTTCTCCGTCTTACGATCATCCGTCTTGACAAAGTTTTCCAAAGTCAAAGGGGTCCGGCTAAAACCCGGCGTGGAGTCTTGGTCGAAGGAGTAGAGGAAGTTATCCTCTGCTGCTGTTGTTGACGTTGTTGATACCACTGACGAGAAGAGGTTTTTCGAGACAGAGGATGGGGTTGATGATGATGCTGATGGGGTTGAGGTGGAGTAATCCTCGCGGTCATCGTAACGAATGTCCTTGTGCGCGAAAAGCTTGGGGAAGTTGATGGAGTGGTAGCCAATGTTGTTGGAGCGGCCGCCACCTGCACCGTGGTGGCGGAGCTTGTAGAGGTTGCGGGAGGATTGTTTGGGGTATTCGCAGGAGCCGCTGGAAAGACATGAGAGTTAGTTTCTGTTGCAGTAAGAGAGGGAAGAGAGGGAAAGAAAGGGTGAAGCAAGAAAGAAAGCTTACCAAGCATCTCCCCGAATCTTCCTCGCCGGTCGCGACTTGATCAGCTGATTCGGGTGCCCGTTGCTTGTAAGCAGCTCACCCGTCATCCAGTTCTTCTTGACTCCGGGGAGGTCGCGAGTGCCCGAGGCCCACTTTGTAGACGAGTCCTTGCTGCGCTTCCATTCCTTGTGGGAGCTGCGGAGGTCACGCTCGTACTGGACCGAGGACTCGAGGGAGGTAGCCATGATGATGACAGTTGTTGGTGATATTAGTGTAAGTGGTGTTGTTGGTGGTGATGTCTGAGGATGTAGAGATGATTGTCGGGAAAGGTTGACTAGATGTAGCCGAAGTAGGTACTTAAAGATCCAAGTAGACAGAAGACGGAATCCGGTCCCCTTTTGATTCAATTCGTGATGTAATCGTCACCGAGGTCGGTCGGTCAGGGGTAGGTAGGTACTAGTGTACAGCGGTGTAGGTATGGAGACAAGGGCGTGCGTGACGGTCCAGCAGGGGGTGGTTGGCCTCAGGGTCGGTACTAGCAGACTAGTGTATACCGGGAACTGTCAACTTTCGGGCCCTGTCGATCTGCCAAGTGTACCAATTATGGAAATAGAGTTGTAATCGGCGGAGTCTGAGAGAGAGAGTTTCCTAGGGATTTCGAGAAGGATAGATGGGAGTTGTAAATGATCGAACTGGTGGGGGAGAGGAAGACCGTTGTGGTCGGTGGTGGTTGTTCGGTCAAGGGGGTGTTAAAGGGTTGAGCCAGTGGAGGGGCCCTTTGGCGTTGTGGTGGTGATGAAAGAGAATGAGAGAGAGAGAGAGAGTTGGGAGGAGAAAGAACGGCTTTGTTGTGATGCTTTAAAAGCAACGGTTGGATCAGGTGCAGGCTGCGAATGACTGAAGAAACAGCCAAACCAAGGCTGAGTGTTCTATTGAAAATGGCTAAAAAGCCAACTCGTTCAGGATGTTGCCGGTGAGTGACTCAAAGAAGCGACTTCCCGATTGAGAACGGTGAGGTGTGAATAGAGGTAACACGGCCACTGATAAGCGATAAGGACGGGGGCTGATAAGCGATGACGCGCTGTGACAGTTGGACTGAGATTCAATGACGGTAACAACGGAACAAGGAGAAAGCTGAAGATATAGTGATAAGACTATCGACGGTTTCCGTGTTTGTGTGTTGACTCTTGGATTGTTGGAATTTACAAGATGGAAGCAGAGCAGGGACAGAGGGAGGCCTTCGTTTTATCCATCAACGAGCCACGCCCACGGCCAACACTGCCTGGATTCTGATGGAGGGTATCAGGAACACACGGGTCACTGCCAAAAGGACATCGATGCCTTGCTGAGACACGAGATGGTCACCTTTCGCTCGGTTTGGCTCATCATGGAATCCCAGGGCCCGTTTTCTTTTATCAAGACCCCTTTCGGTAACAAAGTGCCCAAAGTGCATGTGGACGGGAAGTACCCCGGTATCTCTGGAGTCTGGAGGTTGGTGCATGACCTGGTTGGGACAAGACCAAGTGACGACAGTGGCAGGAAACGGAGTATTGCTGAACTCCAGGAGACCTCCAGACTTTTGTCAGCTGCTGGCACCTCTCGTCATCTTCCATCTAGGCAGGGACAGGGAACGGATACGATGAGTTTGCGAACCCAGCACGGCGCGGTCGAGGCACGGAGGCACAGTGCACCAGCTGCCCATTTTGTGTCCAACCGCCTGCCTGTCCACTGAGGTTGAAGAGTCGATACACGCCTTCTTGTTGTTCTTCTTTGCCGTCTTCTGCCTGCTATTAGCCGGCCTCCCGCTTGAAAATGATGACATTGGTGTGCTTTAGCAATGGCCCCTGAACGGCGACTTTTTTCGTCCCTACCTGGAACCTCCATGTCTGTTCGATGCCCGTGTCCGTTGAACTGGCTCACTGGGTACCGGACGTCCCGCTTGCGATAGATGGAAGATCTCTGGATCCTTGTCAGCTCCCTGAAAGCTGTTGTCTTCGGGGGGTTTTGTTAGCCCAACAAGAGAGACAGTTCTACCGCTGTTGCACTCAGGTCTCAACAGTTGTTACACATGCTGCTTTTCCTGTCAACAATGGCATCTTGCTATCTTCTACCATTCATCTTCTGGTAGAAAGTATCGCCGGGCAATGAATGGATGGTGACAGCATCGAATTGGGAAAGGTTGGTGTCCCCGGCTTGCCCCGGATGCGGTGCGGCCGGATGTGGGGGGGGAAGCGAACCCGCCAACGACGCTAGAGCAGCGCAGCACGGGGTACCGATGATCGATGCATCGCGACGTCTGTACCTGTACCTGCACACTGAGCAAGTCTTATCGATTTGGATGTAATTCAAGCGCTTTGAACTCTTGGAATGTGCATTAGACGAGAAAGAGCGAAGAACGTGGTAACAAAAGAGCCATCAAAGAGGCATTCATTGTTCCTCTAAGCCTATCGCTTATCGGCCCAGGTACCTCTACGGCTCTCTGTCCAGCAAGATCCTCGCCGGATGCCGAGGATGACAGGATGACGCTCCGTCAATCAGGGGCGCATGCGTCTCTTCTGCAGGGTAGCAACCGTCAGCGCTTGCAGTGGAGAATGATAAGCCGATAAGAGCTGAACATGGACGGCCACACCGCGATATCGGCGTCCTCTCTAGTGGTCTTCAGGAGACAAAATGGAACCTGGATTGCAATCATGTTCGAACAAAGTGTTCACAATGGAGACCGGTACTTTCATCAGTCCTAATGTCATGTTTGTTGATGCCATCACCTATCTGGATCAGGACTATGTATTGCCAAGTTTGGTCAACCCCCTTTTTCTCCCGGGCCGCCTCACTTTAGTCACTTCACTGTGTACTTCTTCCACCCAAAAAGGTCAAAGGAGGCAGGGATATGCCAAGGCCCACGAGGCGTGGTCTGCTGACCCATCTCCGTCATCTCCATAGCCGCCTTGGAATGAAGAAGACGCGATCCAGGTACCATGGCATGGCCGAACAAGAGCAGGTGTTCACACGGCGTGCGATTGTTCGGCCATGCCGCCGTGTTCACCGTAACTCGATCGGCTTGCTCAGCTGTTGAGGAGGTGTTTCTCGCGTCTTGTCGCCTATGCGGGACGTGATGGCGTGACGCGACTAGATGGTCCATACAAAGGGCACCAGAAGATCAGATCAACCGCCTGAAGTTTGAACTCTCAGAACCCTCGACATCCAAAACTTTGATTATGGAAGGTTTCAATGGATGGACATCATGGATGACAGTGATAGAAATCCCTACGCTCACGAGCCTCGAATATTCTGTGTGGTATACCTCTGTAGCACTAAATTCACCGATGAATCAACTGAACACTCACAACGCCGATCCCGAATCTTAATCTGTTTTACTTTTCCGAGTTTGATTTCGTGATACCTTCCACCACGTGCAACCAACTCCCACCATCGCCGACAGCGGAATCATCACCAGTGTTATCAGTGATGTCACCGGGCTTCCCCCCTAGAGGGGATGTATCTTATCGCGCTTATCCACTATCAGCTCGGAAAGGCAGCAGCAAAGCACTGACCATCTGTAGACCACAGCTGGTACCTCTACACTTCCGGCAGGCAACTCCTCTAAACCGCAATCTAATCTAAACACCACCACCATCACCATCGCCTCAAACAATCAACAACACCATCCTACCCACTCAACCAGAAAAAACAACCCAACCCGACCCAAACAAAACCACCACAAACCACACCAACGCAGAAATGCCCTCAGACAAAGCCGCCTACCTAGCAGCCCACTACCTCTCCACCGACCCACCCAACAAATCCTCCACCTCCACAAGCAAAAAACGCAAGCGCAAGAATAAATCAGCAGAAGATGGCCTCATCATAGCCGACGACGACGACACCACCTGGGCCACCGCCGGCCGCGCCAACGCTTCTGACGACGATGACTTCGACGGCCCCGTCCTCGCTGCGGGGGTAGTATCAGCCGACTTCCGCAAAGCCAAGAAATCCGGTTGGAAAACCGTCGGCGGTTCAGCAGCAGCAGCAGCAGCAAAACAAACTACAACTACAACCACAACTACGAAAACGACCAAGGAGGATATAGACGCCGCGGCCGCTGCTGATGCGATCCTAGCGCAGACAGCCGCCGAAACCGCTGCCCTGGCGCGAGAAGCAGGCGGGGATGATGAAGTTTTGGTGGTAGACACGCTTACCGGCGCGACCACTACAACGGTAGCCCACCGCCCACCCGAAACGCAAGCACAAGCACCGATCATGTCCAACGGGACGCATGCGGGGTTACAATCCGCGGCGGCAATCACCGCGCAACTCAAAGCTAGACAGGAAGCTGAAAGGCTGGAACTCGACCGACTAAGAGCCGAACGCGACCAACAGCCGGAAGAAAAGGAGGAGCTCGTGTTGAGAGATGCAACCGGTCGACGAATCGATGCCAGCATGCGAAGGGCAGAGGCACGCAGACAACAAGCCGAGGCAGAACGCAAAGAAGCCGAACGCAAGCGCGCATTAAAGGGCGAAGTCCAACTCGAAGCCGCCCGCAGACGACGCGAGGAACTGGAAGAGGCCAAGCTGATGCCTCTCGCCCGTTCCAAAGACGACGAACAACTCAATGCCGAACTTAAAGAACAAGATAGATGGAATGATCCTATGGCGCAGTTTCTTGCTCCTGAAGACGTAAAAGTAAAGGGAGGGAAAGGGAAAGGGGGAAGAGGGTTGGGGAGGAGACCAACATATAAAGGACCGGCACCGCCGAATCGGTACGGCATCAAACCGGGGTATAGGTGGGATGGGGTGGATAGGAGTAATGGGTTTGAAGCGGAACGGTTCAAGGCGATTAATCGGCGTGAGAGGAATAAAGGGTTGGAGTATGCTTGGCAGATGGATGAGTAGTGCGTTCATGTCCTGGGTGGTCGTATAGACGTATGGAGGTATGGACGTATGGACGATGGGTAATGATGAGCAAAGAAATTGGGTTACTGTCAGGTGTTCGGCGTCAAATTGCCATGCTACTACATATGGTACATAGGGTTGAAAAATGGGAGCAAGCAAAATATGGATTTTTTGATGGACAGATTGAACCAAATTGCATTGTAAGAAGCTATCCAAGGCAGGGCTAGATTAAGTGACCAGGATAATCACACAATGTTAGCACGATACGTTGGGTGACTACGAACATTAGCACATTGGAATATACCTCAAATCATGACATCGCTTCAGTAAGGTCTATTAACTATCTCTCTAAGCAACTTCCGTAGACCTAATCATCTCCAACAACCACGTCCCGCTAAAGCGGTGACCACTGCAACCTCGAGAAATAGTGATACTGCGATAATCGTGCAAAAAGTCCAACCGCTATAACCTATGTAAAATGGTTCCGTGTACGTTGTTTCGTTTCTCTCCTTCCACCTATCCCACATAGTCTTCCAAAGCCTCCCCCCAAAAAAACAACTTCAACTCTCTACTTTGGAAACCACTTAGCACGACGATCGGCGTAATATTTTGATGCGAATCGGCCCACAATTTTGATTCGAATCGGCCGTTTTTGCGGTTCAGGTTTGTCGTTGACAGTTTCCAGCTTGGGTGACACTGACACGCCATCTTCACTTGTGTCACTTGTGTCGCTCGTGGACTCCGGAGGGGTAACATAACCACTTCCTCCTCCTCCTTCTTCCTGAGCCGGTTTATCACTACTTCCGGCCCCATATCCATTCCCATTCCCATTTCCATTTCCATTTCCAGCCCCAGTTCCAGTTTCAGTTTTAGTTCCAATTCCACCACCCCCATCTTGAACCACTGCCGATACCTTCCCATCAGCAGCCACGCAGCCGCCGCTCTACGACTGAGGGCTAGCAGCACCACTTCCTCCTCCACCTTGAGCGGGTCCCGTCTTGCGCCTGATGAGCTTGTCGGGACCCAAGTAACCAAAGCGCTTGACCATACCAAGCCACTCCGCCTTGGTGGACAGGTGGGGCTTGGAGCGGTTGGGCGTCGCGTCGATGCGGTGGCTGAAGGGCTTCATGAGCACGGCCAGAGCGACGCCGTTGGGGTACTGGTCGATGGCGGCCATGACCTCCTCGGGCTTGATGAAGTCGTTGGGCGGGGCGGCGCCGCCCGAGGTGGGTGGCGGGGAGCCGCTGGGGGAGCCTGGGGGGTGAGCATGTTAGTGAGGTGTTAAGGCGGATTGGGGTGTGTAGGGGGATTGAAAGAAGGTGCTGGGGATGGCAATTGTAGTAGAAAAATGGATATTGTCGTGGGAAAATATGGGATATGTCTGTTGTACTACAACATTATGGTTTCTTCAGAGCAAGGAGACTTGAAGCCATAGGGAGGGTGACAATTAGATCGGAAGAGGGTTGGTGACTCAAGTTAGAAGCCCCTATGACGAAAGCATGTTTGCTTTCAAGGAACCAAGTCACCAGCGTGAATGATTGTCATACAGTAAGGAGAAAAGTGTCACGAGGGGAGGGAAATGCAATCAGCAACGGATAACGGCGTCTCTTACCTGGCTGAGGAGGGCTACCGGGCCTGGAATTGGGCACCATACCACCAAGCGTCGTCTGCTTGATCTGGGGCCTGCTGCTCTTCGCGCCACCGTCAGACATCTCGCCATCACTGGTGGCGCCCTTGGGACGTCCAGGCAGGGGAGTATTCGACCGGCTCTGGCCCATGGACGTCGTGCCCTTGTTGGCGGCGAGCTTGGCCTTCTTCCGGTTCGATTCGGCTTCACTAGATTCCGACAGGTTGGGCGACCCAGCACGCTTCAACTTGTTCTTCTTTGCAGAATCGGGGGCCTTTTGCTTGCCCGTCGGCGTCGCGGTACCCTTGCTGTTGGTGCCCGAAGCGCCATCCTTCTTATCTTCTTCCTTGATCTCCTCCCCTTCCTTCTTCTCCTCGTGCTCATCTTCAGATTCCTCTGAATCGGCAAAGGGGTTGTCCGACTCCCTCTCGGAGTCTGAGCCTGCATCGTAGTCCATGGCATGCTCCAACTTGACCAAACGCTTGACGACTTCCTTGCCGGTTTTCTTCAGCCTGCGCTTCTCCAACTCGCGCTCCCTCTCTTCCTCGTCGACCTTGCTCTGATCACCCTCACCGAACAAGTTAGCCGCAGCTTGCTCGCGACGAACACGCTCCTTGGCCTCCTTGGCATCCTCATCCTCTGCCTCGAAACCGGGGGTCTCATCGTCGTCCTGGAACTCGTCGCCCGACATGTCGAGCTCGTAATCGTCCCGTCTCTCGGATTTGGGAGCAGCCCTCGATGTGTAGCTCTCCGTCTTGACACGCGCACGCCCACCAAGGAACATCCTGGTATCGGCCTTCTCCTTTTGAGTCAGCTCCCTCTCCCTGTCGCGCATGACCCAGCGCTTGACGTCCTTGTTCTGCTTCATCATGTTCTCGGCGTCGTCCAGGGACAAAACGTTGAACTTTGGCTTCTCGTGGAAGGCATACCAACGGGTCAGGGGAATCATTTGGAATTTCTGGTCTTGGGTCTGGACGAGAGCACAGTTGACTTCTGACAGACCGGCGACGTAGTGTCCGACCCAGACGCCCGACTTGCCCTCGGCATCTTCGAGGTGCCATGGGAGTGTTTCCTGGTATCGCAGATCCAATGCTTTCTTGTGTTCCTCGGAGTGCTTTCCGTGGAAAACGTGGGTCTTCATGCTCTTGTCCTTCTTCTGCGGCTTGTTTGGCTCATTCGGCTTCATGACGGGAGCGATCTTGGCTTGATCAAGTGCACGTTGGGCTTCCTTGGCCTCCTTTTCCTGGCGAATACGCTCAGCCTCTGCATCGTCCATGGGCACATCCTCCATCTCTTCCTTGAGCGCCATGCGGTGGGCAGGCGGCAGACGGGGGTCCCGGCGTTGCAAAGTGACCGGGCGGGGAAACTGGTCCTGGTCGGTTACGTCCAGGTTGCCGTGCTTGTTGTTGAGCTGCATGACGTGAAATCGCAACTCCATGAGCTGCTTTTTCGTTGTGATCAAGGGGAACTCCTCGACATAACCCTGTGCCTGTTCGCTCCATTTCCCCGGGTTCATGGACCTCTTCCTCTTGTGGTCCATGGCCTTGACTTCGAGCTGGCGGAGAGACCTGTTCTGGCCGGCGTTTTCCGAAGCGCGAGATCTGGCCTCCCAGTCGGCAGGTCGACGTGCCATTGGGGGTTTCGGAAGGGTTTTCTTTCTGGCCACGAGGGGATCGGCATTGGCCTTTTTGCGGATGATTTTCTTGGGTGGTTGTGTCCCATTGGGAGTAACGCCAGTGGGAGGCGCGCCGGCTGGGGGAGCACTCATGTTGATTGTTCGGTGGGATGCACTTTGAGGTTCGTGGGAGATGTGATTCGGAGAGCGCGAGAGGACGTTCGCGACCAAGGTCGGGGGTTGGAATTGAAGTTGTTGGCTGCCTAGACTCGGTCGTACGTCATGCAAATCTAGGTCGACCTGGCTTTGATCGGCAGTTGTTGCAAATTCGCGATTGGCGCGCTTTCACTTGAGGGAGAGATGATACGGAAAGTCGAGATTCGGCGTCAAAATAACGTGGTGCTGAAAATTATGTCGTTGTTCCCTGGTCGGAGGGGAAGATGGCGTGAGTAAAGAGGGTGGGTTGGGAAATCGTAAGGTAGTTGTGGTTGAGGTTCGAGGTCGAAGTCGAAGTCCAAATACAGGCAGTCGCGCTAGAAGTGGCACTGAAAGAGCTGCCCTGTGAGACGTGTTGGTTCTGGGGAAAATGCGGAGGAAAACCTAGAGGAAAAGGCGTGCCAGGCCCAGCTAAATACTCTGCAAATGGAAATTCGGGATGGGATGCACCGCCGGCAGGATGTGTATTAAATAAATGCAACGGACCTCCGTAGTCCTTCGGCGTGTGAGCATCCGTTGGATTAGGTTATTTATCACACAACCTGCCCGCCTATTTTGGGCCCATTCGCCGAGAGCCTCAAATCTCCAGACAAAGCCAGAGGAGTGGGGCCTTGAAAGCATTCTAGCCAATCACAAGTCAAGACAACTTGAAAATGACCAATGAAATGACCGGAAACGTCAAGCTGCTCAGCCTCTCCACACCTACGTAACTGGTGATCTAGAAGTCTAGTTATTTAGCACTTCACTTCCAGGTTTCACTAGTCGCATATGCCAAAGATTGGGTGCATCGCGTGCTGTTCCTGCCCGTTGCTTGCTGCCGTCGGGTGTCACAGTCGGAACAATCTGTTTGTGGACGACATAGCCGGCATCTTCAAGCAAACAGAGTGAGAAGCATGACGCGACTTTACACGATTCAGCAACACCATTTTCAATAGCCCAAGTTTAGGAAATAAGTCCAACTCCAGGGCATCAGGGCTACATCGCCGCCTCCACTGGCCCCATCTCAGCGCTGCGGTACATGCTGTAAGGTACCTTTTGTCACTCCATATTCCATGCCACTGCCCTGAAGCCTGAAGTGGAATTTCAGAAGAGTCAAAGACGAGACGTGTTGCTTTTCAACTCGCGCCTCCCTTTCTTCAGTGTTCCTGAATTAGTCTGAGGCCAGCTGGTAAATATACGATAGTTTGGCTGACCAATCTTCACAACCTAAAGTGGCCGGGCATCTCCAACATCACTGCGGGCTTCTCTCAGCCACCACATTCACTTCATCACACCATCAACAACACCTGACTGCTCTTCCCTGTACGCATGCATCCTACTCGCCTGGCCATACTAAAAAAAAAAGGTGGAAGTTTAGGGGTCGTCTTGTTTCTCAGGTCATCACCACCGCAATGGAGCAAGGACAGGGAGGTCGGGGACCAGGTCTTGAGGATCGCCTGAGGAATATGATCCTCACCAACTCCAACGACCCAGAACCCCAAGTCGAAAACGCCCCCAGCGGTTCATCCCCTCCACAACCCCGGAAGCGTCTCAACCAGGCCCAGCGCCGTCAGATGTCCGCTCAGTTAAACATCGCCATTGACCCTCGTGCTCAACCATCTGAGCCTGCCGGACCACAACAAGCCTCGAGAGGGTTTGCGCCTCAACCAGGACCTCCGGCCGGACATCAACCTGGACAGCGATTTGGACACCAAGTTGAACATCAGGCTGGCCGTCAACCTGGTCCGTATGGTAATGGAGGCCGTTATAGGAATCAAAGACCTCAGTCAGGACCACAACCAGCAGGTTATCATCACCAGCAGGCTGGCCCTAGAGCCCACCAGCCGAACCCGCCTCATACGGGTAACCAAGTTCCAGTGCAGCCTCAGGGACACCCACAACCCAGGCATCACCCTTCCCGCTCTTACCATGGCCCAGGGCCCCAGCACTTGGACCGTACTACCAACTGGCGACAGCCTCTCCATTCCGGTCCCAACCCCGGCACGGCACACCACACCCCCCAAGGATCCTTCGATGGTCCAGCGCCCAGAAATCCCAGAGGGGGGGCGCTTTGGAACCCCGGCAGGCAACCCCAGGTCCGACCGGAACAGCTCAAGGCACAAACCGACTTGCTTGAGGGTCTATGCGCGACCATCATCGCGAATGCCCAGATCGAATACGACGACATCGTTAAGAACGAGACCTTCCGCCAAAAGATCGAGGCACTTGCCCAGGCCGTCATCACCCAGTACGAGCAGAGCCAGAACGGCTTCTACGACTTCCCTCCCCAGAGCGTCCAGCTCCGGTGCTTTGGCAGTCTTGCTTCTGGCTTTGCTACCAAGGCTGCTGATATGGACTTGGGTCTCTTGTCGCCTCTCTCACGCCTGCAGCCAGATGCGCCAGGCTCTCCGATCCCTCGGCTGATTGAGAAGGCGTTTCTCGAAGTTGGGCTTGCCGCTCGCCTGCTGTCAAAGACCAGAGTGCCCATCATCAAAGTCTGCGAGAAGCCGCCAAAGAGCTTGTATGATGATCTGGTGGAGGAGCACCTTAAGGGGGAGAAGGGAATGTCAGATAAGGGAGAAGAAGAAGAAGAGAACGACGAGCCGGAACAGGATGTGGCCGAAGATGCCGAGCATCAAGCTGATGAGCCGGCAGGCGGTCATGCATCTGCAGCGGATAAGAAGCAGCAGAAAGATCATGCACAAGATCAACCCGAGAAACAGCGTCATGACGAAGAGGGCGAAGCATACGACCACAGGACCGACAAGAAAGGACTGAAGTTCTACCAATCCTCGAACCAAACCCTCAATTCGTATTACGGAACCGCAAAAGGTTACCTGAGAAGTGTGGGCGGACGCGATCTAACCAACTCGACGATCAACAACTTTTCCCCAGCCGATATCCAAAAGCTAAACCAAGTCTGCCTCGCGTTCGTCGAGGGGCTTGAGGATCACCAGCTGCGCGACCGCCTGTTAAGATACCAGTCCTTGAACCTCTACGACCTCGAATATCGAGACGACCGGCCCCGCACCCTCCAGGGCGTGTACACGCAAGTCGAGGGCGAGCAAATGGTCATGATGTGGGAGTCTCGCCAAATCACCGAAAAGGGCTCGGATAAGGAAGTGCGAGGCCAGATGTGCGTGAACAGGTGGAAGACCCTACAGGACCATCCCGACTGCGGCGCCGATCCTTTGGGATATGACAGGGACTTGAAGCGGGCAGTTGATCAACTGCGAATGCTCCCTTCCATCCAGCTCATGCTGTTGTCGCAGCAGCAGTACGAATCAACTGTGCAGTACTGCGCCAGGACGGAGCAGTTGCTGGTTGACTTGGTTGGAGATGACACGTCTGATGGTGCGAATGACGCGATTACTCTCATAACCCAACGCTACATCGATGGTATCAAGAACGAGGCCATACGGGAGGCAGTCAAGGAATTCGCGGAAAGTTTCGGATATTCCGATTTCCAAGCGATCGGAAAGAGACATATCAGTTATCAGCTCGCTCATGACCTGGAGATGTGTCTCGGGAGAAAACTCTATCCCAAGGACACAGAAGACAAAGTCAACTCCTACATCGCCTTCCTTCGGGGACCTATAGTGAGGTCCCTGGTTGAGCCCTTCGAGTGCGACTTCGAGACTCCTCTGTCCCCAGACCTGATCGAAACCATCTCCCAGATCCGCTCAATCGGCGACCCATCAACCATGGGCCCTAACCAACCCCGCGATCCCTACCGCGACCGCTTCGAGTTTCCCAAGTCCGGCGTGGGAATTCAATGCGACATCAACTTCTCTGCTCACCTCGCCATGCACAACACCCACCTTCTTCGCTGTTACTCATCCTGCGACCCGCGCGTCCGGCCCATGGTTCTCTTCGTCAAGCATTGGGCTAAAGTCCGCGGCATCAACTCCCCTTACCGCGGCACCCTCAGCAGCTACGGCTACGTTCTAATGGTACTACACTACCTGATCAACGTCGTTAAGCCCTTCGTCTGTCCGAACCTGCAACAGCTCGCCCCGCCGCTCCCGCCCGATCTCACGCCCGAGCAGCTCGAAGACGCTGCCTTTTGCAAGGGAAAGAATGTGCATTTCTGGCGCGATGACCAGGAGATTCAACGTCTGGCGGCCATGGGCATGATCAACCAGAACCGGGACTCCATCGGCCATCTCCTTCGCGGGTTCTTCGAGTACTACGCCCAGAACGGTTCATTGTCTACGTTGCCTGGCAGAGGCTTCGACTGGGGAAGGGATGTCATCAGCCTTCGCATGCAGGGAGGGATCCTTAGTAAACAAGAAAAGGGGTGGACGGGTGCTAAGACGGTGTTGGAGTCGACGCCTGGTGTGCCGTCTACTGCTGCTCCGTCGGCGCAGCAGCTACAACAGCCTCAACAACGGGCTGTTCCGCTTGCTGGCGCTCCTGGTATGGCGCCTCCTCCTGGTCTTGCCCCTCCACCAGGATTCCCAGCCCAGCCTCAAATGGCAGGACCAGCACCTCCCCCGGCCCCTCCCGCTCCTACGACCGAACAACCCGCCCCGGACTCTTCTACCGAGCAACATCAACAACCCAAACCAGAAGTAGAACTCAAAGAAGTCCGCTACCGCTACCTCTTCGCCATCGAAGACCCCTTCGAGCTCGACCACAACGTCGCCCGCACTGTCACGCACAGTGGCATCGTCGCTATTCGGGACGAGTTCAGGAGGGCTTGGAGGATCATTAGAAATGCTGGGAGACTGCAGGTACAGGGACATCAAGGATACCAGGGACAGGGACAGCAGATTAGAGGTGGCGAGATGCCAGTGTCTGAAGAAGAGAATCTACTGGAGGATGTGCTGGAGGCTGGGAAAAAGAAGCAGAGGGAGGAGTTTGATGAGTTGTTGGATGGGTTGCATGGGAGGGTTTGGAGGGGGGAGGGTGTTGTCGGGGGTGGTAGTGGTGATGCTTGAAGGTGTTTGCAAAACTATTGAGTGTGCATTCTGTTATTCTACGCTTTAAATAAGTGGTTCTTGTGGATAGCTCAAAACTTGCTTGTCACGGCAGTGTCTGGATATTGTTTGAGTATCATCATGTTTGATAGAAAAGCGGTATGCTGCAGAAAGACATTGTGTGTTGTTGTATGATAGACGTGGAGTTCTGGAAGGGAAGAGAAAAGAAAGGGAAGAGAAAAGTACATCAGACCTGCCTCCTTGGGCGTTTTTTTCTCAGGGTCCATCCAGTGTTTGGGTCTCTTTGAGTGATCGCTGTCTTGTCCGGAAAACCGGGATATGATAAGGAAGGCACGCTATAGAAGCAGCGGGCGGGAAACAAGAAGAACATGGAGGGATATTTTGTAGTAGGAAGGAGGGAAGTGGTTACCCTTGTCCTCAAGGAAAGAGTTACTCGCCTCATTGCAGCATGCCCCCTCAGTTGTTCCCGCCTTGTCCCTTCGGTTCTTGGTCGATGATACCTACCTCATTATGCAATGGCAAGTCCCACCACCGGTTGACTTACTTTTACCACAACGAGACTCCTTTGATGCTGTCACGAATGACGCTTTCCTTCCGCTTCTTCACATCATCACTCATGTCTGCTCCCACTTTCTACCTCTATCCATCACCTGTCTTTTGTTGGATGCTTGAATCTCAACTTGGAAGATGGCAGCTTTGCTCGGATATTATGGCCGGCTTCCTGAGGAAGGAGCGCCTTGGGTTCTCTTTCTTTTCTTTCAGATCTTGTGGCTTTCGCGTTGGTCGACCCCCGGGCCACAGCGTTTTGCAATTGCAACATCGACTTTTCAACAAGCTCATTTTTCTGCCTTATTTGCGATCGCCATCATTTGTTGTTCTGACGTGAACCCAACTAAGACACGCAAAGCCCCTGAAGCTCCAGCGTTTCCTTCCCTGCCACTTCGTCTTTCTGGCTCGAACCGAAAACTCCGACTTCACAACAGATCCAATCGACATCAGGGAGCTTTTCCCTCGTCGACGAATTATATTAAGGCAATCGGACTATAACAAAACTTGAGTTAGAGCGCTATTCCGACTATTCATATCAACTCAGCCTGGCATCTTGGACAGCCTGTTCGTTGACCAGTTGTTGCAGCCAGTTATCTTCACTTTGTCGAACGCCCGATCACGATGTCTCCCTCGGCACACTGTCTCCTTTGCTCTCAAGGAGCCCCTAAGGTTGTGTTCGTTCCCGGCTGTAGTACGGTAGAGGAGGCCTTGCATTACCGTACATAACCCGCAGCTGCACTCCCTGTACGGTAATGCAACGGTAATGCAAGCCAAAGATTCTTATTGAAGCTCCTTACTGCTCTGTGTTCGTTGGTACTGGGCTGTAAGAGGGCTGTTAAGTATGGGAGCGCTGTATTTATAGGGGGTTTTCGGGGCGGTGGTGCGCTGAGGAGTAGGTTTTTTACCGCCTTATACATGGGGTCTAGGACTGTTAAAAATGTTAAAAATCCGGCCATTTCAGTAAGGAATCTGGGCCTCTGATTGGTCAGATGCATGCCTTGTATGGATTTGGGGTAATGCAGCGACTTGCATATTTTTACTGAAATCCAGCCGAACACAAAAAGTGCAGCTGTAAGACTGCACCTTACAGCTACCAAAACTGGGTTTCCCTACCGTACTCGTCGGTTAGGTATGGAGTCCACCCTCTGGGGGTCTCGCTTACAGCTAGCCAACCGACTTTCATTGTCCCTTTAAGAATCGGATTTTTTATATGTAACGTACAAGCTCTATAATGGTCAAAATCTTCAACAATCCATTTCTCTACCAAAACACAAGCAAAAAAGATGGTAAAAGATTTAGATTGTTCGTCTCGATTACGCGCATTCAGCAGTATATTTCTTTTATAATCAAATTATTGTAATATATTATTATAATATTATAAAGCCTTTATAAGGGTCGGTAATATAGCTAAATTTGCCGTAAAAACTATTATATTCGGTATAAAATAAGGTATTAGTCTATTAGGACAATATAGCACCTTATAATATTTATTAAAAATTATTATTTATAATTTCGCAAAGTTTAGTATAAATGAGCAAAACGTTATTAATTATATTAGTAAATAAGTAAAAATCGGTATAAACGTTAATTTTATTATTAATATAAACTCTTTATTTCTTCTTATTATTAGGGGCGTTAAGGAAAATTACGCCGACGTTAAGGAACTCCTATTGAATAAATTTATTATTAAGAATATGAACCAGCGTAGTAGATTTTTCATTAAGAATAGTATTATTATAAAATTTAAATTCCTTAAGACGGTTATATAAATCTTCAAATATTTCGCGGAGAATAGTATTATCCGTTATAATACTATCGCAATTAGCTTTAGCCAATTATTAGAAAATATTAGAAGAAGCGTTAATAAAACGTATTAAAGGTTATTAAATATTTATACATTAATTACCCTAGCGAAAGGTTAAACTTAATAAGGGAATTTAAATAGGAGGAATTTAAACGAGAAGAATTTAAACGGGAATTAATCAGATTAAAGAAGGTATATTTTATTCTTAAATTTAATAAACCTAACGAGCTTATTTAATTAAATAAGTTCGTTATTCAGTTTAACGGAACTAATATTTAATTTCCTCCTCGTTAGCAAAGGCTTTTTCCTATTTAGTAAATTCTTTAAAAAATATTTTTATGATATAAGTAGAAATATAATAACCAGTTAGTAGAGGTAATATATTATAGTAGAATTAAAAAAGTTATTAATAAATATTATTAAATAGGGGTAGACGGTTAGCGTAATTAATTCAAAGGTTTTTTATATAAATAATAAAGTTAATAATATTATACGGATCTTTAGCGCTAATTATAATAGTATTACTAGTAATACTAATAAGGTTTGCGGTACGCTAAAATTAATTAATAATAGAATTATTAATCTATTAAATAGAATTACGCCGAGCGGCAGCCGGAGTAGGTAAATTAAAACTAGGTTTTACGTTATTTTGGGCAAAATGTAAGGTATTTTAGACCGGATTAACGAAATAAATTGGGAATTTGTTAACTATAGTCAATTCCGGCTATATAAAAGTTCGTTCTTATTATTACTTTTAAATAAATTTAATTAGAATTTCCGCTTATATTATATTAGCAAATTATTTGGTAGTAGAATTAGTTATAAATTATTAAATAAAATTAGCAACGATTTTAATAATTAAATTAATACGGAAAATAATAAATTCAGTAGGCGAGAACGGACAAAGAGATTAATCGGGGTAAGAAAATTATTTTATTAGAACTAGTAATAAAGAAAGAGGAATAGGAATTTGAGTAGGATTTACGAAAGGTAGCGCGTTAATTATTTTAATGGTATTAGAAAAGTTATGAAACGAAGATTGAAAATTAGAAGTAACGGAACTATTAATATTAAGGGGAATTAATATATTAGCGGCTATTTTAATAATATTATTATTAACTTTATGTTAAATAGTTTTATTATTATGAATTCTTAATTTAATTATATATTATTATTAATACTTTTCTTTAAATTAAATGGACACGCCATCTCTTTCCTTAAGGAAAGGCTAAATTTAATATCTTTTAAAAAAGTATTTAGTAATAAGGTTACAATATTTATATAGAATTTATTAAATTTCTTTATTGGCCGCATTAATATTAACGATCTAACTTTTATTATAAATATTATTATTTATTTCGTTAGTCTAGTCTTTTTAAACTTCGATTTAACTAGTTTTTATATTAAAATGAAATTTAATAGTTTTAATAAAAAATTTAGCGGCCGGAGGGGTAAAATATTCTTTGTAATAAAATTGGAATTAAATTATTATAAATTTAAAATTTTAATGTACTTTACGTATTAAATTATCATCCTAGAGGTTAAAAGCCATTTAGGGAATAGCGTTACTTTTTAATATTATAAAAGTTAATTTTAAAATTTGAAGGGATAATAAAAGAATTATAAAGAAAAGGGACTTAAAATTGAGCAGGATAAGTAAATATTTAATTTAAAAAGGTAAATTAAATAAGTAGTAATAAATCTAATGAATTATTATTAAAATTAACGAAATGAAGATAAAATCTCCCCTTTTATGAAAGGAAGAAACGAAAAAGTATATAAAGAATAATAAGGTCGGTTTGAAATTAAATTGTAGGTATTACTTATTATACGAAGCGATATTTTATAAATAATACTGATATAAAATAATAAAGTAAGTAATTAATTACTAAATAGAATAATAGTACGTAACGGTTAATAATAGTTTTATTAAAGGAAATTGAAGATAAATACTATCGAGAACTTTAACTTAGAACTTCGTATACGATTTTATAGAGTATAAATAAGATAGACGTTAGGTTAATATAATATAAATTAATAATTTAATTAATTTTGACGGAGGTTAATAGGGAGAGTACTCTTATATAATATATCTTATTCGACAGAGCAGTCCTACGCTTAATAAAGTATATGCTAAAATAGAGTACGGCATTCAGGCACCTGCCTGGAATATTCCATAATAAGTTGTAAATGTGATAGATAATATAATACCTTTGGATGGAGGTGAGTCTTCCAGTTTGAGTGTGCAAGTGATATGGAGGCGTTGATATAAAAGGCCTAGCAACTGGCTGTAGTTGAGAGCTCGGACCAACTTTCAATTAATTATAGCTAACACTTGGGCTACCATATGCACGGCATAGTTAGTTTCCACCGCATACCGATTACTTATATCTAGGATTAGCGAATCTGCGCGGACTTGAGAAAGTTATGGTAGCTCAAGTGCGTCTTAGGCCCAATTGAAAAAGTTTGGTTGAAAAATAGCCCGTATCAGCTACAGACACTAGGTACGCGCCCAAGCGCGTTAGCGTAGATTCAGTTTAGCAATTAAGTCCATTTCACATTGTACATAATCCCGTATTTTCGTGCACCTTAATACACCCCACGTAAAGAAAAGAAGCGGAGGATCCATTTGTATTACTACTTTAAAAAATCTTAGTAAACTTCGAGGCTCTTTGTAGAAGAACTGGGGGATCTATTTGCACTGCTACCCCAAAAAGTCTTAGCAAACTTCGAAGCTCTCTACAAAAGAACCGGAGGATCTATTTGCACTGCTACCCTAAATCTTAGCAAATTCCAATCGTTCTCAGAGTTTCAACTCATTATACCCATTCGACTCTAATTCGTTAACTTCTATTAATTTTAGTTAACTTTTATTGCCTTTAGTTGACTTTTATTGCTTTTGGTTTTTTTTCGTTGCCTTATAAGGGAGCGGGAAGTATACGCACTACTATAATATTATAGGTAAGTTAAACCCGTAGGTTAGGTCGTTGAATATATAGTACTTACGAAGCTTTGGCTGTGGTGGTCTGTGTAAGGTATTTGATAAGGGGGTTTTACTTTTGTTTGCAACTATAGTAGTTATGCGGTGTTGAGGTGTAAGGGTGTAGATGCAAGGCAATTAATTTAACGAGGGGAGTGTGCGTGGGTTTGTGTACGGAGTGTCAATAATTTTTCCGACACTTGTTTGCAGCTGAGAGCTTGGACCAGTTTTCAATTGGGCCTAAGACGCACTTGGGCCACCGTAGAAAGTCGCCATCAAGTACGAACTTGAACCGGAAACACTTACGAGATGGAACCGCGATTTAGACTTTCAAGATTTCAAGGAGTGTGTTGAGGACATCGTAACGTCGCCTAAGGTATCTCTTCTTTTTCATTTGCACTTTACATTTTCTGAAGACCCCCCCCCCCCCCCCCCCCCTTAAGAGACAATGCCTAGGAAACTTTTACTGAAGCGAACAGCTAGACAGAACCAAAGTCGGCGCCCACAAACTATCACGGTGCATCTTGGTTGTGTCAGGCCTGAATGGCAGCATTTGAAGTCTGGCACAATTTGATGGCAGTAATTTTGCATCATTCAAGTAGGCATGTAAGGTAACTCCCCATTTCAATCCATTGTCACATCTGGGTATTAATGACTGCTGGCGCTTCACAGACCACAGCGAACTTTGTCTGGGCTATTGTTCTGTATATTTTGGACATTCAAATTCCCAGACAATTGCCACTGATTCTTGGTCCGAAATGGCTGACACTCATCGCAGCAAGCGATTTGAACTGGCTCTTTGCTCAAGACATCACGAATGGAATGGGTGGTCAGCTTCGAGATTTACATTGCTTTCATCTGATATTCGTTGCGTTTGGTTTGCGTTTGAGGCCCCTCCTTTCTACCTCGACCCACCATGTTTCCAGTACACATCCCTTGTCGATTCTCCTACTCGCAGTTTCTGCTTCCTGTAACCTTTCAACCTCCAACAACTTTTCATTTTCACTAGTCCATCAGGTCCGCCAACCAATTTCGGAGATACTGACCATCATCACCAATACCCCCTTTCTCTGACGGCATCATTCAAGAGATTCAGATCATGGGCAGCGATCTACGCGAAGCTTGATATCTGGTACTGATCCCAAAGTGAGCTTAATGGTGACAGATCTGCTAATAACCTTGCGCAGCCAACTGCCATAAGTCCACTCGCCGAACGTCAACCTCTCAGACATCCATCACCATGTCGTCTTCCCACCAGGCCTCCAAGCCTCTGCTGTTCCGTCTCCCGCTTGAGGTCAGGCTCATGATTTACCGCCACGCTTGGAAGGTTGATCCCCATCCTCATACAATCGAGGGAACTGGCCAACTGAAGATTTCCTACCTGAAGCAACAGCTCCTAGCAATTGGGACGTTGGGCGCCATCTGCCAGCAGATGAGGACCGAAGCTCTTGATGAATATTTCCACCATGCTCAAGCTTATCTGCGCTGGGATTTCTATGGTGGAGGTAGTGGTTGCAAATCGCCTCACAATGTTTATTACAAAAAACTCATTCCGAGCTCTCCCTTGCTCCTGGCTCACCTCAGACATGTGAGCTTCTATTGGGACGGTGAGGGTGAATTCAAAAGGCGAGAAATTACAGTGATGGAAGCATTCTACTGGCTACAATCTCTTAAGCAGCTCAGAACGCTTGAAGTCGTTATCACAGGCTCAGATTTGTCGTGCCTTGATGGTTATAGATCAAAGCAGATGTCTTTGATCTTGGAGAATCTACGCGGACTGGAGAAAGCAACGATCAAGTTTGACTTTGCCGACCTTTCGCAGAGCAGAGCAGGATTTCATATTGCGAGACTGAACAACAACAAGTGGTTCCTCAAGCTCAAGAGAGAGATTGTGTTGGAAGTCCGTGCCTGGGTTGCCCAGTGAATGGCACTGGGCCGCCCATTCACCGGCACTCCCTTCCAGGTATTTTAGGCTGCCCTGGTTTCCGTTTCTCCTCTTCCGCTAGACAACTCCAATCAAGCCCTTTTCGTTGTCGCCTTTTCCAGCCCACCGACAGATTGAGAGTCTTGTAACACTGTCCAAGGTATTCCATTCTTTGCTGGTGTTCAGTTCGTTATTTCCCCTTGTTACTTTCCACGCGAGATTCCCATGGCCGAAATAGTTTACCACAAAGTCTAACAGCTTATTTAGGACGGAAAACCTCCCTGCCAGGTCGTCGAGGAACACCTGGGGTGCCTCAACCCTCGTTGGATGAAGAGAAAGTCCTCCAGAATCTAGTCATAACATGATTGGATCATCCAGGTGAGTGTCCCTTGTCCTTTTTCAAATTGACGCCTAGACAGCTGCTGATACCTGGTTTTCGAACAGAGGGGGACTCACGATTTTGGTACGGCTTCGGGTGCATATTCAGACCATGAGCTTTTTCCGGCAAATGACCACTTTGCTATCGACCGGAAACATTGGAATTCCGTTTTGCCGAAGAAATCATTCCGCGTTCAAGTCATCACAGGAGGACTAGACGGGCCATTCAAGCATGACCTCGGTTGTAGTTGCATTTACACACATAGACGGCTTCTTCAGGGAATCACGGGTATCGCTTTAAAGGGTTGACGGGTACCCATCTCTTGGGACTCGGGGACAGGTATTCAAATGGATACGCTTCAGGGCGGGGGATATCAAGAATGGAGAAGAACATCAAGCGCGGTAGCTGACAGAAAGATATATAGACCAGCGATCGCCTCCCCCCAACAGCAACACATTTATCATCTGAGGTGTACCACGAATTTGAAAGCCTGGCATTAGTAACGTCGAGGCTAGACGTTACCCTTCCTTACCGATCAGCGATGAGAATTATTTGCATACCTACACCGGTTCGCGAGATTTTCGATGCCATAAAAAGTCTCCGGGTGTTAGGTCCATTAGTGAGTGGAAACTTATGGCTCAACTGCTGGTCTCGTACCATTACGTTGGGAATTCCGGGGGTGAAAGAGGAAGGAAGGAACTTCACACACACAGTACATGATCACAGTTGATCATACAAAAAGAGGGAAGGATAGAATTAAAAAAATGGGAGAATGATAGAAGACTCACCCGTGAATCGAACGCGTTACAGCAGCAGAATTGGAACGGGTCCCAATCCGTTACAACTCCGTGACCACTATACCATCCGACCCAGGGGCAGGGCTTGGCCAGGCCTCTAAGTGTTGGAATTAGGCGCGGTCGAAGTAGTATATCTACCCTCTGACACTGCTGTAGAGGGAACATATGATTGGTTGTGTTGAAGGGTTGTTACACGGTTCGGGACCGAGTAGTGGGAATGTGGGATAAAAGTTGAGATGGAAGGTTGAGGGGTCAGTCACGGGCAGTCTTGGGCGTTTTGGGGGTGTTACTTGCTTTGGACTTGGAAGTCACGATGGCACGCACTTTCTTGGTGGAAGGGGCAAAGACGGCGGGGGCGTCACTCGGAGTTTTGGAAGGGACTGGACTGCTGATGGAAGTCTTTTGAGCGAGAGCTAGTCGCTTGCTGTCTCTACCGACTACCTTCCTGTCATATCCAATGCTCATAAACCTTGACATTCGGGTTCATGGCTACAGTATGCCCGATGTATCAGAGGGCCGTTCCGGGTTCGGTGGGTTTGAGATCAAGAAAATTTGGGAGGGGGATTACCTGCGGTGAAGGGTAATTGAGAGGTATCTATCTGAGATCTCTCTGAGCGAAATCAAAGGTTCTGCGCACATCTGTATGTTTCAACAGTTTCCGTATAGGTTGTTTTGCGCCAAGTGGGCGGGGGTTGTGGTGATGTCTGAAGGTGGTATCTTATCTTTTTCACATCTACTTCATTCTGCTTCCATCTATGTACTTTTCATTCCATCTCCGAATCGGCTTCCGACGTTCTACCGTCTTTCCTCCCTTTTGCATTGCCCAGTTGTCACAGCGTAGTCAGGTATGGGTGCGATGTGCAAAGACTGTACAACACTAATGGCTAACTTGGACTAAAAGCAAGAAGTTGAAGAAGAAAAGGGAAATCCCAAAAGGGAAGGCTAGATGTGGAAGACAAGGTTTTATACCCTGATCCTCTGAAGGTTCCAGAGCCAAGCCCAGAACCTGAACCTGAACCTGAACCTGAACCTGCTGAGCCAAACCCGTGAATAGAAGCCATCTTGTGAATGGAAGCCACCCGTGAATATAATTTGGAGCTCGCTCCCTCGCGTACATAAACCATGCCGCATCTTCGTCTTCCACTTCCTCGGTTCAGCGTCCCAGGCCAAAGAGAGAGACGACGTGGGACTTGACCAAAGGTATGAAGTCATTACGATCTGAGAAGGAACTGACATGCTAATGTTCTGATTCAGTTGTCACTTCCACCCTGACGCGCCCCAAACTACTGCGACCGCTCTCATCCATCATGTCTTCTTTGGAGAAGCCCCCCGATATCTCCCAGAAGGTGGCTAGAAGTGGCATATTCAACGAAGAGGCCGACTTGTCATCTGACGTATTCGCCTTAGAGTCCCAACCTACCAACAAACCCGCACCCAAGCTCCCGTTCTTCCGATTTCCGCCCGAGATCAGGTTCATCATCTACCGCATGGCGTGGGCCGTTGACCCAAAGCCACACACAGTCAAGAAGAGCGGTCAGTTGCGAACCGATTACGTGAAGGAGCAGCTCTCTGTTGTGACAAAAATGGGCGCTGTGTCTCACCAGATGAGGATTGAGGCCTATTCCGAGTTCTTTCACCGCACCCAAGCGTATTTCCGCTGGAACACGCAGATGCAGGGGTTCTCCAAGCACAACGTCCAAGTCATGGCGAGAATGCAGGGTTCTTTTCTGCTCAAGTACCATTTGCAGCATGTCAGCCTACACTGGCCCGAGAATTATGAACATCGAGTAGCGACACTGCGTTGGTTGGAAGGGCTCGAGCAGCTCAAGACGTTGAAGATTGTCATCTCCAATGGGCCTGACTTGGAAAACAGGAAGGGTGCGCATTACTCTGCCAATGCTATGCGCCGTCTGGCTGTCAGTTTGGCTCGACGCAATGCTAAATCAGAAAAGCCCTTCGTCATATTCGAGTCCGACAGACCAGAGCTCGTTGATCTCTGGAACGATGTCGACTGGTTCCGCTCGTTGGTGGAGGACGTCGCGAATCATGTACGTTCAAACTCTTCTTTCTCTCTTAATCTTCAAAAACGCACTTTCCTTCTGGGGCAAACCACCTCTTTCCGCACTCAATTTGTGTTTCACGGTTGCGGCAAAGAATTCTTCCCTGAATAATGGCCGATGCTAACAACAACGAAAACAGGACTCAGAGCCACCTCATCAAATCATCGAACAGCATCTTGGCTGTCTCAACCCCCTGTGGGCCAAATCACTGGCCCACAGGATCCTCTAGACGCCATATTGCTGGAGTCACGAAGGTATTTTATGGCATGTTCCCGACTGGACCATGGGTAATCTCTCTGGAATATGCCATATTACCTGCGCAATCCATCGACCTTAGCATAACCATTTATGAGCTCACGTTTGCTTCTATGTCAGGTCGCATCGATGTCTGAATATTGGAAGCTCTCATGGAAGTTTATCGAAGAATGGAAGGCACGTACAAGTGCGGAGGAAAGAGGATCAATACATTGCTTCAAGGAAAGTGCCTTTTAAGCGATGGGAAGGAACCGAAGGCTCGGGAAATGAATCTGGCTACCATAGATTGAAATGATGTAGATGAATGTGTGATGAGGTCTCTGGGGAAGTCATATGGAAGGAGTGTCTTGAGGGTGGTGGCTGCAAATTTGCTTGGCAAGTGGTGTATGGAAAGGGGAGGGTCCCCGTCTGGTTTGATGCGGGACATTCACATCGCACCTACTCCACGTAGCATAGAAGTAGCTAGCATTCTAGACTCCTAGCAGTCACGTTTCGCCTGACGAACGTGAGCTCCATCATAGAAGAACGACCGTTGTCAAACACCGCATCATCTTCTCGCATGTTCCTTTCTTTGTTTGTTTCCTCAAACCACCTTTTAGATTCATCTCAGAAACTCAAACCAGCTTGCACTTGGCCTTCTGGGCCCTGCCGTGCGCATTGTCGGTATTGTACTGCATGTGAAGTGGGTCTGTAATTTTCAGAGTGCAATGTGCGGCATCGATCCGTTTCACATGACAGCTCTTCATGTTGAGGGCGAATGATTTCGAGAGTACCGTACCAGCAATTCTTTCATCCAGGTCTGCACATTTTCCCCCTCCACTGGATTTCCTTTCCAGCTCCCTCTCCACCACCCACCCCGCCCCCCTCTACGATCAAGCTCCTGTTGTTGATATCTCCAGACCAGCAAACGACTTGACAACTTCACAAAACACGGCACCTTTACAGTGATATGCCGGACAAACCTTCTTCCTACTTAACCGCCCTTGCCATTCGGACAGGTCAGTAAATACGGCAGTTGAGTATTCGCTACCACCCCTTCAACGAATAAATCTTCTAACAATCAATCTACAGTCTACGGTCGTCGCCTTCCATCATCGTGAAGGTTTCATCCACTTCACACTTCACGCCATGGGCTTTCGTCAGCCAAATCGCCGGTAAACCGAACCCCTCCTCCTCCTCGCTCTCATCCTCTGCCAACACCATGAGTGACGAGGGCGTCATCTGCGGCTTAGACACCGGAGCGTACCGACCGTTTCCACTCCTTCTTCTGCCAGTGGAGATCCAGCTCCAAATCTACCGCTTTGCGTGGATGACTGGGCCGATAGAAGAGCACCGCACGAGAGTTCGCGGCAATGGCCCCGAATACATCCTTCGCTGTGTCAAGAACCAATTGATCCAGCGTGAAATGAGCAAGAAAGTCAAAGAGGAGCTCTCGACAGTTTGCACCATGCGTTCCGTCTGCCGCCACATGAGGGATGTCGTTTATGAAGAGTATTTCTCTCGTACCCAGGCAGTGTTACAATCCAACATTATTCTATTGCGACCTTCCCAAAGTGCGATTAGCAATGACGTCAGGACGGTGATCCATGACTCGACATTTATTTCGGAGCACGTCCGACACGCATGTGTCGTGATAAATGATATGGATTTTACTTCTCACAATGGCCCGGGAGATGACACATTGAGATGGTTGACGAGCCTGAGGAAGTTGACGACGCTGGAAGTTGTGTTCGAACAGTGGCAAGACCTGGCATCGAGAAATAGTATTTTTTGGAGGCATCCGGGCCTCGAGTCGGCAAAACTTGGGATTCAGAGTCTACCGCGCCTGGAGAAGCTGGTGTTTAGGCTCAAGTGGGGTCACATCTACCCACAGGAAGAGGCGATTTCATGGGAGGAGTTCCCATGGTTCCAGGAACTCAGACAGGTGTTCGAGCACGCACCTGTTTCCGAGGTACGTTTTTTGCCCATTCATTCCCTTCTGCCACTTCCAAAGTTGATTTACACTGGTTGCTGACTTGAGTATCAACCACCGCACAGAACACCGAGCAGCGCTGCTTCAAATTCAAGAATCATATCGGCGTCACCTATCCCGACTGGCCGTGTTCCTACGAGATCTGAGTCCACTCCTCCTCGATCACAGCCAAAACGGACGCTTCCGCCTCTATTTTGCCCTTGGGGATAGAAAACACAGCATCTCTGGTTTGAACGGTTGATTACGTTCACGTCCATGTCATGTCATCAACTCAACAGAGCCGAGCCAACGGTTTTGGTTTATCGTCCCCCGTTAGGGGAACGCCGGGCTGTTACTGCGGTCGTATATATACTGGTTGTTGAAGGGCGGATGTGTTGGAACGATTCGCGTGGGCTATCCGAGCCTTGGAAGGCCTGTGGATATACCCAAGGATGTATCATCGAACGAGCAGTACATGTAGCGGGCCAAGGTTTCGTTGATAGCGGTTTTTGCCATTTTTTCGTCCCAACTCTATTCAGAGTGAAGGGCCCTACTAGATATATTCACATTCACCCACAACGCATCTTTCCCTTCACTTGCACTTGGTTTGCTTTTTAGCCCCCTCAACCTCCAACCCCCCAACAAATTTCCTTAATTCAGTTCCTGGTCTTCTTTCAACTCCGGACCACCCAGCCATTCGACGACACCTGCGAGTCCTAAATCCTTCCTCCACGATGAGCGACGAGCGCGCTACCAGCAGCTCGACCGCCGACGCAGCTATGTCCGTCCAACCCGCAATCCAAGCGTTCCGGCTTCGCGCGCTCCCGGTAGAGATTCAGCTCCAAATCTACCGCGATGCCTGGACGCTCGCCCTGCCAGACGAAAACAATCCCAAGGCCTGGTTCTCAGAGGGCAGCCCACGCTCTCTCCAGCTGCGTGAGCAACTATCAGCAATCAGCGCCATGGGCGCCATGAGCCGCGAAATGAGAAGCCACGTTTATGCTGAGTTCTTCTCCCGCACTCAGGCGTACATCACCACCGACCGCCGCATTTCCACAGCCAGAAGGATGGTCGACGACTTCTGCTTGAGGAAGATCATGGGCATTTCTCCTCTCCTGAGAGAACAGCTTCAACATGTGTGTCTTGTGCTGTGCCATGGATCTGGAGTAACTGACGGGTCTCAGGGACCCTCGCGGGGGAAAAGAGCGTTAATGTGGCTGGCGAGCCTCAAGCGGTTGAAGACCTTGGATGTCGTCTTTGATCTAGTCGTAGGCAATCTAGGTCCAGGTCCCATGATTCATATTGGAGATGATGGGACTGTGATTGAAACTTGGCCGTTTCGATCTCCGTTTTTGGATGTGGAAGATATTCGGCGTCTGCCGAAGCTGGACAAGTGGTTGCGAGATGGTACGTGCGTGGTGTGGGAAGCAAAGAAAGGGCCTTTTCTTGGGAGGAAACCCCGCAGCTCAAGGAACTCAAGGAGGAGTTTGAGAAGCTCGCGCCTGCCTCTGAGGTATGTTGTTTATCGGTTGCCTTTCCTACCTCTATGGTAATTTGACTGAGGGTGGTTAACTAACCAAGAATCTGTGTTCCGACGAACAACAGGACACGGAGCAGCGACGATACAAGTTTGACCAGCACATTGGCGTCAGGGATGAGTACGACTGGCCTTCTCGTTCCTACCAAATCTGAACGAGGTCATCTTCTTCCCATGAGTCGAGCCTACTGCTTTACTTTCTCGGCAACTATCAACCAGGACGCCTGCCATTGAACCACGGCCTCGACGTCAAGGAATCACTGGAAGTGGAAGTGTCAGAGGGACTCGTGCGGGGAATTTCTGTTTCATCTGGCATCGTGTTATGGAAAGGAGTGAAACACTGCCTGGGTGTCAGGTAATCGATCAGAGTCATAGCATGTACTTATCAGAAAGGACCTATAGAGGCAAGTGACCTGGGTGGAAAAGATAGATAGAAATCCAAAAAAACTGGTCCTGGAAATAGACCGAACATGTACACGTAGAGTACCTTAACGACCCATATTCGGGCCTCAGTGTCTGCTCTTCCCCGTCGCTCCTTCCCGCCGTCGCCGCCTCTTCTTCCCGAAGCTGTTACCTGCCGCGCCTGCCTGCCGCACCTTCCTCCGAAATCATCATCCTCCCGGGAGTCTCGTCTACCCCACGTCATCCCAAGTCCCTACCCCGTCTTGCCTTGGGTATATATATAACCTCGCTCAACAGGCCCTTCTCCCGTGGTGTGGCCCGTTGGTGTAATGGTAACATTCCCGGCGTGGAAATTCCGCGTCTGCATACGTGCTGCAGGAAGACAACGGTTCGAGTCCGTTACGGGCCATTACCCTTTTTTTTGTTCTTTTGCTTTTTGCCTTTTGTGCGATGTTTGACATCATCATGACTGCTCTGTCTGCTCTTCCTTCGATCGTCAATCTCCATCCGACTCACTCCTCTGGCAGACGTCCTCCTTCCATTCCCAACACACTTCTTTCGCAGAGGTAACAAGGCTTGTCATGATGTTGCGACTGAAGATGCATTATGTATGGCCTAGGTATGGTAAACACCGAACATGCCCAGCATATTTGAGCATGAGACACAATCACAAAGAACACTTCCACAAACGAAGTCTCGTTCCGATGTAGGCACACCACAAGGAATATTACTGTTTTGACTTTTGTCAATGCCCTTGCGTGTATGGAAAGGCACTTCCCAAACAAGGCGCCTTGTCTGGGATAACCTCAGTGGTTGAAACAGGTACAATGAAGTGTAATTGCGTTTCTGAAAACCATCTGACGTTCAAGTTCAAGGTATGCTGCCTCAACCGCTCTTTCCCAGAACATGCAGTCCAGGCTTTTGTTGTGGATCCTGCCCTGAAGTGCCCATTCACTGACTGGGCTCGCCTTCCCCGGCACTCCCGTCATGCATGCACCGTATTTCCAGACTGCCCTGCCCAGGTTTCTGTTTTCTCCTCTTCCGTTAACGCTGCAGACTCAAGCCCATCCATCAGCTTCATCATTCACCCTCACCCTTCTCGAATCCTTCAAATTTGGGGCGGTACGGCTTCGCTGGTCTGCTTCCTTTCAGAGACCAGCGCCTCTCTCTACATCTCTACATCCGATACCTCCGATCGCGTCGCCTTCTGACCGGCACATTCTCAACAACGCCCTGACACTATGTTTACCACTGAACAGGCCTCGAAGGCCTCGACAACTCCCTCCACATCAAGTCACGAACGCGTCCCTCCAGATTCAGTCAAGAACGCAACACAAGAAATCCTAGCACGACCATCATCTCTTTTCCTGCGCTTGCCAATGGAGATCAAGCTCATGGTTTACCGGTATGCCTGGACAGTCGACCCTGAAGCAGACAAGTACCAGTGGCAGCGGTTTGTTCGTCAGTATGCTATTGAGTACGAGTACGATCCACTAAACGAAGATTTGGAAGACCAGCTCAAGGCACTCCACACATTGGGTTCCATCTGCAAGAAAATACGGAGGGATGCCTACTAGATGTACTTTTCCCGCAGTCAGTTCCATTTCGAGTTTTGGCATGAGCCTCACAGGAGAGGGCAAGGCCCCGAGAGCATGTTCCAGATCCGCCGCTTAAGAATTGCCCAACAGTCCGGCCTTCTTGGAGACAACCTTCAACATGTTTTGCTGCGTTGGGGGCCGATCTTTGAGGTCGAGATGCTCAATGTTGAGCTCGAGGTTATCAAATGGCTGGCGACCCTCAAACAGCTGAAGTCGCTGGAAATCATGTTCGCGGTATAGCCATATCAAAACGGAGTTGATCCATTGCTCTACAAACCTCCGAGGCTACACAATTGCCGTCATTACCGCAAGCGGAAAGACGCAATAGTGTCTCTACCACGATTTGAAAAGCTTGTCTTCAGCGTGGAGACACGACGTTACGTGGATTGCGTGAAGAGCACTCCATGGGTTCAAGACTTCATACGAGCTGTATCTGAGGAGATTGGTCCTACGTCTGAGGTACGTCGTCTTCCCCTTTTCTCCTCTGCCACAACCACAAAATTCTCAGTAAAGTCGCTAATATCGAACATGTCGACTGTTGTACAGGGAGAGGGACAGAAGACGTATAAGATCGAACACCATATCCACTACATGTTCCCCCAGTTCAAAACATACCAAATATGGCCACTAACTCCGATGTCGACGAGTTCGATGTCTTCGCTGAACTGCAGCACAAATAGTGTTTCCAAGCAGCGTTGACTCTCAACATTGCTCACGAGAAACCCCTAACCGACCCATAATGCTGTTAATCCTGTATATCTCGGCAAACTACAAGATCAGCGTGCCATGTCTTTTCACACAGCCACTGGATTTCTTTTCCAGTGAGAGTTATGCCATTCTTATGGTCTTCACACAAGCGCCGATATTCTCAAAACCCTTCTCCAACTTGACGCCTGTTCTGCCGGGGAAGGATGAGTGTTGGACACAAAAGAAAGGAAGTTAGCAGCGGAGATAAATCAGGCGAGTAGCCGCAGAATGCACTGTAGAGCACATAGGGAAGGCCAAAAGCTGCCATACACCTTGGCTTGTGCGAATTCCATCAAAATGAATACAGCATCTCTCTTCAAGGGTTTTTTCATCCTCCCACTCCCTTCCCTGTGTCTCAATCCAGACTCCAGGCCCTCGTGTCCCAAGTTTAAGAACGTTCCTCCATCAGTTAACCCCCTATGGCCCAAAGCACATCAATATCTCACACAAGTCTGCGCGTGTTAACGTCGCAACCGACACTCGATTGTTTGACGTCCGAGAACTGAAGAGCTGAACGGTACCTCTAGGAAAGCAGATGAGACACTCGAATGGTCGTACATTGCACGGTGCGATCTTCGGCAGTAGGTTTCCCTTCTCTAGTGTTGGATGTGCAGGTTATCGTAACGGCGAAGTGGTTTGCTTGGTGTTAGGACAAACAAAGGACGACCCTACCCTGGCTTTCCGGCGGCACCAAGGGGTGGTGGCTTTGTCAGCAACATTCCAGTTGCTTTCTCTGTCGTGGCTGCTTGGAATCGTGACAGGATTGTGCTGCGGCACTGGTGCTTGTTGTGGGATATCTCATCACTCTTGATTAGACTATTGAGGTCGTTCGGATAATGTTAGCGGATACATATAGATGACGAGCATTATAAGCTAGAAAAGAATGTTTACTTTCTTTTAAGATAGATCGATCCCAGTTGTGACCTGCTCAAGATGTGCTTTGCCTGCCCCAATCCCTCGCCAACTTTGATATGCCATGTTTTCTGTAGACGTACCAACTGCCACGTGAGGCTCAAAAAGGGGGAGGGGTATCCGTGTGGCTAAACATCTAGTAAATTGGATGAACCTGTGGTGAAGTGAGGACGTGGCTCTACTAAGGAGAATGAGGCTGTATCCTCCCTCCTCCCGTGAACGAACTTCCAGTGAATGGTCTCCCCCCACTTAATAACCAAATCTTTCCAATATACCGCCTTAGGTTTGTGGGGGATGGTTCACCATCACCCAGGTTTAATTTTCCAAAAAATTCTTCACCTTTCTTGAGGCTCTGCAGGTCACTTCACCCTGCATTAATATTGCCACACGATATTTATTACTTCCACATAAATAGAGGTATTTTCTATTTTATACCCCTCCTCTTTTTTTGACTTATCACCATCGGCCATTAGACAACATTTGAAGATACTCGTGTCGCTGCACCTCTGGACTTGATACACCAAGTGCCTTTGCACACGACATCTTCTAAGCAACCATGTCTTTCTCCGGGGATTTCTACTTCGGAAATTGGAACGCCCCTCCTAGTCTAGCCTTAGGCAACGGCGATGGAGACGGCGGCTGGAACTTCGATGGCAATGCGGGCCCGGACGACTACTTTAACTGGGACGACTGGGTCACTGGCATTTTGCCTAACGACAACTCGATTGCGGACAACTCTTTCATCGACAACCCGGTCATCGACAACCCGGTTGTAGGCAACTCGATTCCCGGCAACACCCTCAACGGCAACACCCTCAACGGCAACACCCTCAACCCAGCCATAGGCACCTCGGCCACAGGCAGCTGGGTTCCTGGCAACTCGGTTCAAGGCTGGAACTCAGCCACGGGTAACTATGTCATAGGTAACTCTGTCATAAACAACTCTATCGCAGGTAACTCCGTCACTAACAACTCGATTATAGGCAATTCGACCACAGGCAACCAGGTCGTAGGCAATCCGGTTGTAGCCAGTGCTGTCGTGGGTAATCCGGTTGTAGCTAGTCCTGTCGTAGGCAATCCGGTCGTAGGCAACTCGGCCACAAGCAACTCGATTGCAGGCAACTCTGTCACGGGCAACTGGGTCGTAGGCAACTCTGTCACCGACAATTTCCACTTGGCTACGGCCAACCAGTTCGTGGCTAATCCTGTCGTAGGCCCCTCCGTTACGGGTCACCCGGCCACAGCCAATAATGCTCAACTTGTGTCTCTTATGGCCGCTCAACAGCAGGCCTATGCTCAGCGTGCTTATATGGCCTTTCAGCAGCAGCAGAGAGTTATTGTTACCGCCCAGGCCCAGGCTGCCGCTCAGGCTCAACTTCAAGCTGCCGCTCAGCAGCAGACTCCATCTGCTCTCAGGGCCGCTCGGCGGAAGCGGAGGGCTATTGCTGCCGCTAAGGCTCAGGCTGCCGCTCAGCTTGCTGCCGGTCAGGTTCCTGCCGCCGCGGCGTCGACCTCCTCCGGTACGCCTTCCTCGTCTTTCGCGCCTCACCCCTTTGTCGTCGTTCCATCCACTCTCAACCACCAGCCCATGAACAATGCCGTCACAGGCAACGTCGTTACCGGCAACTCGGCCTCCATCACCTCGACCCCAACCCCAGCCCCAGCCCCAGCCCCAAGCCCCTCGCGCCCCCTCCTCCCCCACGAGATCTTCCCCTTCATGAAGCTCCCCCAAGAGCTCCAGCTGATGATCTACCGCTACGTGTGGCACACCACCCCCGACACCCCGCCCTCCGGCCAGTTTTCCTACCAGCAACACCTCCAATTCTACTCCTCCCCGCGCCACCTGCGCGCCCAGCTCCGCGGCCTCTTCAAGCTCGGCGCCATTTCCCAGGAAATCCGCAGTGTCGCTTACGCCGAGTACTTCGGCCGCACCCAGCTCTACCTGCGGTACGACGATTTTTTCCGCTGGAACTATTCCGACAGCTGGCACGGCAGCGACCAGCTGACGGCGTCGATGAACCTGCTCTGGCAGGACGCGACCTTGTCGCCGCTGTTGACGGAGTACGTGCAGCACGTGGCTTGGCACATCGGTCCGGTCCACAATAGCAAGTTGTGCGCGACCGAGCGGGCGGCGCTGAAGTGGCTTCAGGATTGCAAGAATGTCAAGACGCTGGAGATCGTGGTGGCGATGCGGAGCACGCATGTCAGGCCGAAGGATGTCAGGGACTTGCTCAATGCTAGGGCGAGGTTTGCTAACGGGGTGGTGCCGTATTCGACGTTCAAGTTCTTTCGCTATTTCAAGTGGTCGATTAATCGGCTGGATGTGTTGCGGAAGAAGGGAAGTTTGGAGAAGGTGGTGTTCAGTGTTGAGCCGTTTGTGAATGAGAGTACAAGGGTTGCGGAACGGGGCACGATTGACTTGGAGGCGATGCTGGAGAGGTCGGAGTGGTTCCGGAAGTTCAAGAGGGAGGCGTTGGAGCACCTCCTTGGTCCCGTTCCTAAGAAGCGGAAGCTTGGTGCTAAGTCTGAGGTAAGTTCATTGTTATTTCCTTTCTTGGAGGAGATTGTTGTTGTCAAAGGGGTCTGTTCGTTTACTAACGCATGATTGTGGTTTTATAACAGAAGAAGACAGAGGAGCGCTCGTTCTACAAGATCGAACAGCATCTCGGCCACGTCAACCCCAAGTGGCATCGGTCTTACAAGATCTAACACCCGACCGCGTCGACCGCGTCCTCATCGCTAAGCCACAGTGACAACGGGCTGTGGGACTTTTGCATCTTGCATCGAAAGCCCTGAGCCTCTTATCACAATCAGGATGCTGAAAGCCGCCAGCCGATTACCCGGCTAGTGACGATCTACTCCTCGGGCGTCTGCCCACATCCCAACGTACCCAAACCCTTAACATACAATGCCAAGGCAGTGGAGAGGGAGGTCATCGTCCTCAACGAAATTTGGAGCAACACTGAGTGGTTCCAAGAGTTCCATGAGGAGGTTGAAGGCCTTACCTCTCGGCCTGGCGTTGGAGAGCATTACTTACAATGCTCTCTGTGACGCACGTCATGCTCAAACAAGATTATTACCCAACTTTTCCGGCTAAGGGAGTAGTCGCTGGCAGGTAGATACTCATACCACATTCTACCTGGACACGACGCCCTGGCCAATGGAAGGTTCAACGGTCAGTTCGAAATGGGAACCGTCCGCTTCGAGATGGAGGAAGCCAAACAACGGATTCATCACATACATATAGCTAGGACCCAATCGACAGAGCCAAAAGAAAACATTAAATCATGTTGCTCGTATGCCTTGCGTTATTCGTGACATCTTCATGAGATGTGCGGCAGAAGGAATGTTGATTGCATAAGCAGATGTCATGGCAAGGTTTCAAATCAGACATGTGCCGCTTCGCTTCGTGCAAAAAGAAAGCCCATTGTTCAGCGAACAAAAGAAGCGCCTGGCAACCCTGGATAACAAACATGTCGTGGACTTGCCCGGCGACAACGTGTATTGTAGTTACTGATCTTCGTGTTGTTAAGCCATTGAATGTCCACCAGCAGGTACACGCCATAGCCACTCCCTCCTTCACTTCTTCGCAGCCTTGACAGCCTCGACTTCCTCCTAGAGCGGCAGGATATCCGGCACCGGGCCCAACGGCGTGATCCCCTTGGGATTGATCTGAGGGTGCGAGCAAGTGTAGTGCTTCTTGATGTGCAAGAAGTTGGTCGTCTCGCGGAAGGCAGGGACGTTCCAGTATAGGTTTTGCATCCACCTGTTGATAGCCGGGTATCCCGACCGGATGTCGCGAATGTTGCACTTGAAGTGCTGGACGTAGACGGGGTCGAAGCGGATGATTGTCGGGAACCTGTTGTCATCGTCAGCATCTCTTCATCTCCCGGGAGCAGGTGGGACAACTCACAATCTCACATCCACCTCCGTCAACCTCTCCCCAAACCAATACTCCCCCTTCCCCTTCTCTTGCACCTCCCTCAGATGCTTCTCGACCTTATCCAAACTCTCAAACAACTTGATCACATTCCTCTCATACGCCTCCTGCGTCGTCGCAAACCCGCTCTTATACACCCCATTGTTGATATCATGATAAACCCACTCATTGACCTCATCAATCTGCCCCCTCAAATCCTCCGGGTACAGATCCAACTCCCTAGCCTTGGCATCCTCGACAATCCCATCGAACTCGCTCCCCAACATCCTGATAATCTCACTACTCTCATTATTCACAATCCTCCCCTCCTTCTTATCAAACAGCACCGGCACCGTAAACCTTCCCTTATACTCCGGTTCCACACCGAAATACACCTCCCTCATGTACTTCTTGTCTCTCACCGCATCCGGCACCACCTGTTCCCCAGCCGCATCCCCGCCCTCCATTCCTTCCTCGGCAGTGGGGAACCGCCACCCCTTTTCGCCCATGTGCCAGTGCACGCTGCTAAAAGAAATGACATCCTCTAGCCCCTTGAGCTTGCGCACGATCAGGGCCCGCGTGGCCCACGGGCAGGCGTAGCTGACGTAGAGGTGGTAGCGGCCCGCTTCGGGGGGGAAGGGGGAGGATGGGTCGGAGCGCGAGATGAAGGAGCGGAAGGAGGAGACTTGGCGCTTGAATTCGCCGGTTTTGTCGTTGGGGTCTACCCAGTCGGTTATTTTGTCGTTGGTGGCCATTTTGGTGGTGGTGGTTGTTGGTAAGTTGTTGTTTGCGAGTGATGATGTTGTGAAGTTGTGTGTGGTGTCGTGGGGAGATGGGAACGGTTGAAATAGAGTTGAGATGTTCCGGGTTGAAGTTCGGACGACGGTTGAGCTGGGGGAGACAAGAGATGAAACAATGCTGCGGATGCTGCGGGGTCGAAGCACTGTTGGAGATCTCACTGCAGCGAGGTTGAGACGAAAGCGAAGGCTCATGAGCAAGTGAGAAGTGTCTGAAGAGTCTCCAACGAACAAGACTCTCTTGAGAAGTTCACAAGTGTAACAATGTTAATTGCACCATCATGTACAAAAAGTTGATTACGGTATATATACCGAGCTGCATCTAAAGCCCAAGACGTTGTTCCGTCAACATCCACCATGACGCTGACAAAGAAGACGCGCGATGTTTAGTCGCGGATTACTGAGCATGTTGACCTCACTGCACCCCATTGGCTGGTCTTGGTTCTTTGGTCCGATCGTGGCTGGTGCATTCGATTGACCTGATGTGGCTGGTGACACTGGCGTGGACGGTGCAGACCACGCGTCAAGCCTTGGTTCGTCAGAGTCATGTGACTTTGCGTAGGCAACCAGGGATAAAAAGCCCGCACATCTCGCTCACGTGTGCGTGAACAACTCTCCACAAAGTCAACAAACGAGTCGAGCCCTCCACATCTCCATCGACGCCGCCCTCATCCAACTTCCGTCATCAATTGAATTCCAACAAACGCGATTGATTTACCCATCTTTTCATCCCTCACTTGACCCCGCCGTCGCCATGGCGGACGCCCTGCCCTCTACACCACCACCTCGGTCTCCCGACCACCGTGAATCCGATATTCACGACGACGAATACGAGTCAACACAGCCGTTGTCGTTATCCTCTCTAGGGTCAGTGATGATCATGTTACCGGTGCGATGATTGCTCGGTCTCTCCCGGACGATGCGAGAAGGTCCCATCGGGGATATGTTTGAATACATGGCAAGAAATCCACCAAGTGGATTTTAAGAGGATGTTGAGGTCCTTGGTGGATTTCTTGCCATGTATTCAAACATATCCTTGATGGGACCTTCCTCGGTGTCACGCAGGAGCAGCCGGTCGATTGTCACTGGTACAAGGTTCCGTTCCATATCCTCCCCCTCCTCTACTCCCCTCCCCATTCAACACCGTGGACTGTCGTTCAGTGTCTCGCAGGCCGTTTGTTCAAAGCATATCGTCCCGGCTGTCAAGGACATTTAAAATGCCAACTCCTACCCAGCAGGTACGCCTGTTGGAAGGACTGGGGCTCTTGGTTGTCTGGGACCATCACGGACATATATATTGTCACGCTGGACCTGCGGCACCATGATCACCAACACCAATTTCACTTCCTCTCCTCCCTTCCTCGGCCAGCGCTGAATGCCCGTTACAATATATGCCCGCTCCGTCTCGCAGGCCATGTACTCAAAGCACACCGTTCCAGGCTGTCAGGGGGCGTTATAAATCGCCAACTCCTACCCAGCAGGTACGCCTTCTGGAAGGACTGGGTCTCTTGATTCGCCTGGGACGATGCTGAGAGCTATATGGCTGACGATGTGTTTGGAAGTGCGCGTTTCAAGCTGTCAGGAGGCGCTATAAATAGCCAACTCCTACCCAGCAGGTACGCCTGCTGGAAGGACTGGGTCTCTTGATTCGTTTGGGACCGTTACTAACAGATACATTATCAGTGAGAACTAGGGCACCATAATCACTCGCACCAAATCCTCTCTTCCCTTCCTCGGCCAGCGCTAAATACCCGTCACAACACCCGGACATGCCCGCTCCGTCTCTCGCAGGCCATGTACTCAAAGCACACCGTCCCAGGCTGTCAGGGGGCGCTATAAATAGCCAACTCCTACCCAGCAGGTACGCCTGCTGGAAGGACTGGGTCTCTTAATTCGCCTGGGACGCTGCTGAGAGCTATATGGCTGACGATGTGTTTGGAAGTGCGCGTTTCAAGCTGTCAGGAGGCGCTATAAATAGCCAACTCCTACCCAGCAGGTACGCCTGCTGGAAGGACTGGGTCTCTTGATTCGCCTGGGACGCTGCTGACAGTTGCATCGTCACGCGAGATCGGCGGGTCTACCCCTTCCCATATCATATAATTACGCTTACTAACATGTTCACGGGGAGTTAGGTGGAATCGATGGAGATATCCCCGGCGGCAAAAACGACGACGTTGAGGTACCGACTGCATCCACCAGCGACGACGAAAACCATTGCAAACTCAACCTCTCTGATCTGGATGGAAATGTTGCCTGGAAGAACGACACCGACCCAAAGGAACAACACACATCGGACTTGTGTATCGATCTACACGTAGATACGACAAAGCTGCTAGCCATATTCAGACTGCATGCCACTATCCTTCTGCGCCCTCTGGAGAAGTGGACAACGCTTTACCTGCTTGTTCATCCAGAATGGATCCAGTCGATCGAGTTTAAGCCTTTTGGCGACAACTTCATTTCCCTGCATTTCACCATGACGCAACCACCTACTCTCGTGGCGCCAAAGGCAATGCAAGAGTCTCATGAGCCGAGACCTCGGGATCAAGGTCTTTTTGACAGCATGAAGTCCCTAGCTACATTGCGCCAGTTCACTGTTTACCTTCACCGCCTCGACCTCATACCGGAGACTATGGAACAGCTAGCTTTGCTCCCATCGGTCTTCTCATCCTCTCATCCATTTGGCCTATTGCGGACGGACGAGAAGTTGGCATCGTTCGACGTATTGTTCCGCGGTGCGCCCGGTGAGGTTATTGACTTGGGCAAGACTGCCCCTCCTGGCACCAATCACAACCAGACTTTGGCAGAAATGGCAGAGGAAACAGTTGCGGAAACGACAGGTGTCATTCCTCCCCCATATCCCAACGATGGCTCCTCTCAGAATGCACCTGGGTACTCGGCCCCGAATGGTACGCTCATTTCGTTTTCCATTATCGTCACGCCGTCTCTCAGGCTGCAACTAACACCGCGCCCTTTTAGACCGAAAGCGACGTATAAGTGAATCATTGTCTCCTTGTACAACCGACAGGTACCACGGGGCGGGCGAACCTTCCACCTCGGGTGGCCTTCAAAGCCTGAATCAATTCTCAACCCCGACCGGTATGTTCCCTTTGGTACCATCAACAATCACCTGCCCCAGGCTAATGCCGTCCCCGTTCCAGACCGAAAGCGTCGACGCACAAGCGAGCTCTTATCTCGCTCTCCAACTGACAAGCACATTCTCCTCGCAATTCGTCGAGTGCTCGACCGCACCGCCAGCCTCGATGTTCGGGTCAAACAGCTCGAGAAACTGATAACCGAGTGTCTCAATGCCGACAACACATGCAGATACGACAGCGAGCAGGAGGAGCAAATTTACGGTCACATAAACGCTACAGTCGACGAAAGAATCGACGAGCATATGTGGGATGTGCAACGCGAACTCGAGGGCGAGCTTTCAAGACAGACGGAGGAATGGGTGGCCGAGACGGTTGATTTGGCCCAAGAGGAGCTGCGGGAGGAGCTGCGGCACGAGATCGAGGACCGGTGGGACAACGATATCACGGTGAAGATGAAGAAGATGGTCAAGGTGGAGGTGTTGAAGGACATGGCGCAGGCAGTGAAGGTGATGAAGAGGGCCCGGGCGTACAGGGAGGATGTCAAGTCGACAACGAGGAGGAGGATGTCCACCACTACAGCGAGTACCCAGAGCACGGCGGCGTCAACCAAGCCCATCCTAACCAAGCCGATCCCAACCAAGCCGATCCCAACCAAGCCAATACCCTCCACAACGCTAAACCATTCTCTACCTGGCGCAAGCGCCTTTCAGGCTGCCATTCAGGATATCCAGAGGCGGTACTCTGCAAAGATGTCGGCAGAAGAAATCATGAGGGTTATGGATCATTTGGAGGCGAATCTCGTTGAAGCAGTCAAATACAACGGGTGCGGTGCCGAGTTGAAGTGGTTGTATGTGCAGAGATGGGCAGCGAAGCAAGAAGAGTAGCAAGGCCGATCTCAGCATCACGTCGAATACATCCACACCTTTGGAACACTCTTTTATATCTCAGGCCGTCTCCAATGAACCTTCTTGTCTAAATCACAATGCATTTCCCAATTCAAAGCGTGCCAAACAGAGTCTTGTCCACGTGTTTCCGATTTGCCACATGACATTCCGTTGTTTTGGAACTGCCTTTCCAAAATCAAGTGACCAACATCGGACTGTCCGCGTCGATGTATTCCTCCCACGCTCACTCCCACCTTCGGTCAACTTACAAAACACCGGCGCCCATAATTTTACATGCTATCATTGCACATATTCATAAATGTTGAAGTACCCGTAGTCGAGTGGTCGACCATGCATATATCATCACACGAATAATGAGAGATCCGAAACACAGAAACAAGACAACGTGGAATACACTCAAAACGCCCAAGCCAAAAACAAATCTGAAACGAAAAGAGAATTGGAACAGGAAAAGGAAAAGGATAAGAAAAACAGACACAAAAACACAGAAAAAAAAAAAAGAAGAAACATACAACACCTGGGATTCGTTCGTTGGTCGTCACCGACCCAACTACTTAGTCAAGTCAGGCGATGCGAATTGGTAGCTTACCTACCTACCTTATCTATGGGATCCCGTCCGCTCTCCCATCCCGAGTTTTCTACCATCTGAGTGTGGTCGTATGTGCCTGCCTGTTATCAATCATAGTGCATGCAGGTTATATTGTCCTGAGGTCCTCTGCCTTTTTGCGCTTCTTCGCGTTCGGGTTGTGGTTGTGCGTTGTGGTAGTACACAGGGGCACTAACAGCATGCCTGTGTACCTACCTAGGTACCTGGGTACCTGATACCTGACTTGGACAGACACACAAAGTACACACCTACACACAAAGTACACAAAGTTGAGCTTTTGTAATCATGATCAGTTCTGCAACTTAGTTGGAAGAGTTGTAGGTAAGCTCGTAAGGTAAGGTAAAGACGCGAAAATACACTTGACTGTGTTTGTTGTCATTACTTATGACTCTGGCGTTGTGATGTTGGACGTTCGGTGCACACGAGGTGAGTGAGGGAGGTATTCATTCAGAACGTGTCGTGGTGTTGTTGTGGTTTTTAAGTGTTACCATGAACCACAACCGACTCATCCATCCGAGGGGGTGTGTATCGCATGACATCAGTGAGAAGGGACAGCAGTTGTTAGGTATTCAAATGACATTTGTCCCTTCCCTGCCCGGATGTTGAATATGTAACTCGTCGGGATAAACAAAGAGTTTATAGTAAGGTAACCTTTTCATCTCATATAAGTCAACGCTAGGTCTAATCACTTTCCTTGGCACCGTTAATTCACGCTTTCCCCATCATCGTCATCACCTCATCCTCACAGAAAGCAATGCTCCAGACACATTCCACTTTCGCTTCATAAAAGCACAATAGTAATGGGTCTTATACCAAGAACTAAAGTAAAAGTAACGTTCTATTGACTTGACTTTACACATTCATCAAAAAAGCTCAACTGATATCTACACCCACTTCCTCTTCCTTCCCTCCTAATCCCTTCTCAGTAACCATCTACCTAATCCGCGCCTTAATATAAGGAACCTCGACATCCTCACCTTCCGCATCCTCCGTCACCACCTCAAAGATCAACTCCTTCTGATGCGCCGGAATCGGCTTCTTGCTAATCGTCTCCACCAGCTCGCTGAGCTTGAGAGCATAGCGATCCTTGAGCTTGGCAGGCGGGAAGAACGAGGCATACAGCAGGCTGACACCGGAACTCAACATGGAGATGGACAGACCGCGCTTCTCGAAATCGTCAATCAGCTCCTGAAGGGTAATGTCGCCGACCTCGAAGCGGTCCCAGATCTTGTCGAGCGTGACCTTGCCGTTGGGGCCGTTGTACTCGACCTTGGGGCTAGCAATGGGCTCGGAGAAGCCGAAGAAGGGCAGGGCCAGGTTGACGAAGCCGTTCTTGTACTGCTCGATGTCGGTCTTGCCGTCGATGATCTTGTACAGCTCGAGGATGACGAGGCCGGTGACCAGGGCCGTGGTGGTGGCGATGGCGGGGATGATCTTGCCGGCGATGAACTTGGTCTTGTGACGGTCGGCAGACTCGATCTTGTAGTTCTCGGCGCGCAGGTTGCTGGCGGCCGTGATGAAGTCGATGTGGTAGTTGGTGTCATCGTCCTTCTCGAACTCGACCACGTTGAGCTTGAAGCCGGCCAGGGTCTTGGGTTCGGGGAGCTGGGACTTGATGTTGCCGAGCTCGGACTCGTCGTCGAAGGCAGTGTTATCCGCGTTCGGGTCCTATTCAAGTTAGCAATCAACCTTGACAAACACTTGCGCTGCGATAAAACTTACAGGCTCCTTCTCATCCGCCTGAATCTTGACGTTCGAGTCAGGGGAGAAGTCAGGCACGATCATGCCCTCCAAAGCCTGCAGGTAGTCGGCCTTGCTCTTGCCCTTTGCATTGATACTATAGTTGAAGGCATGGAGGTTGGTAGCAGCCTCGAGGAAGCTAAAGTGGGTCGGGTTCTCCGGGTCGAACTTGAGCGGGTCAGGGGCGCGCTTGGGTCCGGACCAGAAGGGGGTGCCGGTCGAGGACACGGAGTCCTTGGGGAAGTTGTAAAGGAGCTGCTGGATAGCGTTGTTATACTGTTTCTCGAAGAGCATGCGAGCCCATTGGACGCAGTCCTCAAAGGTGAGCGGGCGCTCGTGCTTAAGGAAGTCTGCGAGCATCTCCAGCGTCGCCTTCTCGTTGCCACTTTGCTTCAGGCTAGTATCGAGATAGTTAGGCTGGGTGAGGTAGAGGTTAACAGTCTCCGCAGGCTTCACGAACGAGCTCTCGAACAACTCACGAGCCCAAGCGATGGTATGCTCGATCTTGTTGGGGAAACTCCTGAGAGTGCACATGGGGAAGGACTGCTCAGGAGGATCCTGAGAGGAGGAGTAGGACTCAGTGAGCCTAGGAAGCACCACTTGCGTGTTGCCCTTGGTGCCGAGGGTGCCGCTCTCAAGGAGAGGCTTGTGGAAGAAAACGCACCGCCTGTCGACATACGTTCTCGCCTCAACATTGTCCAGCGCGTTCGTGACGCCATCCAAACCTTGCCAGAACTCCTCATTGAAGATCTCCTCGGTCTCGGGGCTAACGCGATCCTTGAGAGAAACAATGTGGCCTTCGAGGTCAGGGTTCATGGCCTGCACAGCCTTGGCCGCGCAGTCACTCTTCATCTGACCAACGTCCTTGGGGCGGAACAAGAACTGTCTGTTCAAGTTGGACTTCTCGATCGAGTCCATATCGGTGACGAAAATCTTGCCCTCAGGACCAGTTCCGAGACCGATCATGGCCCAGTTCTTGAGCATCTCACAGCCGATGGCGCCAGCGCCAACAAGGAACTGCTTGACGTTCGCGATCTTCTCCTGGAACTCCCTACCGAAAACCGCGATCTGGCCATCGTACCTGCTACCAGTGGGCGCGCAAAGCTCTTCAGTGCGCTTGGAGTTGGTGGGGAGAGCCTCGAGCGCATCAAAGTACATAAACTGCTTGATAGGGTGGAACTTGCCCGAAACAGCCTTGAGGACTTCCTGGGCGGTAAGACCACCGAAGAAAGCAGCCATGGGGTTGAGGTCACCAGTAGCCTGGTAGCTGAGCTCCTTGAGAAGCTTGTCGTCGAACTCAACCTCGACACCCTGCTGCTTAGAAAACTCCTTGGCCGAAGCGATAACCACAAGCGCATCCTCGTCGTTCATCGGCCTTGGTAGACGTCCCTGAGACTTGGCGAAAGCGTCAAGAGCCTGGAATCCGATATGGAGCTGCTGAGGGCGATCGAACTTGGCGAAGTCGGAGATGACAAACTCGGGATCCTTGAGCGCGTGGGTAATGCTCTTGAACTCGATGGTCTTGGGCATCTTGACCTGCTGGTAGAGGCCGCCCTTCTTGTACTGGCCGAGCCCGGAAACGTCGCCGATTGAGAAGGTGTAGGGGCCCTTGACAGTGACCTTGCGGGGCTCGCAACCGTTGAGTCCCTCCATACCCTCGACCTCCGAGAAGGTCACATAGTCGCCGTCCTCAAGTCCGTGTCTGGTCTCGTCGAGCGCAGAAACGAGACCCTCCTCATCGATGCCAGCCACGATACCGTTGACGGGGTTCTCGCCGTTCGTGTCCATCACAGTAAACTTGTCGCCAAAATCGCAGAAGATGCCGCCAAAGAGACCGTGTGTGTTGACAGCAATGAAGTAGATGCCCTTGGAGTGGCAGTATTCGCCGACAATAGTCTGGAGATCGGTGTTCTGGTTCGTAAGGACGACGACTTGGTACTTGTCGAACTGCGACAGGTTATCGGCGAGACTGTACAAAGACCACAGTTAGCTATCGAACCCCCGAAGGCCACTCTTTGCTCAAAACCGCAACATACCTTGGCGACTGGTGAATGTGAACGGGGGTATAAGCGTTGAGCTCAGCAACGCGGGGAGCGGTGACCTGATCGCGGGGCTTGCCGACATCCTCAGGGTGGAGGAAGAACTGGGAGGAGAGGTCGGCCCAGGCGGCGGGCTCGGGGTCGTGGAGGGTGAGGCTCTTGACGCCAGCAAGGGCGACGTTCTTGGCGATCTCAACGCCGAGACCCTTGAGGCCAACGATGAGGACGTTGGAAGCGCTCATGCGCTTCATGGCCTCGTGGCCCAAGACATACAGCTGGCGACTGTAGAGGGATTCATCGATCTCGGCCGTGGTGCCGGCTACTGACTCGTCGACTTGCATCCTGGTGACAAGGTCGACCTCGTTTTTCCGAGTGTCCTGGAAGATGGCATCACGAAAGTGTCAGCGAAGAGCAAGGCGCTTCTTATGTAGATGTCGAGGCTTGACGCATAGGACTCGATGCTCATCAAGGTTGCTCAGCCCAGCCGTTCGACAGCTGCATGCGAGACTGACTAGCACTAGCTACCAGCTCAAACGCAAGGCGGGGGAACAGCAAGATTCATGTAGACGACGGGTTGAACTCACGGTCATGGTTCTCTTTAGGGAGATGGGCAGGTCCCCGTCGGATACTTTGCGCTTCCCCAGCTTGACGGCTGTTGATTACGTGGGCTGGCCAGCAGATTGCGGATGCGGATCGCGGATCGCGGATGCGAGATGAGGGGGTGGTATAGATGGTTGGAAGTTCGTGACGCAAACGAAACGAGCAAAAACAAGAACGACGACGTATGTGTTTATTTGCGGTTCGCGGTTGGTGGGTATTCTGATGCTTCAAGTTGGCGATGTTGGTCTAAAGAAAACGCCGATGTTGTAGTTGGATGACAGAGAGAAAACAGACGATCAAGCGCAAGTGCTAAGGTGGAAGAGTGGAAGCTGTCTGTATGTAATCTGGAAGGTCAGGCGGCGGGACGGCGGAAGGTGTCGAGGGAGGTTCGGTCAGCCCCGCCACCAGCTGTCAAGCATGAAGGAGAACTGCGGGGAATGATGTGATGCACTGTTCGTTGGCCACACTGTACTGCTGTTAGTGCAGGTGCTGTAGCCTTCCCCTTCTCTCTCCCTGCAGCTATCACTTGTACATCGAGTGGCTATGCTACCTCTGTCCTTTGCTGATCGCTTTGAATTATAGAAGGATCGCATTACTAACAGCCCGCAGCACGAGGCAGTCGTCAAGGTACTTGCCCGAAGTACCTCTGGCGGCAAATCGTACTGCGTACAGTAAGCAAGGGCCAGCCAGTCAGCCAACCAAGCTTTCCGGGCAGGCAATCAGCCCTTATCGGTTTGAACCAATCACATTCAACCGAACGTTTGCAAGTACTTCTTCGTATTGAATTAGCTGCGCCGGTACTTCCCCCTCCCTTATCGCCTGGAACTCCGTCATCAATCCTCGTTTTTACCCATCAAGGTTCCTCCCCATGTAAACACCAACAATCTATCACCGACACGGGTTTTTGTCTTTTTGGGACTTCTTCCAAGTCCAAGTTTGTTTCTATCCAGCGTTCCCTGGTCTGCCTCATTGTCGACGTTGCTTTTCACGAAATCAGTGAAGAGTGAACCGCCCAGCTACTGGAGACCCTTGAGATATACGTCACTTTCACATATTAGCTCGTATTTTTGTCTTGCCCGCCGCTACCTTGACTGAAGGGACAAGCTAGAGCGAGATATGCAGCAAACAGGAGGCAACTCACAAGATCAGGTCCGCGTTCGGAGGAATGTGGCCGTGAAAACCCCTGGTGCCATCGTATCAAGTCAGCATATGGACTTCAACTCCAAAAATCGACAGGGTCGAAACTGTTGTATCTGCGGATGCGGATCAATCATATAGATAGTGCACATGGACATTCGCAAACCGAAAGACCTGTTGGTTACTCACCGCTCGCCGTATCCGTAATCACTAACACGTTATCCCGTCAGTAATCACTTTCTCTCCTTGACACAGTCGTTCACTTTGGCTTGACTACTCACCTAGAAATATCCAATGTCGCCTTCTCGCCAACCTTCATTTCCAATACGGCCTCATCCCATCCTGTTAAAGAGCAACACATCAGTATAAAGTCTCCGAGACATAAAAAGTGGACTGATGGTGGGACCATACCTCTGATGAGTCTTCCAACCCCAATCTGCGTGACAAAATCCCCACGGCCGATCGAGGTGTCGAACCTGGAAACAGTGTTATTAAAACCGAGTAACGATAGGGACAAGTACCGAGAGGGAAAAGTTGTGAGGAGGAAAGAACATACTGGGCTCCCTTTCCATCGGCCTGGCTCAAGTCCTTCAACCAACCGGTATACTCGATTCTAACAGTTTGTCCAGCTTGTGGTTGCGGCCCGGTGCCCGGAACGTGGGTGATTTTGTTGACGCCCATTGTGTTGTTGTTCTTGTTTGTTTATTTGTTTGCTTGTTGTCTGTGTTCCGGCGAACAAGTGATTGACTGAGCAGAAGATATCTCTCAACGTATGTGGTCCGTTCAAGTCCCCAGTTTATATATCCAGTCCCTCAATAGGTGTTCCCCTTCTCCAAAGTCCGATTTTAGGCGTTTGCTTCTTTCCAACTTGCCCACTTCACCTTACTCAAACTCAATCACAACCAACAGATCCGATCACGTTCTAACCGTTCTCCAGATATCGATATTATTGTCGATGGATATCGTCGATCTCCGATCGTCTTCCTCTATCTTCACTAGCTCACTACTAGTGAATGGTAGATTTCTCGGCCGAATTTGACCCTAGTTCAGTCTAGACTACGGAAGAATAGCCGAGTGACCGACACCGAATCCCTTAGCCAAGAGTGGATAAGGTATACTTCGTGTGCTGGAGAAGGGTGCGGATCAGAAAGCTAGCGTGGTGTGATGAGTTCCCGAGCCGAGAGGGATAGTTGTGCGGATGTGAAGAGGTTTGTCAGCGCTGAGGTAAGTCGGGGACTTGGCCGTTCACCGAAAACCACACGGAACTTCCTGATGTTTCTCGAACCGAACGGTGAGACGATTCCTTGATGTGACGTGACCTGGGCACATGAACCGAATCTCGATCGCGTGGAGTCTCCTAAAGACGAATCCGTTCGAGCCGTTCTCTTCTGGAGCCTAAACAGCGTTCCGTAAAGTATCCGAGTCAAGGCTAACCTTTCAAGTCGACGAACTAGGGGACCAGGGGACCTCAGGTGACAAGGACAAGGTAGGATGGGGGGACGATAAGTCCAACGGCGTGACTTGGTAACCCCGGGGGGCAGATCTGGCACCTAATGAGGTAAATGTAGGGACCCAACACAACGGTAGCGATGCTTGGAAGCTTGTGATAGTGACTGTGATGGCAGGTAGCACCGAGTTTAACGACTAAGGAGTGTGGAGATGAGCCAGGACGACGTCAGGTTTTTTCTTCTTCCTCTCGCTAGCTCGGAAAGAGTCTGATATCCAAAGAAGAATTCCCACTTGGACCAAATCAAGGAGATGACCGAGCAGGAGCTGATGATCATGTGCCAGGAAAGGGAAGGCGTTCAGGACGATGTCTAGGGATGAGTCGTTGCTGGTTTGTCGTTTGTGGTTTAATGCGTGGACGAATGAAGAAGCAAGGAGAAAAGGCCGGTGAAAGTGCCGAAAGAGATGAGGATCGACCCATATTTGAAGGAAGTCTGGGAGAAGCCAACTTGGATGAGACAATTGAGAACCTCAAGCTCGTGGCACTTGCCCAGTCTTGTTTGTATTATTGGGACTCGGACTGGAGTGTGCTTTCCAGGTGAGGTTGGTGGCGGAAGTGGACATTGGGGAGGAGCTACCTCGCCTTCCGCTTGGATGGTTGGGTAGAGTGCTCATTGGGAGCCGAGTACCTTGCCGCGGAATTTGTGATGACTCGTAGATCTCGCCTGCATACAAGTCGGTAACTGGCATATGCGGTCTATGATTCCATCTCTTTGCCAATCCGGATTCGGACCGGGATAGTGTGTATCTTGCTCCGTGGGCGGTAAGGTAGATGTAGCCTTGACTCTCGATTTCGAGCCTCGCATGTCATGTGGTACAGTCTTCGATCGGTACCAATGAGATTTCCAAGGGTACAGTAGACGGCCAACGACCCCCGGGCTGCTACCTTTGCAACCCACCTGGACAACATTAATATTGTAGATGGATACCCCCACGTGTGATGTGATCTGAATTCGTACCATTGGAGATGAGGGCGGCTGGCTGTAACACAAGGAAAATGGAGTGCCAGCAGACTTCTCCTTAACTGGTAAACCCCGGAAGCTTGGGGGTAGGGCAACCAGCAAGTCTGCCATGAGTGAGGTAATGGAAAAGCCTGACCAAGCCATAAGCAAATTTCTTCTGGGAACGTCCGCTGGGAAGCAGGCTCGGTGAGCATAATACTGTGGCCCTGCTGATACCAGATTCCGACCTTTATCCGGTCACTTATAAGACCCCAATATCACATAGGATATCTCATCACATCTCCTCCAGATGGTTGATGACCGAACTGGATGCCCCGATCTCGGATAACTGCCTCAAGCCCCCTGTCTTTATGCATTCCCGCATCTAGATGCAAGGCAAGCAAGTCAGATCTGGGACGGGATGCGACAGGACTTCATCCGTTGATTGTTTCTCTCTGAAGGGTTTCGAACCCCATTTCCCCGATGGTGCTCACTTTGGTGGTTTTCTTCGCGAGCCTTTCTGCTGCCCATTTCTCATTTCTCCAGGGCCGTTCCTTTGCCAAATCATTACGGCTATAAGAACATTGCTGAACTGAGTCAAATTTACGCCCTGACACACGCCAACAGCGCCATTGTCCTTTGCAAGCCGTTGTCCATGTTGGTGGCTGCAGGACCGCTGATCCACAACGGATTGCAGCTGTCTGAAATGAGGAACGTGCAAAGTATGGTCTCAGGACCATGCCCCATACCGGCTTAATTCGCTAAAGGGTGGTTGATGCTTTGGCTGGTACAATTGACGAGAAAGGTGCGCCCATGTTTGCTCTGCATAAGACATAGCAGGAACCCTGTGCCACGTTATGGTCCCCTGGCGTTTAGGCCGGGCACATGGTAGATGATACATCACATTATCACTTATGAGATAGCAGCCGATCCGAAAATGGAGGCATGGGGTTGCTCATATCGTGGATGAGGCTTTGCTAAGGGGTGAGTAATCAGGCTTTGATTCGCTCAGTTGCTGGTGATGCTTCCCTTTGCCACAGAGCCCAACTTGACGTGGTGTGAAGACGGCCGAAATGCACAGTACCTTGTAATATGTGAACTGAGCAAGAGGGAAGTGGTAGCCGACAAGTAGGTGAATGTTGTGCGATTGATCGACTACATTGCGCCGTTGAGCAACACCACGCCAATCGTTGCAGTTGTGATGTTGCTTCAGATCGACCCGGCAGCCGTCTAGCACGCACAGGCTCTGGGCGTTCATTTGCTGGGACCTCCCATCTCCTCTGTCGCTATCACCGCAATCTTGCATAGAGGCCGGCGTGCAATTGTAGTGTGCAATAGCAAACCGGCAACTGGCATGCTGAACTGAGTAGGGCGAATCGAGAGCTTGTAGTCGGATAACAGTTGAGATCCCGATGTAACGAATGGGCCAGATTGCAAAGCTCGCTTCACTTCTTTCCTCTTGTTCGACCCGGACCGGAAACTATGCACTCCGCAGTGTGTCGGCGGCTGCCTTGTCTACCAGTTCAGATCTGAACTCTCTGGTGTTGAGATTGGAAGACGCAATCATCCGTCGGGTTCAAACCAAAACCAGCCCTGGTGCGGTAGCCATCCGTCAAGAACCGTCTTTTTTATACCGACACGCCGACACGAGTCGACGATCAGTTCAAATCCTCGACTGGCTGACTGCTCTTGATTATCCCACGGGTAATGACTTCACCCGAACAGTCGTTGACCGCGAGAACCTGGGGTTGCGCAACAAACTGAGGGTCTGCCGCCTTCCAAGACTTGATTTCAGATACCGCCACTTTCAACCTATCACCGGTACGGGGTAGCTGAACTCAATATGTGGTGTCAGTGTTGCAGTTCGGGCGATAGCAGGCACCGTGTTTCGATCTGCGCAACCACAAACTGCGTGTCTTGTGATAATGGCGGCAACTGCTGCTGTTCCCGGGCCAGATAAGCCAGTAGGTTGGTAGGGAGCGTGGTGAATGGCGAGTAGAAAAGAATTGGTGAATTTAGCAACTGTACCCGAGCTCATCAACAAAGCACCTATCCGGGAATCTGGATCATGGTTTCGGCGATCCTGACAATGCCCTTACGCTCTAGCCCTTTGGGGGTGATTGCGTTCAAATGCTTGGCCGCTTGTATTGTTGGTGAAATTAGAGAGCTCTGACTTTAATCGTTGAAAATGGCAACTTGAGGATTATCACCAGTCGAGCAGCCAGAATGAGGATGCTTCGCGTCGGATGCAGTAGGCCACATCATGTTCATACCTGCAATCAATACAAGGCTTCCAACTGCAAGCTAGACTGGTGAAAGTCTCCGAGCCGTTTACGCGGCCTAGTTTCCAGAGTAAAAAGGTAAACCATGAGAGTATCTGGATGATTGACCATCTGTTGGCTTAAGCATGGGGACATTGAGTAGTATCCGGTATGACGGAACCGTTGAAACAGACGGCAAAATCCACATGGTGATACTCTGATGTTTTTATGTTTTCGAATCCATTCCGATCGCTGTTCATAGTTTCTGACGAAAGCACCGCAAGGCTGGTTATGCCTTGTTTTGTGATGTAATGGATGACATCCTCGCCTCAACTGGAGCATCCATAGACGATGCCAATTGAAGCTGTTCATGACGTTTCCGCTCGTCTCGCCCCTTCCCGGAACCTCGAAGTGTGGAAAGATACAGCTAGGCGACGAGGCGTTGTGTTTTTATGTAGATCGTCACACTTGTGACTCGGGATTGAGGCTGACTGCACGATATCTACTGTATCTAAACGTGCTCAAAAAGATAGTCCAATCGTCATGCGTCCCGGAACAACTCTGGCGTGATAAACGGGAGAAAAGATTTCCGTGGAGCAAATTAGCCAGAAAAGAAATGAAAGAGGTGGTGTATAACAGCTGGGCTGGCCCAGACCTCCGTTTCAGCCTGCGATGACTTTTTTCTGGATTTGCACCGTCCGAGCCCCAACGTCTGTTGCAATGATTTTTTCCTCGGTCTTGCTTGCTCAACACCGATGGCTGACAAACAGAACAAAGCGATAAAGATGTGACTGCGCTGGCATCACTGACCGTGCGGAAAGTTGAAGTGAACGTGTGAATCAATCATCCCAACTTGGGTTTGCCCTTGGTGATTCGACACTTATGGCTATTCATTCGCGTGGGAGCTATCCCGAATTCCCGAACCACCATGATTTCTGGGTATGGCCAGTTGGAGATACGGGCTATCATAGGTAATCGGCAAGTAGCTGTAGGAGCAAAGACACTCGCCGGTAAGCCTCGGTGGGTGACCCATACATATGAACGCAGAAGCCTCTGGCGTTCTCACTAACCACCTCGTGGCAGATGCTTGGAATGCCGAGTATGACACTCGGGGGTGATGGTCCTACAAACTCTAAATGGTGTGAGTATCTCCAGCGGGGAGCTCGTTGGGACGGGGGAACGATGACTGGAGAAGAGCCTCATTGGACTCCTTGGGACGTGTTTCTCTTTTTGCAAACAAGCGGCACAGAGATTAGTGATGAAGTGTGGCACGGCAGCGCTCCCACACATTTGCCGGACCACGGCCATGTCTGCCGAGATGGTTACTATGCCATATTAATCCCATACTATGGGAGCAGCTTGCATGTTGCCTCGTAGTGTAATTAATCCGTGTGAATAGGGAACAATCTTTGGCGATCCAGGAGGCAGATGGCACATTACCTTGTGCTGGCTGCAACATGCAAAATGGATGCGGAGGATGCGAACTAGTAGTTCTTGGGCAGCAAACTGCTCCGAAGTTATCGCCAGAAGGGGAGAAGGGGTATCATGCAGTGCCAAAAGCGGCCGGAACAGTTGTAGATCAGCAACGGCTTTTGCTCGTGGTCCCCCGCTAGTCGCGGTCGCATGAAGAACAAGGGACGGGCTTGACAAGCTGCGAGGGTGGGAGAGGCTTGAGAAGTTTTGACGGGGGGCCGAGTCCTCTCGGATGGCAGGCTGGGCGTACAAGGTACGGAGTACAAGGCTGTATATAGAAAAACCGAGCAAGAGACACGAGGTGGGACCGTTTTGGCGCCGCCGTTTCGTTTCCCTTGCGAGTCTTGGGTCTCTTGAAGAAACACTCGTGGTTTAGGTGAAGTCTGTCTCGTTCTGAATTTGGTGAGAATGGTCGGTTCTATGTTCCACTGAAAGGAGGCAGTGCCAATTCATTAACCAAGCGATGGAGACTGTCGTGGTGTTGGCCATGTTGGGGCGCCTTGGTGGTAATGTCAAGATAACCAACCCTCCATGTTGGCGAGGCACGGGTATGGCACACGGCCGGCAATTGTAGGTAGAGGTAGGTACTGGTAGTGGTGAAAAGGATTCGGTAAATTGGCTCAGTTGGTTCCTTCCAAAGCCATTTAGCCGATGCTGGATATTGGGCCGAATGAGTAGAATGTAGCGAGTAGCGACGTGACAAAGCCACTGCCGAAATGTTTTCAATTGTTTCCCAATCCACGAACACCTTGTACCCGTTGGTGGTATCCCGTTGGTGGTATGTAGGGCCGGTCCAAGAGGCCGGAATGGCGCAAACGATGCCGCAGCGACACGCGTGGAAGAGACCAAAAGATGGAAGGGAGTTTTTGGCGATGGTGACGACGACAAGGGAAGTGATGGCGAGAAGGATTCGGATGCAACTGAACACAAGAGAAACGGAGTTGACGGCCCTGGACATGGACAAGGGAAGGGAAAACAAGAGAAAATGGTTGAAACGAGTGATGGTGAGGAGTGAGTGTGCCCGCTGTGCAAGCTGTGTGTGTGTGTGTGTGCGCGCTCGGTGCCTTCCCTGAGAAGGACCTCTCCCCTTGTCGCTTCCCCTTGCAGAGGTGGGGAGACTAGGGGTGAAGGTTAAACAAGCCAATCGCCGATCGTCTTTCGTCAGGAACAGCGAGGACTGGACCCACTCAGCCCACCAAGCGGCAAGGGACCGTAGAGGTAAGCACGCAAGGCACGGTGGTGGAAGTGGAGGGGACGGGACAAGCAGGCTAAGCAGCAGCGACTAGCGGCATCAAATTCATTCGAAATTCAATTGATACACGCCGGGCAGCAGCCAACCAGACAAGCCGGCCAGTCTAGGCTCCACCAAAAAAGTATCGTGTACATTTTTGCACATTTCAGCTTCGCAGTCAAACAGCCAGAACAAGCCACTTGTGCGACCGAGTGGGTGGTACAGAGAACAGATTTCATGGGTGCCAAGCCGTTCATCTTTAGGAATTCAAGTTGCCGCCGGGAGCAGTGCTTCCGTTGTTGCTTGTGTGCAGTTGCGAACTTGCGCGCGATGCATGGAAGGAAGGAACCGTGGGCCCGCCCCAGTCTGCACTCACTGCTTCCATCTCTCCACGGCGGGCACAGATGGAAGAGGGGAAAGATGAGGAAAACTTGTTCCCAAGTATCCCAATGTTACCCTCATCCAACACGAACGCCCGCCCGACGCGGAGCTTTCAGTTCTATTGCTTCCCCCTTTTCTGTGCCCTTTTCGGGTGAGAACTTTGGCATGCATGTCTACCGCGTCAATGAGGGCCGGAGATAGGCAAGGTCAATGCAGAATCAAATCAAACCAACTTAGCTTATTCATCCCGAGCCCAGAGCACAGACGGCCTTTCTTTTCACGTCGGGAAGAAATAGCGTGCACTATCGCAAGCCACCATGATATTATTGGAAGCCCACCTGGCTCGTGGTAGGCGTGTCTGAAGTCGCTGAACGGCGCGGGAGTTGTCAGCAAGGGTGTCACTGAGGTGCTCATCATCAGTCAATTGACAGACGGAGCGGAGCATGCAATCAAGGAACATCACCGACCAACAATGCGCTCCGTTTCATGTTAGGGTGCAAGTCCCCTCCCGCGCCTGCTGGGGCTGGCGGGTACCCCGTTGGCTAGCGGACCTGGCGGACCCCAGATCCCCTTGGATGTTTAAACGGTCCCCTCTTTTGTCGGATTTGTCCCCCTTCCCCATTTCCCACCCCCGGCTCGAGGTAATATCGCTCCCACGCAGCCAAGATGGAAACCTGGTACCAAGGTACCCTTGCAACCTGAACGCAGCAGCAGCGCTTCGCTTCGCCCCCAGCCAGCGGGCCCACTCCGTTCTCTTCCAGTCGCAGTGCTCCCGTCCCTGCTCCTCTCTCCTTCCAATTCCATTCTGGCTTCACAGTCACCCTGGACAGAGTCCCATCGTCGACCACCACCACCACCCACCCGACCACCGTCTCACAGTCCGTCAGGTCCTGCTGCTGTCCTGCCACTCGTTTCTTCCAATCTCTCGTTCCCTTCTCTTTCTACCGTGTTGAGAACCCTTTGACCGTCTTTGGGCGCCTTCCACTCATTCGTTCAGTTCTTCCCCCCAGGTTACTCACTCTTACTCTCACTCTCACCTACCTTACCCTTTCTCTCCCTCCACTCCTTTCATCCTTTTCTTCTGCTCCGCCGACCAAATTTGCAACTTGGTTGTTTTTCGGCACCTCCCCCTTCGGCGACGTCGTCCTCTTGCAAAGCCTCCCCACGACTCGTCTGCCGTTCAACCTCGCCGCCGCCGCCAGTTGATTTGTGATTCCGCGACCAGCGACACCAGCAACCCGGACCAACAAGACACCCGATAGGTCGACGCGCCTTGCCTTGGTTCGACTTCTCTTCCGTTTTCCGATGCCCGTCTTGTCATGAACTCGTGCACACGAATCCGACTCCGACCTCGACGCCGCCTCTGACGGACAGGACTCCTTGTACCTGCAACCCATAGACGAATTTCTTCGTCGAGCCACTCATTTTGAAAACCAACAACAAATCAACAGGGGACCGATAATCGAGATTTCCCCCAATTTACCTTGAATGTGAGTGTGGATTTGGTTTGGAGAGGAAGGGCTGGTTGGTGCCTGGTGGTCTCCTACTCGTTAGCGACGACACTCGGCAGGGAAAAAGGCGGCTACGGGGAGCGCGTGGGAACCGGTGCGAGAAGCAGGATGAAAAAAACGCGACTTGGGCATCTAGGGACTTGGCCGGGGACGGGACCTCGCTGGAAAGTGAGGGCAGTGGTGGAAGGGCTAGACGCAACGATCAGCGCTCCCGCGATCCCCTTGCCTTGAACCAGGCCACAACTCATCACGTTCCACAGCTGATCGCGGGGATCACCAATACGCTTGGATCCAAACCATGGATACACGATTTCGCTGACTGCTGCTTCTATCTCCAGATTACCCTCATTTGGCTTATTTGTCAAGTTCACTCGTTACGACTATCTCCTGACAAGTGAATCCCTCCTTGCCGTTGCTGTCGCTGTCGCCTTGTTGCGGCGCTGACGACCCTTCGGTGTAGATTCACACACCACACCCCGAGTGCCAGTTGACGCCTTCCATTCTCTTATACCAACATCACCTCAGCATCACCAGTGCATGATCAACACGGACTAGGACCAGAACGATGCGGACAGTATCTGTTGTTGCGGCCGCCCTATTAGCGGCCTCGTATGTGGCCGGCGAGCATGTGGAGCACCCCAAGCCCAAGTTCTACTTCCCCAAACATGTCAAGCGCCAGTATGCCAACGCCACGATAACATCCAACGATGCCCCTCTTTCCACCATCGACACCTCGTCCGACACCTTGTCGCAGACGACCAAGAGGGAAACGACCAGCAACGACCAGAGCGAAAGCTTGTCGGACATTCCCTTTGTCAAGTCGACTTCCTCTCGCCTCTTCACCTCGAGCGACGACTCGCAGTCGGAATCCGAGTCGGACAAGTCTCGGGTCACGACGGTGGTGATTGCGAGCACCATTTACGTTTCGCCTTCCCAGCCCACGACAGTCAACTTGTCGACCGGCAGCACGGCCGTTCCCTCTGCCCCCGCTGTCGACACCGACTCTTCCAGTTCCGCCGATAGCACTGCCGGCTCATCTGACTCTACTAGCCAGGGTGCCACTAAATTCCTTGATTCCTCTAGCCCTGCTACTGACAACAGCTCAACCGACTCAACTGGATCTACTACGGGAAGCAGCCCTGGCTCTACTACGGAGAGCAGCTCATCTGGCTCTACTACCGAGGGTAGCTCCTCTGGCTCTACTACGGACAGTACTGGCTCGCCTATCATTGCCACCGACAGTGCCAGCTCTTCGGCTTCGGATTCCGCTAGCGACAACACCATCTTGCCCAGCTCCGGCGCCAATGCTACCAGCTCTTCAGGCTCTGCCACCGACGCTGGTAGCTCGTCCAGCTCTGTCGCAGAGACTGCTAGCTCATCTAACCCTGCCACCGATAGTACCAGCTCTTCGGCTTCTGCTACTGACAGCGCTACCTTGCCTGGCTCTGTGAAAGTTGTCAACACCACCAGCTCGGCCATCTCTGCCACCGACGCTGGTAGCTCGTCCAGCTCTGTCGCAGAGACTGCTAGCTCATCTAACCCTGCCACCGATAGTGCCAGCTCTTCGGCTTCTGCTACTGACAGCGCTACCTCGCCTGGCTCTGTCGCCAACACCACCAGCTCGGCCATCTCTGCTACCGACGTCGCTAGCTTCTCGGCTTCTGCTACCGATGTTGCCAGCTCACCGGCCGCGTCGACTGATGCATCTGGCTCCTTGACTTCGTCCAGCGCTTTACCTGCCGTCTCGTCGGGAGTCATTTCTAACACGACTAGTCCCGACTCGTCTAGCTCTTTGCAGGTTCTTGCTCCTCCGACCACCACCGCTGAGCCTACTTCCACGGCCGAGGCTTCCACCGTCGAGACCGTAAGCACCGAGACAGCCACCGATGGAAGCGCTTCCACGGGTTTGTTCCCGCCTATCATCATCCTTCCTTCGATCCGGACGACCTCGACTTCTGCGGCCGATGTAGCAAACTCGACCGCCCCTGCGCTCGTTTCCGAGACCGCCCCTGCGGCCAACTCTACCATCGGAACTGCCACAGCGTCCGAGATCATTGCGACAGAGGATCCCATGATTACCAGCTCGAGCAGCTCCGGAATTCTTCTGGCCCCTACAGGCGTCGTCAGCGAGACCTCCAGTGCGTCAACCAACCCAATTGAGTCTTTCGCTAGCAGTTTCGAATCCGTGGTGGCAAGCATACTTATTCCTACGGGCAATGGAACAGCAACCGAACCCACGGCTCCCGTTACTACGTCGGATAGTGTCACGATTCCCTCGGCGACCGAACCTTATGCTAGCGGCTCTGGATCGGGCGTTATCACGGCTTCCGCCTCGCTGACTACCAGCGAGCCTGAGCATCCCATCACGTCTTCGGGTATCGTCTCCATCCCGGTTGGAAACTCAACTATTACCTCGACCAGTGCCGTTGAATCGGGCCCAACAACAACCGGAATCCCGGAGTCCTCGGTACCTGTTATTCCTGGAAACTCTTCGATCCCTGTCACATCTCTGCCTGACACGACGACATTTTTGCCCCCAGTCACTTTGATTAACAGCACCACAGTAGCAGCCAATTCCTCAACCATTGTTCCAGTCATCGTAACGAGCGCTTCATCTGAGAGTTCGGTACCTGTTTCCTCCTTGGAACCTGTTACCACCACTCAGGTTTTGATTCCCCCGCCTGCGACGACCACGACGACCATCGGTCCACCGGTTACGCAATATACTCCCACAGCCACCGTGTCTAACATGCCGCCTGGCTATAATAACCCAACCACGATTTTGGTGGACCAGCCTCCTCCTTCGCAGACCCAGAGCGAGACCTTCGTGCAACAAACTACAGCGACTGCTCTTCCCACCGACCTCCCCAAGGCGATCGCCCCTGATGACACGACTGCTCCCAAGCCGGACGACAACGTTTTCATCCAGATCGGTTTCAACTATGGATTCAACTACCCATTCGTGGCCAAGAATAACAACGCTGCGGCGCAGATCTTCCGTCTTCTCCCTGAGGCGCTGGCGTTTGCTTCGTCCATTGAGTCCCACAGAGTAAGAGTCACGAAGCTGATGCCCATGAACACGGTGAACACCCTGGGTTACTGGACCACTCTTGCTGTCGTATCATACCCGCAGGCGTATGTTGAGAGCCTTCGACTGGATGTTAAACTCGCCAGCTCTCCGCTTTACAACAACCCTACCCCGCTGGTTTACAATTTGACAATGCAGATCAATCCTGCCATCGACATCATCCTTGGCTCGACCCTCAGTGGCGAAGGCTCAGGCGGCGACAGTGGAAGTAACCCATCCAACGCCGGTAACAACGGCAACGCGGATCCGTTTACGAACAACAATAACGGCAACCAGACCTCTCAGCAGCGGGGAACCACGGCGGGTATTGTGGGCGGTGCTGTTGCCGTCGCTGCTGCGTATGGCGCGGCCATGTTCGTGATTGCCAGGAGGTACAAGAGGAAGAAGCAGGCGCACAGACGGGCGAGCTCCATCAGCGGAAGCCCGTCGGACATGCAGCAGATGGGCGGGGGCAGCCCGGCTCTAATGGGCGGTGCTCTCCTTAGTAGGGATTTCACCGGCTATGGAGGAGTGGCTGGCGGCGCGGCGGCGGCCGGCGCCGGTGCGCCTGGTGGACGGGACAGCCATGGCAGCGGAAGGAGCGGGATGGGTCTCTCTTCTCGGACCGCCTACATCTCGGCCCCGGTTGCCGCGGAAAACTCCCTCGGGTGGAACTAAATGACGAATGTGTGACGGCGACATAGTTCTTGTGATTTCTTTCCCCATCTCGACGACTGACACCGACCATTTACGCTTCGATACCCATGGGGAGGAGGTTTTTGTTTGATGCGATAAGGACCGCGACATTTGAGACTTTTTGGCGATGTCAATGTCCCGGGAAGATGGAGGCGGGAAACAAATAAAAAAAGAGGAGGAAAAAACGCAACATGTATAGACGATTTCTTCGGGGCCGCCTTTTGATGCCAAACGTTTTTTGTGCTTTTTCCCCATTTTACATGTCAACCATCTTTTTTATACCTTCAATCGGCGGACTTGGTTTTGTATGGCCATGCCGTCTGAAATTCAAAAGCCTGGCACCACAATAAAGGATCGCAGCTGCACTTTTTGCTTGGCGGCGATTCTGGTAACCCAGGTTCTTTTTAACGTTTAATTACCTTTTTTCCATCCTATAGTACATGGTTCGAGGAAAGTCGGCTCCCTGATTCGAGATGGGTGGGCGGCATGACGGCGATCAGTCCAAGAGGGAGAGGGAGAGGAGTTACGACAGAGGACTATTTTCGCTCGATGCCCAAACCCAGCCCAGCCAGCCATTTTAGCTTTTCGCGCTCAGATTTGGGGAGAGGTGGAGAAGCAGCAAAGGGGGAGCGAAAGCAGCGAAGTTGGGTAATCTTTGTGGACTTGAGGAGATGGAGATGAAGAGGTTATGGCCGATGGGGACAATTTAAAAAGGTGATGTGTGATGGTTGTTCTAGCTACATATTTACATATTTCACGTACACCTTAGTTTTGGGCATTCAACGAGATTTCCTAGGTCCTTTTTCTATCGTTGGCTGTAGATAACACAGACACAAATTTCCTTGATCGGTGCAACGTCAATAGAAATGATTGATTCAAACGCAATTTGCATTTTTACTATTCCAAGACAATGCGCTCATACCAAGCAGAGGGGGGGAAACAGGGGCATTCCCTCGTGGTCGGCTCCTCCCGGGTGGGTTCACACACTCCTCATCCCGTTTCACCTCATCTGAGGAGAACGAATGGATGAACTCCATTCCAGTCAGAGGCCAGCCAGTTTCCTGATCAATGCCCTAGTGATGGAGGTTCAGGGGAGCTGCGGAGGTAGACACGTTCCCGCCGATCTCTTCTTCGCCATTGGCTGCCATAATAATAGTTGGACAGCTGGCGGGGGAACCACTAAACTCATTACTCGCCGGGCGGTGTTCATCTCGCTCCTATTTTCATTAAACCAGACCTCGGATGAAACTCGTGAAGATCAGACGGGACGAACGGGAACGTTACGGGAACTGCGGACGGATGTCTTTTCGAGGTTCATCTCAAGTCAACAGCCGCGGTTTGAGATCCAGATTCATAGACGCGACGCCTGGCATCACATCACATTGCAATGCATCTTGCCCCGATTCAAGCTTGTCGGGGCAATTTCTGGGGTGCATTAGCATACCCGTTACCGACTTAGCGCTACGCCTAACCCGACACACCTAACGCACACCGACTGTGCATGTGAAGGAACTGAAGCCTGTTTGACGACGTCACTTGTCCCAACTTCAACAACACACCCACCCACATACATATCAATCAACATCGGCACCGAAGTACTGGATCACCCGAACCGCACCGAACCGATACCAAATCGGCATTTCTTCTTCATCCCATTTGAGGTATCCAACAAAGGACAACAACGCAGAACCTGGGACAAGGATAGGAGTCAACCAACCAAGCACAAAGAAAGGAGAAAAGGGGGCGTCCGCAGGAGACCATCAATTTTTTTGGCAAGGACAAAGAGAACCAACCTACCACACGGTAAACACCGAAGCACAGCCGACTTATCGAAGTTTTGGAAGCGAAAAGGAAAGAAGTGTGGAAGCAGAGGACAATGACGTTGGCCGCCTTTCGGGATGACTCGGTAGGAGAACAAAGGAGCACGGTAGTAGTTGATGGACAAGATGGGCAGGAACGGGCACGTGGGATTCGGTCTGGGGATGGAAGAGGAATAAGAACAGGAAGTGATGGAAGCCCGGAGGGAGAAAGTCGAAACGGTCATCGAGGTGGTCACGGAAACGGCAGTGGAAACGGTGAAGGAAAGGAGGACAATGACAGTGGTGGACGACAACAGCGATTCTCGCAGTCTTCATCATCCAACTCAAAAGACTACGGTCACATGTCGACGACGGACTCCGACTTAGGGGAGTTAGACACGGACTCGGACTCGGAAACCACAGACTCAGAAGAAGACCGCCGAATATCAACCGAACTACACCGGGAAGTCTTCTTCAGCGCTGTCGGGGAGGAAGAAGCGTATGAGTTAGCTTCGACCAAAAAGAAGCCCAAGAGAAAGCGCAAGAAGGGGAACAGAAGGAGGAGGGGAAATAGCAAGTTCCCAGAACTGGATGACGCTGATGGGCTCGATGCGCTCGACAGTAGCGGCAAGCGGAGAAGGCAAAGAGGAGTAAGTGTCAGCACGGCGGCAAGCGGTAAAAGTTTCCAGCTACGATACACGCCAGATGAGGAGAGAGCGGTGGTGAAGAAGTTTGATCGCAAATTGGTGCTTTTCGTGGCGCTGCTTTATATGTTGAGCTTTTTGGATCGGTCTAGTGAGTATTGCTTCTGTTTTTCTGTCTTTCTTTCTATGGCTTTCAGCGGCGTCCCTGACTGAGTTGTCTTCTGGCCTTGTGGTTTGTTTACTTCCGTAAACCATTGTTGTTTTCCAATATTACCCCCTTGATCGCAATGCTTACCACTTACACCCATAGATATCGGAAATGCCCGCATAGCCGGCATGGACGAAGACCTCCAGTCCACTCCTCCCAAGGATGATTGGTATGATTGGGCCTTGACAGCCTTCTACATCGCTTACATCTGCTTTGAGTGGATGTCGATTCTTTGGCGACTCATACCCGCCCATATTTACGTCTCAGTCATCGTTCTCTCCTGGGGCTTGACGGCATCGCTTCAAGCTGTCGCAGTTAACTACCCCATGCTCATCTTTTTGCGCACAATGCTGGGCATCGGCGAGGCGGCCTTCACTGGAGTGCCGTTTTACTTGTCCTTCTTTTACAAGCGGCATGAGCTGGCTCTTAGGACGGCCATTTTTATTTCCGGTTCGTACCTAGTAACCACACTCACTCACTGCCCTTCCCAAAAACCTCAGCATACTAACTTGAGTGAGTTTGTTCCAACAGCCGCCCCCCTAGCAACCAGCTTCGCCTCCTTCCTAGCCTGGGCCATCCTCAAACTAGGCGAAGCCTCCCCCATCCGCCCCTGGCGTCTCCTTTTTCTGATAGAAGGCTTCCCCTCCGTCATGGTCGCCGTTCTCGCCTGGCACATCATCCCCGACTCCCCGCAAACGGCTTCCTACCTCACCCGTCGCGAAAAGAAAGTCGCCGCTCTCCGTCTCCGTTCCTCCTCCCCCCATCCTTTCTCCCCTCATTCTTCTTCGGGTTCGGGCCTCAAAACCACCGACATCCTAACAACCCTCCTCTCCCCCGTTGCATGGCTCACCTCCGCGATTTTCTTCCTCACCAACCTCTCCTACTCCTCCCTCCCCGTTTTTTTGCCCACCATCCTCACCCAAATGAACCACACCCCACTCATGTCCCAAGCGCTCTCCGCCCCTCCCTACCTCTGTTCCTTCGCCATCGTCCTAGCAACCGCCTTCTTTTCCGACCGCCTCCGCAGCCGCTCCACCCTTCTCATCTTTCACGCCCTCCTTTCCGCCCTTGGTTATTCCATCCTCGCCCTTTCCCAGTCTCTCGGTTTGGCGCCAGGGAGTTGGGTCAGGTATCTAGCCGTCTACCCCGCCGCGATCGGGTTTTTCAACGTGGTGGTGTTGACGATTGCGTGGAGTATAAATAACCAGCGGACTGAAGGAGGAAAGGGGGCGGGGTTTGCGTTGATGCAGGCCGTGGGACAGTGTGGACCGCTGGTGGGGACGAGGTTGTATCCGAAGGGGGAAGGGCCGTATTGGGCGAGGGGGATGGGGGTTTGTGCTGGGGCGATGGTGGGTGTTGCTGTGCTGGCTTTGATATTGAGGGTGTATTTGGCACGGTGTAATAGGAAACTTGAGGAGGAGACGGGGTATGAAGGTGTTGGGCAAGATGAGGAGGAAGGGTTGGTTGGTGGTGGTGGTGGTGGTGGTGGTGGAAGGGGGGGAGGGAGAGGGGAGGAGAGGTTTAGGTATATGTTGTGATATTGTGGTTCTTCTTGCTTGGGGCTACTCTGTTCAATGTAGTAGTAAATCGACGCCTACTATGTATGGACCATGTCGATTCAATATCGACCATGTCAATTCGATATGGACCATGTCAATTTGCTACGCATACGCATGATGGGATCTCCATGTCAGTCAAAGATACCTATACAAGCCATATATTTGACTACATGCCTCCCCAGCGTTATTAATACAATACCTGATGATATGCTAAGCCTCCTCCTTCTCCTCCTCACACCCCGTCCACTCAACTTTATAACGAAACCAAGACACGGATCTGATCTAATCTGATCATCTTTCGTCATGGTAGTTCAATCCAATCTAGCCTTCGATCTTGAAATCCACAGTGCCAATCTCCTATGTATGTAAAGAAGCAGCTAATATCAAGTCTTTAAAGACCCATTCCATCTATGCATTATTTTCTTTCAACTCCGTTCCACTTTCGAAAAGCTCTGAGACGTCCCGTCCCGTCTCAACAACTCTAGAACCGTACAAGAATTCATTCACAAACCAGAAGAAGTATCGTTCGTATACATTAACCCCCTAACCCCATACATATCTCATTCCCCCTCCTACCTAACGTTCCAACCCTCCCTCCTCCATTCGCGACGCATCACCATATCTATCCCCTCCCTACCTTAAATTCCCTGTTCCTGTCCCCGTCCGAGAACTCGTCATTCGTCACACCGTTCGTTGCCCTCCAGTGTATCAGTTACCTAACAACCTACCTAACAACCTAATACTAGCGGACACAGACAGACCATCCCAGTTAGGCTACATAGCATCCTAGCTAGCTCTGAATGTACCTATCAACTGCCCTGCCCTCACTCACTCAACACTCACTCAACACCCACTCAACCCGAACCAAACCAAGCCTTTAACGCAGAGAGAGTACAAGTTATCTACAAGACTTGGGGCTCGCGAGGCATTGCAACTACCTATGCAAGGCACGGCACGAACAAAACCACATTCTCCTCTCCTCTTCTCTCCTCTTCCAATGCCCTAGTTTCCTGTTGTGTGACACCAACCAGGACTACTCCTGTCCCATCAGATTCCATTGATCGTCGGCCGTCCGTCAATGCTTGAAACCTGCGCAGGTGCGTGGCATGGCATGTCAGGGATTCCATCTTGTCATATCTCCCTAGAGCTGTAGAAGTGTGGAAGAGGGGCGGGCCACAGCCCAAGGCATCAGAACCAGGGAGTGAGTGTTAGGTAAGCTCTAGACTAGAAAAGGCTCGGATGGAGGCGTCCGGTCCGGACGAAGACGAACGAATTGAAACGGACGTTACATATTCGTGTTGCATACGTGCGTGTTCCCGGGTTTGAGGAGGTTGTGTTACGAGTATTGATGCATACTTACTTGGAAGAGAAACGGGGGGTGGTTCAGTTTCCATCCATCCGTTGGCTGTTTTAACCAAGAAAACGGAGAGGAAACGAGGATGTGGAACAATTCAAGCCATCGATCGCCAATGAGTGTCTGATGAAGCTATTTGTAGCTTATACACAATCCCTGTCCGTCGTCATACATAATGTTGGTACTAAAACTACCTACCCCCTACCAACCTTCAACTACGCGGTAAATATATTTGACAGTAATAATCTCGTCAAGAAACAAGAAAACACACCTTTTTGGAAGCCCATGAGCTTACGCAACACAAGTAGAAGCATCAACAACATGAATCTCAACAATCTCAGCAGTAACATCCTCCACCTCTTCGACACTTCCCACATCTGACCCGATCTTCTTTTCCACCACAGCTTTGATTGTCAGTTCCTGTTTAGTAACCGCTACATGCTCATCACTGGCAATTCGTTCAACTTCCCCCAGCTCTGCCTTCACAGCATCGACCTCCGTAACAGCAGCAACAGTAGCCACAGCAGGTTCCTCCAGAACGGTAACAGGCACAATAACAGATTCAACTTCCTCACTGGTGACTGGAGGAACAGTAGTACCCTCAACCTTAGATGACTCGAAAACTATCTTCTTCCTCTCCTTCCTGGCCTTGGTCTTGGCCCTGAACCTCTTCGAGATCGCCTTCCTCTTCGCACGAAACTTGCGAACGACCCACTTCTTGGCTTTGACAGGTCTGCGAAAGATGTAACGCAGAAGCCTAAGGATTGAGCTCTTTTTCTTTGACTGTTGGCGGGGATAAGGTCCTAATGGCTTCCTGACAGCGCCCCCTTGACTACCGTTAAGAAGAGGAACGTTCGATATATCGGTGACAGGAGCGACAATGGGTGCGACCACTACGCTCCTCTTCTTGGTGGGTGACCCGAAGGGAAAGGGAAGTGCGGCTCTTGACTTTGGTTTGAGGTACCGCTTCTCCAATGTGGTCGGAGATTCAGTTGAAAGACGCGGAGGGTTTGTTGACACACGCGGCAGACATTGCGTGGATAAGTTGCTGGGCGCTTCTTCTGACAATAGCGCGGCTTTGGAAGAGACCGGAGCGCGATCGCGGGGAGCTAGGTCAAGCGAGGGGAAGGGTGTTGCTCCTGTACCGCTGGGTCCGGATGAACGTGGACGCTGTCTGGGAAGCGTGGAGCTGTTGCTTTTACCCCTGTGTAGGGCGGCGATGGCTAGGCTGATAATGGACTCTGTATTGACGGCTGAGATGTCGGCGATGACTTCGTCTGGGTTGCTGCCATTGAGGCTGGGCATCTTTCTGTGCTCAATGTTCTCAATGTGCTCAACCTCAGGCTTGGTCAACTCCCGTTCGGTGATCTTGATACTTCTGTCATCGCCTGTCACTGAGGGCTGCGTTCCGCATTCGATGACTTCATTATTCTTCGCCGCTTCCTGCTCTCGATAGAGATCTCTCAAGGCACCCTCGACGGCAACTGGATTCAGTCTATGACGCTGATTAGAGCCAGCGGACTCGTCACTGCTTCGCAGAAACGAGGAGTTCGAGAAACCATAAGTTTCCAGGCTCGAGAGGATGCGTCGACCGAAGGTCATGGGAGGGGAGACTGTAAGCTCGGGGCTTTTGACACCTTCCGAGGGGTATGAGGACGAAGTACTGCGGACGGGAAAGAATTGGTTGAAGATAGATTCCGCATCAAGGGACGTCCTGATTTCCGCTCCACCCTTGTTTGGCATCAGTGTCAGTTCCGGTAAACCGGGTGGGCTTTCGAAAGAAAACATTCGATGAAGGAAGGTAGAAGCTTTGCTTTCCTCGGAGGTCTGCTTGAAGTCATGGCTGGGAACCAGGCCATCGCCAATGATTAGACGGGCTGGTGTTGGTCGACGTGGTGTATCTTCATTTTGTTTTGGGGTTTTGTCGGTCTTGACAGGCGTGTTGGGTGTATCGGTTAATGGTATGTTTTCGAACTCCCCAAGGGATTCGTCCGGGTCGATATTTCCGGGCTGCTGCCGATTGATGTCCTTCTCCTAGAGGCCGGCAAACGTATTGGGGATGTTTAGGCGTCGGCGGCCGGGTGAGCCGAGGACACGCTCAGAAGCATTCAACCTGTTGTTAGATAGAGGCTGGAGGCATGCTGCATCGCGGTTCGGGTTTCGAGCGGGGAGGCTCAGAGCTGACATGGTGATAGCTAATAGTTGACTCGATGATAAGTGCTGTGATGATTATGATTCTGTCGAGTACCTAAGCTGATAAGGTGGAATGTTGAGGTCAGAAGTCCGACTTGGCTGTTCAGTTGCCGTGGAAGTTGTCCTAACACTTATCCCCCGTTGAGATCATTCCTTCCCAACGTAGTGGTAAGTTGAGTTAACCAGGCCACTTCCTCCAACAGTTCAACTGACTGGAAGCAACTCCCGCGTAAGCTGCTTGCCGAGGAAGGAAGCATCCATCAATCCACGCCTCCACAGTATCCGGACATTCGAGTACAAGTAAACAAACAATGCCCGGCAGAGGCATGTAGCGGATATCAGGAGGACACATAGCTACCTTACGATGAGAGCCACCCCTACGGCGCAGCCATCCTCATCTTGACCATCGCCAACTCGGCGCTCTTGGCCCACGACCCATCCGGCGTCTGCCGATAACACATCAACTTACCCTCATCACCCACACTGCCCAAAATCTGCCCGTCATCATCAAACCCCACCCTCCACACCGGCGTCCGATGACTATCGAGCCTCGCAACTTCCGTAACCACATGCCTAACCTGGCCCGGCTGCTGCTGCCCACCCGCCCTCATCCTATCTCCCGCGGCCCCACTCATCCTCGACTGATCAGCCAGTCCAGCTCTAATCCCCGACTTCAAATGCGTATCCTGCCCGCCGCCATGCCCCATCGCCGCCGAGCCCGCCAAAGCTCTAGCCGCAGCCCCACCACCACCTTCTTCTCGCCTCCCCTCCTGATGCCTCCTCATCTCCCCCACCCCCCACCCCCTGGTTCCTTCCATCCCCTGCGTCTGCGTCTGCGGCGCCGGCGTCGACAGTCCAAAAACCCTCACATAGCCATCCTGACACGCCGTGGCCACAATATCATAGCCCCTAATATTCCCCGGCGCCCACGCCACATCTCTCACCAGCCCTCTATGCCCCGCATTCGGATCCTTCCCGCTAATCTCCGCAGCGAGATAAAACTCTCTCGCAGCCGTAGCCACACCCAAGCTGGCACTAACCGTGTCTCGAGTCCTGTAGACCTTGACCGAATCCATAGCCGCCACCACCAACCCCAACGCATCCGTGGGCACGCCCGCTCGCAAAGCGGTGTAGCACACCTCCGGGTTGGGGTCGAAGCGCACCCGGAAGGAGGCCTCCTCCCCGCGAGAGGGTTTTGGGCAGACGGTGAATTGGTCGATGCGGGAGAACTCGGTGATGTTTTCGGGCGTTTCGTTCTCGAGCACTTCCAGGGTGCCGTCCACGGACAAGAGGGCGAGGTAGGTGTGTCGTGTGTCGTCGTTGTGTTTGAGCGAGAAGGAGCGGATGGGCGATTTGGGGTTGCGGTAGTCGAAGGCCGGCGTGGGTTTGCTGTCGCCCGAGGAAAGAGAAGAGAGGCCCCCGCCGACGTCGCGACGGGAGGAGAGGGTGCTGGCGCCGTGGCCACCGCCGTGCCCGGTGAGGTTGACGCCGAAGCGCCGGCCTGGAGCGGCGGAAGGGTTTTCGGCCCAGAGCTTGAAGCGGCCTTCGATGCCGAGGGAGGCGAGAAGGTTGGGGTAGATGGTTGGGGGGAGCCATTGGAGCTGGGATAGAAGTTAGTCTGAGTCTGTCGCTTTTAGAATAAATGACTTACCTCTAGAATCTCACCGCCGTGAGCACTCCAGCTGTCGCAAACGCGCCACTTGCCGTCCTTGTGCCTGTTGAAGACGCGAATCTTGCCGTCGACGGATCCGGTCGCGCAACGGTCGCCGTAGCTGTTAAACGCAACGGCCTGGACCAGATCCTGATGGCCATGGTTCACGATGGGGTCTATGGTTGACTTGCCGTCAATGGCGGGCGGGTCGCCTAGGTATTGGCTGAACTTGGACATGATTGTGACTTGGTCTTGATGTTGAGGTTGTGATGAGTGAAGAAGATCGGATGGAAGGATGAAGTGAGGTTGAAGAGCCAAGCAGTACGGTGGCCCAAGTGTTGGCTACGCTCAATTGAAAAATTTTGGTCAGAAAATGGCCTGTGTTAATTTCAGGCATTAAGTACGCGCCTAGGCGCGTTAGCGTAGATTTAGTTTAGTAATTAAATCCATCTTATATTGTATATAACCCCGTTTCTTTGTATACTTTAATATACGTAAATAGTTTTATTATAATAATAACCTATTACCTATTCACGATTACGATGTATTAAAATTAATTTATAAATGTATATTATATATAAGATTAATGTATATTTACTTTAAATTAACGTTAAAAAAAGAAAGTATATCCGTTAACGAGGAAAGCGATATTATTATAAAGTTCTAGCCCTATACTTTTAAGAGCAAGTCTATTGCGTAAAATATAGACGACGATAAAGTATTAGAGGAATTAGATAGTAATCAACTTAATGAAAAACGTTTTCGCTTCGCTATTAAAAAGTTCTTCGATTATAATATTAACAAAATTTATACCGTTTTAATTATAAACTAAGTAAAAATACTTATTAAAATTAATTAATTGATATTAAAAGTAATTAAATTTAATAAAAGAATATAAATTATTATCCGCTGCTTTAATTTTAAAGGATATTAAATAAAGGGAGAATTAATTATTTCGATTCTAAAGTAGGACCGCCCCGAATAATTTATCAGTTTAGCCCGTTGTTTTTTTAACGCTAAGATTAATACAAACCCTTATACTAAGTATATAATTATTAATAATTATAATCCTTTCGCCGATTATATTTCCGGCGGTAAATTTATTAATAAGGGTACTTATATTGATTATTATAATAAAAGCGAGGGTAAAAATTACTCTTTACGTAAGGGTATATTATATTTTTTTTTTCAATTATTATATTTATTTACTAATATTCTTTTTAGCTTTTAAAAAAGCCGAAGAGAAGAAGAAGTAAGATAAAGTCCCTTTCTCCGCCAAAATTATTTGTAGTTGTAAAGTTAAGGATTTGGAGAGGGTTTTAGCTTGGGTTCACATTAAGATTGCAAAGCGTAAGGTTAAAATGCGTTAAACGCTAAATGATAAATTAAAAAATATTTATATAATTAGGGTTTAAAAATATTCTATACGTTTAAATAATTATTTTTAAAAGCCTTATTTACTCTATCGAGTACTATAAAATGTATAAAACCTTTTATATTTATTATATTTAAAATAATAATGATAAAAAGAAAATAAAAAGTCAAAAACTAGAGCCCTACTAACTGTAAATATTAAATTAATAATAGAAGTTTTAAGAACTTTTATTTAATAATTATAAATTAAAACCTGTATAATTAAATCAAATTATTTAATAAGGTATTAAAATCCGTTAGATTCCTAAATTATAATAAGAGTAGAAATAGAACGCTATTTAAATAATTTTCCTTTAGAAGGTTTCATTCTTTCAAAAATTATATATTTTATAAAATTATTATTAATTTCTTTATAATATATGTATTTGACCGTTTTAATAAAGAGGGTAACCTTTATTATTATTAGTATTAGGTTTTTAAATTACTTTTAATTTAAAAATATTTTAAACCTTATAAAAATCTAAGGAATTTTATAATAAAATTAAATAACTATATTTAATAATTAATATAAATGTTTAGATACTTCTTTTCTACGGGATTATATAAAATTGAAATTAAAAGTATGTTAAATTCCGGTAATAAAAATATTTATATTATAAATCGATTCGAAATATTATTAAACGTAAATAAAAAAATATAAAACCTAAATCTTTAAAATTAAAAAGAACAGTTAACGATTATTTAATAAGGATATTTAATATATAATTATTGTAAATAAATAATTAATTAGTTACAATATAACTAATAATATTTAATTATAATGAAATCCTTTTTCTTTTAAAGAAGTTTCCTTCTTATAGATGTTTTAAACTATTTAATTACTTTATAAATAATATAATTGCAAGGTTGCGTTTTTCGTCTTCCAAGAATTATAAAGATAATTCTTTTAATTCCGCACATTAAAAAAAATAAAAAAATTACTTTAAACTTTAAAGGGTTTCGAAATTAAAAGAATAAACGGTTCCCTTATTAATAAAGGTCCCTATTTACCTCAATTAAATTATATACACTACAATTTTATTTTAAACCGTTTAATATAATTTAAATTATTTATAGACTTTTTATAAAGGTTAGAATTATATATAAGATAGAATTGAATTACGAATCCTTAATTAAGTTCATTCGATTTTCTTTAATTAAATAAATAACATATATATTTATAAAACTTTTAATTATATAGTATATATTTAAAATTTAATAAGATTAGGTATATAAATCTAATTTATAAAGATTTATTATTATAAGAATCCTTGTAAAAGTTTAATTTAAAACTCCTAAAATATTAAATTTTTAATTTAAATTATTAAAGAAAGCTTTATATCGAATAATTATATATGTTTTTCGAATAAAAGTTTAATATAATTATTATAAATATAAAGAAGTTTTTAAAATAATTCGTAAAATAATTCTTAATTTAATAAAACTCCTAATTAATTTAACATATATAATAGATTTACAAATCATTTTTAAATTTATCAATAATAAACGTAAATTAATATAATATCTTTAATTTATACTCCTAATGCCCATCCCAAAGGGCGTGCCATACTTATACCTCCGGTTAGCTCTTAAACTATACTATAATACTTACTATTAAAATAGTTTTCAATATTTAAGGGAGAAACTAATTACTTCCGATTAAACTCAACTCTTCCTAATTTCTTCTCAATAGGTACTACCCTTCTACATCCTTTATTACCTACTAAAACATTTACCTACTACCTATTATTTAACTTTACAATTTTATAGTATTTACGTAATTTACCTCTATTCTAATATTTTCTATATATTAGCCCGAAATTAACGTTCGCTATTCGGACATTCTAATTAATTATTTAATATAACTAATATATACCGATTATAATCAACCACTTGTCGTCAATATAATACCTCTTAATATACTAAAAACCGCTTTCGTTATAGATTTAAATTCCCTAATAAGTACCCTTACCCGTCTATTTCCATTTACTTAAATTAATATTACCATCGTCCTTTACGCCAATCGTATTAAAAAACGAATATTTATTATCCTTACTATTTCCGTGCAGATAATTATAAGAAATACTCCTCCTAATAAAATTATAGAAATTAGCGTAGTTTACCGTTAATAAACCGTTTCCCTAATTCAAAAGATTTCGCTTTAAAATATTCGACTAATTATTTTTAATTAATATTTAAAATATATTAAATATTAAAAGGGTAAAAAAGGGGCTACTATTAACAATAAACCCTTATAGCATGTTATTTATATTTACGCCAAACCTTATGTTTTAAATAAAAAGCTATTTAACAATTATTTTCATCTCATTTATTAAATCGGCAAATAATATATATTTAGTAAGAAGGCTCTTAAGGATATTAATATTAATAAATTTATATTCGTTAATACCGACCCTTTTTTTAATCATAATAAAATATAATTTGTTAACCTCTACATAGAACTATTAAAGCCGATTAATTTTAATAAACTTAGAAAAGAGATAGAAATTATAAATAAAGCGAAAAAGACTAATTTATAATAATTACCCTCGTTTAAACCATTATTATAAGGGATAATAATAATTCTACCGACATTAATACTATTTATAAAATAATAACGTTAAAGCGTATGCGAAAGTAGGCTGTTTCCCTATATAACGGGAATTCCACTTTTTTTTATATTCTTAAATAGCTATTAGCTTTAAAAAGGGATATTAAATAGGAACTGGGTATTAAAAAGGAGTTGAATATTAAGAAGGAGCCGGTTATTAAAAAGGAATCAAATATTAAGAAGGAATTAAGAACGAAAATAGAATCGGATATTAAGAGGGAATTAAGTACGAAAGCGGAACTTAGCGTAATATAAACGCTAAAAATTAAATAAAAATACTAAATTAAATAAAGGGGTAATATTAGCCGAAGTATAAATATAAAAAAAAAGTTTAATCTGAAAGAAGAAGTGGAATACGAAGATACTCCCCCCTCTTCTTAATAGTAAACTAAGCTCTAAGAAGAAAATAATATAGAGAATAATAAATAAGAATCGGTAAATAGCGATACCATTATATTAAATCATATTATTTTAAATAAGGAAGATTTTATTAATTTAGCCGATACTAAAGAAATCCCCGCGTACTTTATAAAGGACCGGAGAGGCTCGCGGCTAATCGGTTCCGATAATTCTAATTCCGCACCTACCCCGGCCGAAGTACCCCTAACGCTTTCAATTCGTAATCGCAAATAAATAGACCTTTAAAATATTAACTTTCTCTTTTTATTCGCGGACGATCTTTATAATAGTAATAGAATTAATATTCTATATTTATTTAAACCTTATATTCCTCGTTATTTTATAATATCTATATTAAACGTATTAGAATATAAGTAAAATATTAATATCGTAAAGAATATTATTCTTTCTATTTACTTATATTATAAAATTTAGATTTTCAAAATAGAATTTAATAAATTAAAATCATTAAATATAAATTTTATATATATTTAAATAGAGCGTAAAATTTAAGATTTTAGTAATTAAGCGGTATATATAAAAGAAATATATCCTTAAACTTCCAAATTCGAATTACGTTCATAACTTTTTTTTTTCTTTTAGTATTTTCTTTTTTTTTAATCTTTTCTAATTTATATATTCGTATTTTCGTAAATATAAATCGGTAATCTTTACGAAATTGTGTTAATATATTTTATTTATAATAGGAATATTAATATATATAAACGCAAACCTTTCATTTTTATATTATACGAGTATTATTTATATTTTAATAATATAAATATTTAATACCCTTTACTATTAATTAAATTAT